CGATAGAAAAGGAAGTTTAACTCAGCATTTAACTTTTAATAAAATTAACATAATGCTTACAATATTACTATCAGTTTTGCTTTGTTAAAAGAAGAAAAAGCTAAATATAAAATAGAAGAAACACATTTTTTTTAAAAATCTGAATGGTTTCAGATATTAAACTACGTCTAAAGGGGCGTTTTTTAACGTTTTGTGTGTTACCTTTATTTATTAAATATCATGTTCTTTGCACCTAAACCATAAAATTGAGTTCAGTAGCAATGTCGCAAAATAATTTTAAAATGAGTCTATCTTTAGAATGTCCGGTACATAGTTCCGCGCCCCGCTGGATATAAAAAGGTTCCCCCCCCCCCCCGCTGTAGAGTGTTGCCATTGCTATCTTTTAAATCGTTGAGTTTGTTACTCAAAAATTCGTTAAAGCTTTAGAAAATGTGAAATCGATAATGAAACAACTTCCAAATTTCAAATTTGGTCTTCCACATACCCATATTCGTAGGAGGATTACGTGATTCAAAATTCGATGGCTCTATGTACCGTTGTTTTATCACAATGTAAGAAATACACATGCATTTATGCAGATTTTTCATTATTTAATTTCTTCAAATATAATGCAGGACTGTAACATTTGGTGGCAACAGTTTGAAAAGTGAAACTGACATTTATAGTGATTCAGCGCAAAATCGCAAAACGGAAACAATACTCCTTCAGGGATTAAGCCCCTTTTGTCTAAAAAGCCATAAAATCAGTGAAACACATTTTAGTAATTATACTATTATTTATATTATTTCAATGTTATTTACATCTTATTAAAATGTATTTTAACACTTTCGTTAAAAGTTTTAATTATTACAATTTTCTGAATACATAAAGCTAGGATTTATTTGAAACGACTTCAAAAGTTGACTATAGAAAATAGCAGCCTATAGAAAATTGGCTGGTATTTAAATGGATTACACACTGATAAAACCACGAAAACATTCATGCATGCATCCCGTGGCAGGAATCCAAACTCGAATTGAAATCTAGTGTAAAACTGTTTTAATCCCTTTGGCCATTGATGAGACCATAAGAGTGCTGAGTTTAGCAATAATACGAAATTGAATACGTATAAGAAATGAATTTGTCAAAATTTTCGGAAAAATTACTGAATTATGTACTCATTTTAAAATTATGAGGAGTTTTCACTTGTTTCGTAAATTTTACTTTGAAAGAAAACGTATTTGTATAATTTTATGGTAAACATTTATTTAATTTCATGTTAAGATACACTGCTCAGAACCTTCTATGAAGAACATCTTCAGTATATCAAGACAGCATAACTTGTACTGCAGTTGGAATTTGGGTCTATGTCTATAGTATTCGAATTTGAGATCTTCATATTAGCCATCCAAATCGCGAATTTTATTACAAAAAAGTGCCCATTATCTGTCTAGGCTTCCGTACAAATTTAGAGAGTGAGCCTATTGTGGTACAAAAGCATCCAGGTTCCAATGCTGGAACAAATATCGTTGCAACTGTCCATCTCTTCATACGAGGCAACAATGGCCGCCTATTAGGTGCCTCCACAATAAAATACTGAATACCTTAGGAATGACTGAATGGGTAAGTGCCTGCTATAATGTTAAAAATTTTTTTAATATATAAAAGTCTGAAAGCTTTCAGAAAATAAAAAAAAAAAAAAATTTAAAGAAATTCTAATTTTTTTTTTTTTTTATTTTATTTTATTTTCAAAAAATTATATATAAAAAATCTGAAAGCCTTCAGATTTTACATACATTTTACATTACCTTTGTTAACATTTCGTGGATTACCTTGTTATGTTAAAATCATGGTACCAATATGTTACGGTGAAATCAAATGGCGGTACCAATAATGTTATGGTTTCCTAAAGGTCTGGTACCCTACTCAGTTGTCCTACTCTGTTGACAAAACACTTAAATTTTTTAACAGTAATATATTAATATCAATAAGCCCTGTACATTTGCGTTGTGTTTTCGGATTAACCCTGAAATCAATTTGAGAGAATGAGAGGGGTGAAAATCATTGAAGCACACACACACAAAAAGAAATAAATAAACATTGACTGATCTAGAAAAGGTGAGCCTATTAAAATTTTTTTAAATTTTATACTATTGATTAAAATTTTTAAGAGTTAATTAGTCCAGTATTAAGTTTGTAAGGCAATTTATATTCAATCAGAAACTGTTAACATATTGATTATTACACAATGCATAATTAAATTAGTAAGCAATTTATATTCAAGCTGAAAACTGTAATATATTGCTTTCAACAAAATGCATACCTCCTACAGAGAATAAATTACATTCTATTCTTAAGACTCAATAGTATCAAACTATTACTTGCTAATTACATTCAGGTAAACATAATTAGATAAAACCTTTGGATAAATTAACAATACCCTCCCCGGGGAGAAAAAAAAAGAATAATTAACAAGTTTACACTTTCAAAAAAAAAGAAACATTTCACACAGAGTAATCAATACCAATGGAATTCTGGTTATTGCACATAGTAATCTTACTATTTTCAAAAGAAAAATTTAACCGGGTAAAATATGTTAATTAAAATCAGGCTATTTACATCATACAAGCAATTTAGTCCCTAAGAGGAGCAAAGAAGCTCAAATAATGACACCTTACAAATCAATCTTCAACCAAGAAAGAAATTCACAAGGTTCAATTAAATAATTTAATGAAGAATAAATTTCCTTAACCAATCTGACTAATTTACATTCACAGTTTCAATTAACTAATTTAAATAATGATATATTTCCTTGGCCAATCTAATAATTTACTTTATGGACAACAAAAATGATTTCATTAGAATTAGGTTAGTTTACTCAACTACAAAATTTTTAATTCAACTAATTAAGTTATTTCAATCACTATTAACTATTTAGTTGTTAGAATTACTTATTAGAAATGTTATAAAACTTTACTATAAGAATAAGAATAACTACTATACCCTTTTTCGTTTTTTTTTTTTTTTTTTTTTTTTTTTTTTTTTTAATATCAGACCAACAAATAAAAGAAAACAAATAAAAAAAACTTATCTTATGAAATACAAGCTGCAGATGAACAGGAGGAGGAGAAATGCCCTCATATTTAAAATTTATCAAGATGCCAAGGAGGACGGCTGCTGAGCGTAGTAGAAACAGAGAAGAGTTCAGGGGTGGATAGTTTTCCAAAAAGTCCGGCAATTATTATTGATTTAAGAAGCACTACGGAGGTTCTCCTTGATGTCCAATCCAATATTGAAGTTAGCATTTTTGTCGTAGCGACACCAGCGCTAGCGATGCAGAAGACTCTTGATGGCGGCAATTAATTCTTAAAGATTTGGAATATCGATGTAGATGAAAACTCTATTCATGGAGGAGAGACTGAAATTTCTTCTTAACGGCACTAGAACTAGGCATCACTAGCGATGCAGATGAAAACTCTATTCATGGAGGAGAATATTGAAGTGTAGCATTAAGTAATAGCAACACAGGAACTAGCGATGCAGATGAAAACTCTATTCATGGAGGAGAAACTGAAATTTCTTCTTAACGGCACTAGAACTAGGCATCACCCTTCTTAGCATTTTCTATTGTAATTATCTTTGAGTAACTTACATATTAAGGCACGGCAATTAGGAGCCTATAATTTAGTCGAGGTCATAATGCGTGCAACTAAGTCCCTCGTTCAAAACTCCAGGGCAAGAAGCCCGTAGATCCAAAGGCGAAAAAATGCATTTTCCGAAATGAATTCAGCTGTCAACGAGACAGCGTCCGATGGTAAGTAGAAAGTGCAAAAAAGTGTAAAAAGTGAGCTCGTCCCCTAAAACAACCCGTTAAAAGGGAGAGCGCCGGACTGCCAAGTTGGCGCAACCCATTTTTCGCCGAAAGTTGAAATAGTTGCAACCACAGCATACCCTCATGTTATCAAACTCGCCAAAACCACTATTTTGAAACCTCAACGGAAAAATCCATGTCGCCAAACCCTCGCCAAATAAACACCACCTGCGACCGGGGGAGTTAGGAATTTCAACAACCCTGCAAGGGTCCCAACGAAAGAACCGCTGAAAAAATCGCAAAAAGTGACTTTTCAACCGGAAAGAAGGCATTTTCATCCCCCTTTAACTAAATCACAAGCGAAAAAACGAAGAAAATCTACTAATTAAAGCTCATAACTGAAATGCAATTAAAGTTAGAAAAATGAAAGTTATGCCAAATTAAAGAGCTAATTTTTCTGCAACTAATGATATTAAATACTAAGAAATCAAAATTAAGTTTTGACATGAAAAACTGAGTTTATTACGCAGGAAAAATACTTATCCATTGTTTGCGTGTACAAGAATGAAGACGCAGTTCGCGTAAACTCGGAAAGCCAAAATATATTACACTAGAATTAATAGGCCCAAAAAGAATATAACCAAACTTGTGTAGCTCAAATTTTGAATAATTACAACTTAAAATTTTGATTTTTATGAATCACTTAATTAAATTAAATTCGCTACACAACAACCTTTATTTATTAAAAATCATGTTCTTCGTACTTAAACCATAAAACTCAATCTTTCAGCAGCAATATCGCAAAATAATTTTTAAATGAACATGCCCTTAGAATTTCTGATACACAGTCTCGCATATACTATCTTTTCTTTATATCCATAATAGAAGACGAAAATAGTTGAAGTACACGAAATTTGAATAATAGGGAAGTAGGACAAGATACCTGCGATACCTGCTCTGTACCTTTCGTACTCCTTTGAATGTAGGAAATACTAAAATATACACAAAGGAAATACTAAAATAGTTATATCATTAGAAGTTTTCCGAAATATTAAACTACCACATATGCAAGCCATGTTTCCAATTCCCCATTACGTCTTTAAAGGTGCAAGTTCATCATACGCATCAAGCTGTTTTATATTTGGATTACAACGGAAACCCAAATTACCGTTTTGATCCATTCAAAATGTATGACAAATGCAATTCTTACCTGAACATATCGCGAATAAAAACCCAAAGAGGATGAACCACATTTTAATTCAAATTTTACTCGTCAAATAGCATCAAATTTGAAGTACTGCAAAGAACCAAGGGAGTAATATCCTAGATAAATTTGAGTTTCTACATTTATATTGACAGTGGTATGCGGATGTGTTTATTTGTACAAACCTGAGCTAAAAAAATACTCTCCGGATATCCTTTTATTTGAGCAATTAGTGGAGCGATTGTGATTTATCTGATTTGAAAGATTCCATACTTGAACACTTTTTGGCTGTTATAAAAATCCTATTAATTACTAATTATGCTTGTTTAAGGAAATCCGGTTGTTGAAAGGATATCCGTTCATACTGCTTTCTAAAAGAAAACACTTGAAGAATTTCTTTTGTTTACGTTGTCTACTCGTCACTTTTCAATAACCACTTTTCAAGAATTACCGTTTTGATATTGTTGTGGTAGGAAGAAAGTAGCGAAGACAGGCAGTGTCTTAGCAAAAACAGAGGTAGAAGTCAATTATGGTAGCTTATTAAGAAAAAGAGAAGAAGAGAGAAGAGTCTCGAGTATTAAGAGAGAGGTCTCGTTTCCGGAAATTTTGGTTTAATTTCTAATTTAGCTACGTCATTATTGTTATGTAATAGTCGTATAATAGAATGAATCTAGAAATGATGCAGTAAAGAAAATGTTATTACTGTTTCTAGAATAGAGAAGGGAAGTACCCAAATTAAAATGACGAATTAAGGAGCTGTTGCTAATTTTAAGTGTAATTTCGATTTATACTTTTTTATCTTAAATAACTCCTCCTCCTTCAAAGAGGAAAATGCTTGATGATAGAGTAGCCGGAAAAGATAAAGCGTTGAAGTATTAGAAGATGAAGAGAAACATAATATGAAAATTTACTTTCATTTTAAAATATCAACGATAACAAATCACGTTAGAGAAATTTTTATGTAAAACGAAAGTGCAATGAATTTCAAGCAGAATCGAATTGCGCTACGTTGCAAAAAAAAAAGATGAAAGTTCAACCAGAAAAACAGTTACTTTATGTTTCCATGGAAAAGGTATTCTCAAATAAACAGCTCTTCTCATCATTTCCATTTATGCCGTTCACGTACAGTAAAATTAAACTAAGTTTTCGGCTATTTTATTTAAATAGCTATTGGCAGATAAGTGATGGCCTGATTTTAAATAAGTGGAATCTGTGCTCGAAATCTACGGTAGATATAGATTCTTAGGCGAAAGCATAGAATGTTTATAATTATCTGGATATCTGGAATTGTAACGTTTCAAAGCCCTCCGCCTATACGCATTATCCTTGCGTAATTTAAGAAAGACTTTAAAGGCATAAGATTGCTTGACGTCTTTAAAAGTTTACTTAATTTTAAACAAAATAGTTCTTCTGAGAGAGCAAATCTTTGTACTAACCCAACAATCATAAAAAACTTCACGAAGTTCTTCAGTAGATAAATAATCCTTTAAGCGCTCTGCGCGTAACTTACCTCAGTTATTCTTCAGTTACGTACACCACGCGAACAGGCTACATAGCTTCAACCACGATGAAAACTTTAAAAATAACCTATGCTGTTCGAAATTAGAAATATTTGAAATGATGTCTATTTTATTTCCATTAATATAACCTCATCTTACAATTGTACACTTAAAATCTTGCTGTACATCAATTATCGGTTGGTTTAACTGCGTTTCGTTCATCCATAACTCGCATCGGAGAGTTACCATCTGGTTCCATAGCCCACAGGCTTTTCTTACCCAGCGAGTAATTCCATTGAACATCTGGAAAATGTTTTAAGTCTTCGCCAGTCGGTTTGCAATTAAAGGTGAGCAGCAGCGAGACTCATAAGAAACCCATGCCAATGTAACCCATGAGTTTGTCCATGCGTATGTTCTATTCATTGGCAGTTTTATGCGCGATGAAACTATATGTAAGAGTTTGGTTAAAAGTAACGCAGCACATAACTCTAGTCTTGGAAGAGACTAGGTTAGTTAGGGAGCAACAGTGTTTTTGATTTCAAAAGGCTAATCTTGACTGAAGAATCAGAGGTAAACGATTGAAATGAAGGTTGGCGACTACATAATAAGCCTCTTCTGAAAAGCCTCGTCACCGCATCACCTACGTATCACAGTATGCAACTTCTTTGCCTTATCCATTGCCTCCATTTTACCATTCAATTCTATCAATTAGAATTCAATTCTATCAATTAGATTCTATCAATTAGAACAAGTAATAAAATTTTCATTAAAAACTAGGAAAATAAAATCCTCGAAATCCTTCGCGTTTAAATCGGAGCTTTCCAATAATTTTCTTCGGCGATTCTTCGCTTCTAGTTATCTCGTCCATGTGCGCCAAAAAAAAAATATGCTGACCAACTGATCTGTATCTTTGTGTGTTTCTATAGCAATTCCATCGAGATCTTTTACTGTACATTTATTTACAGTTATATACAAGACTTTCTGTCACCTGGCAGGTATATGTTACAGCATAGTGCCTTTTTGCCATTTGGCAGATACAATGCATTATGTCTATAGCGCTAAGATGCCCAACACCTTGGCGTGTCCGCTTATTTAACGTTCTATAAACGTAAGAAACTATATGCGCAATGCGCCCTCTGGTAAAATTCACCACAATCGAAGGAGGCCAAATCATCATATGTTTTTCTTCTTTTCTATTCGGTATATTATTTGAGATTTAAATTGATGAAAATATCTGGATGGTTAAGATAGTATCTGTGTATAAAACGTTCAACATTTCTGGTTACTAGTTTTGCTTTTTTGGCACGTTTATTTACAAAATTTATGCAAACTGTTAACACACAAAAATACAAACTGAGCATTTGAAAAAGCGGCAGAATATCAAAATGTTTAATTTAAATATTTGTTTTGAAGTTGTGGAGGATAACGATTTGTAAAACTGTTTAAAATGCAATCCTAAGCTTTAAAACTTTTATTTTGGAAAACAGAAAAAAGTGTTACTATTTTTATGTATTTAAAACTGAATTTTAAGATTTCTGTACAATCAATAGGATATTATAACTCTTATTACAATGATTTAATTTTACAGTATTCTGCGAATTGTTTTGATGTTAGTTTTAAGATATTATGAGATAAATGAGCTTTAAGGCACGAGGTATTTATTTTAATTATTTATTTATATTTTAGATACAATAATTTTCATCATTAGCAGTGATATCAGCATCTTGTTTAATATGATTCATGTAGGCGAAGAGACAATATTGGCGAAGAAAAAAGAAAGCGTAGAAAGAAAAAGAAGATGTGTACCACGATGAACGTACTCAGCTGAAATATCCATGTTTACAAGTAACGATTTCGAAAATGAGAGTAATAAAAAAGTCTGAGAGAAATCATTGAGCAGTTAAAAGTTTTAGTTTTGTCCGCGCAGTAGACAAATATCCATATGAGCATATAAAAATGTATTCAAGACGGATCATTGAGGATTGAAAACAAAGTTTGAAAGTTGGACAGAACGCAGTTACGTTGGTTGATCATTTTAATTTAAAGCATTATTCGATTCGATCGAGAATCAAAGGCTTAGATGTTATTAACTGCATTGCATAAAAATAATTGATTATAATAATTGATTATAATGCATTTTGGGCCGAGAATAAAGCTATAAAACCATCACATTTTTTTTACAAGCAGGAGATGTGAAAAATGTGCAGTGCCCTCACCAGGACTAGAACCCTGGACCTCTCGAATAGGCGTCGAGTATGCTTACAGCATCCGAATCCTGGTGGTAACGAATATCGGTCACCACCTTTTAGTTCGGATACCACTTGAAGAGTCACCCGGTGTTTTGAAGCAGCATTCGTGATAAATGTGCAGTGCCCTGGCAGAGACTCGTATCCTGGACCTCTCGAATATGCGTAAAGTATGCTTCCAATTGCACCACGAAGGCATGCGGAAAGGAAGGAGAAAATACCTTATAAAGTATTCCTTTCATTTTTAATGGCAATGCTCTTCATCCTTTGGATACTATTGTTGCTATCCGTATTGTCAACGTTCCACAGCTTATAGTGAAAACGAGATTGAATCTGTCCATCTTCCAGTCATTATATGGATTATGTCATAAATTTCAATCTTCAGCTGCAGATGTAATCTGAAATCGTTTCACTGCAATTCTGTAGCAACGTACCATTGCTATACTCAATACCTGAACCATCCTTCCTCAAAAACTAAACATGCAATCTCCTATGCAAATTAGGTTTATGGCAATCCACATTTTGCACTTCCAAAAACTGTTATTGCTAGGATCAGATGGAAAATCTTATTCCTTAAAATCTAGCCACGAACCCTAAACACAGGGTTAAAAGAAGATATAATGAATAAAATAACGAAGTGAAAGCACTGCGCAGTGAGGTAATAGAGGACATAATTTTATGAGTAGCCTTTTACAGAGAGATATTTCGGTGACAAATCAAGATCTCCGCAGAGATGAATAAGTATTTCCCCTTACCATGTGTTAGCGTTTCTTTTCAAAATTTTACTCCCTTGATGTATATTTCCTATGTATAAAAGCATAACTTTGTCGGCCATACCTATATATTGTTGTTATTTGTAATGCATTAAAATTTCATTTGTTTCTTATTAATAAATTACAGGATGAAAGCGACAGTCAGCCACCTCGAACGAACATTTTAAACATTTGCATTTAATTTGTCTCTTGCAAGGCTTGGATTCTCTGCAAATGGTATGGGGGCAAACCATTTTCATGCAATACTCTCCAAACGGTGGAATGACTCAGCTGCAGACGACGTGCAGTAGCTCTTGTACTTGTCTGAGGTTATTCAAGCACAATGTTCAAGATGGATTCTTCAATGCGAGGTTGTCTTCTTCCACTCCTAATGTCAGAGGTGTCTTCAAATGACCCGTTTTCACACAGAGACCGATGCAACCTCTCGAACATTGCTGCTTCGGCATACGCCTGTTCAGAAACCGTTCCTGGTGCAACCGTAGCGCTGCTCTGCAGTTCCCATTAGCAGCACCATACATGAGATGCATGTCAGCTTTTTCCCAGTGCGTAAACTCACCCATCACGCTCGACATCAGAGTTGCGAATAATCCTCTGATGCATCGCATCGTGGTTGTCCGGCTCACTACCGCCCTCTGCCGCTGCATAGCCAGCCAATCACAGCTGTAGTTCCTATTACTGTTAGTGTTCCCTTTTTTGAGCATTTATTGTGAATACTGTATTGCTGCAAAGAAGCACTTTACGTTGATTTTGCACATAATCACATTTTCCTCTCGTGTCGGGTTTTTTTTTTTTTTTTTCCTCGTTCTTGCCTGAACCCGTCACTTTAAACCCTACATTCCTATACAAAAAATGCCTGTTTTAGTACGCTCCATCACTCCCTCCAAGTTTGCCACATGATCTATGAAACACCCTGTATATTCATAGAGTTTGATACTTGCACTTCATTTACATATGCTCTCAGAATTTAAATGATACTGCAGATTAGTTCGCAGCAATAATTAATCATTTATTTGTAATTCAATTTCATTTAAATTTTAATTAACTTTAAATTTGCTTTTTACAAATAGAGAATGTTTGTTAAATTCAAATTTCATTCCTTGCAGCAATGGCGAAAGAGAAATATTTAAATTTAATTTAACTTTTATATATACTCACTCTGCTACTTGGCTCGGTAAGATCAGTTTTTTTTTATTCTTATAGACTGGGAAATTGTGCATTTTTTGCTTTAAAATGGATTTTGGTTTTATGTTCCTGTTGAGGTTTCTATGGCTTTTGATAGTATGCATGCAATATTTGTAGAATTATCAACAATTTAAAAGTTGTTTAAGTGCTACTAACTCTAACGCAGCCACCATTTGTTTACATTTGAAACTCTTTAGTACAATAGTGAATTACGTCTATTTCTGCACGTTCAGTATCTTGTTGTCAAGTGGGACCAAAAGTAAACTTTCAGTTTTGTATATCGAAAAATCTGCTTTCTTACCCGTTGACCGAATTGCGTTTTTTGCGTAGAAACTCTAATTTCATTTGAAAAAAAAATTTAACTGTTTTAACTGCATCTCATGTTTTATGTTTTTGTATATTTTTCAATTCTCAACGAAGATGTTTGAGGTTTTAAGTATTTTTGTTTTGCCACGAAGTGAGAATTGAATTCGGTGAATGAGAAATGTATATGATGAAATTCGCGGAAATACGTTTAAATGAAATACAGCAAAAATCGTGCATAATTTAATATTCAGTACAAGGAAGCCATACATGCTATCTACATCAGATTTTTTTAAATGTCTTTGCAAATATTATAGTTCGTCATTATATGAGCATAAAAATAAATGCAAATGGGAACTATTAAAATGAAAACATATACAGAAAACATTAACTAAATAAAATTTATTATTGATATAAATTAAATGAAACATAATATACAACAGCTTTCTGAAAGGTATCTCCATAATGTACAAAGTGATGTAACTTAATATACAAAATCAAGAGCAAGAAGAGTAAATAATATTTACTAAAAACAGAAGACACTGTAGTTCTTGTTCATATTCTTCATGTTCAATGTTAAGCTTTAAAAAGAGCAAATGCTTCAAAATCAATAATTTGTATTTGAATTTACAGGCAAAATAATGTAAATATGTTATGTAACTAGAGGGAATTATTAGCGGTACAGTACTGCTAATGTATATATACACTGGATCATTTATATATCAGATCATATAAATATATCTTCAGAAGTAAGATGTTTTATACGGTCCATATAAAATTTTACGTGAAGTAGCTTATAAAAATTGTAACATACACAGAATAGGAATGTGTGTAAATGAAAATAAAAACACGTGAGGTCATACAAAATAAATTATCTGCAAAAATATGTGTCTGATTGATGGATAAGAATTGCTCTGTTGTTAAGAATGTTTTCTTTTTTTTTTTTTTTTTTTCCAAATAAATTAACAGTGCATTAAGTAAATCAAAAAGAAATTGCTTTGTCATTTAATGTTAAAACATGTTCTATAAATGGAAATGTAATTTTTAATATATTATCGACTCCATGAGATTTATGATTTAATAAAAGCAGTTGACTCATTAAAAAATATGTTAAAAGTGGATAATTAAAAACATTTGTAAATTTTAGAATTTTCGCATGTGTTATATTAGTTGATAAAAGCGTGTCCGATAAAAATGTATGATTCAACTCATAACAGAGAATCACAAACTTTTAAAACAAAACTATAGTATTTTTGAAGCGCTTTTGCAAGCTGAATACACTACATTTTAAATATCAATGTAAACTGAAAATGAGCTGCAGTAACTTCGATAAGAAGTTCGATAGTAGAAAATATTTATGCAATAATATGCAAATTCGTATAAATACTAAGAAAGAGAATCTTATGAATCCTAGTAGCAAAGTGTAATAGTAGAATTATAAAATGAAAATTTTTTCACTCTTAAATATACGTTGAAAATTATTTAATTTTGACTGAAAATTATCTTAGAAACTTCATAAAATGCATTTATTTTACCCCACTAACAGTAATAGTTTCTTACAAAATTGTCTTAAATTCAAATACTTATTTAAAATTGTTATCAGTGCAACGTTTAATGTATCATTGCATACACAGAAATGAAATGTGTCCGAATCCAGCTCAGGACCATTTACATTTATATTTTGCTAATATATATTACTAACTTCTGCTCTCAGATACCTTATGAAGAGAGTAAAGTCATCCTTTACCTCAGTTTATGTGAACCATTTTCACAGTTATCAATGAAAACAATACCTTATCTGAGGTAATAACAAAATAAAAGCGGAAAAAATATTGCAGAAAATCGTCTTAAAGCTATTGTGATTGATTGCCCCCGTAATATCTCTTTTCAGAATCATTGATGAAGAAAGTCTTTTTCTTCTTTATCTGATGTGTAAATTCATCAGTTTGTTCTTCATGATCTGAAAGAAAAAATACAAATATCATGAAATTTGCTCACTAAACGTCTCTAATTTGATTTTCTGAATTTAAACTTTTTCAAATTTACATTTATCACTTTTATATTGTTCCGAAATGCCCAGCTGCTGTGAGATAGTTTCCCCGCTTCCAGAAAGTGGCAGGAAAAGGCAGGGTTGCCACATCTGGTGATATTTGGCAACACAATTGGCGACATGCTATAGACGAAGCGAGAGCATTCTACAACGTATTCTTAGCGGTTTTCCGCGGGAATGTTCTCGAGGGTAGGTTAAAGCTATATATATACCCTGCCTGTACGCGAAGAAAGAATTATCTTGAATTCAGTAGGGTAGCAGTGTCTTGAGTTCAGAAATGAGCTAGAGAGCGACCTAACCGAGTCGGGAGCTGTGCTTTCCCGTGAAGCTGTTCTCACCGTTGTAGCCTGAAGGCTGTGTTTCTGATTATTTAAGCGTGTTTGTAGTAGTTTTCGACGAGTGTAAACGTGTTTTGGGAACTGTCCTGTGTAATTCTGATAAATAAATTGTGTTTTGATTCTTCATTAAGTATTATTGTCAGTTATTCCAAGTCCACGAACCCGTAAAATGCAACAATATTACAGTCTGTTACTTAACTAGAAACTTCAAAATTATTTTCCGCTTCCCTATTTGACTCGTAACCGTGAGAACAGCAGCTTCAGAAAAAGGGTCGAGTCACTTGATTTCTCCCTTCACTTCATTTTCGTTTAGCATGGTCCGCTTCATGAAAAACACGCGAATGAAGGTTGATTTGAACTATAGGTACAGACAGAAATGGGCGGGGCACCAGAATTACACAATTGGTGGTACACGTAGTGGCCCGTCGTCCTAATTGCACACCCACTTTACCACTACATAATTCAAGGACAATTACTGTACTTTCATCTGAATCTTTCTCGTTTAATTTTATTATTATTATTACCAACTCAAGTAAATGCATACATATCAAGAAGGGGTTAAAACAAATAGCAACATATTGCACATGATGGGTAAAACTTACGATCATTTTCAGATCCAGCACGCTTGAGAAAAATGACAGTAAAATTTTAAAAAATCTGATATTTCATATACTTGTGGTAATTAATGGCTTACTGATTCTCTTTAGTTCTTTATTTACAAAACTGCATTTCATTTACCTTTCAAGATTAGGTGAAGTTTCATCCAGAACTAAGCTGCTTCCTCCCAGTTTCAGCGAAGAAGGCTGAAACTGACTTCCGCCATCATACATATCAAGGGGATATAGATCTGTTGCTTGGACTTGTACGGATCCTGAACCACTGTCACTAGTATTTTCATCTTCTGAAGTTATGAGAGCCATCCGAGATGGCGCTGTCCTATCCATCATCTTCCCCGCAAGTGCAACTAGTCGCGGACCTGTAAAAATAAGATCGTGTTGTATTGGAATGTCTCAATTCTGAAATAATACTACATTATTTTGAAAAAATTTTAAATTTAACAGTAGTAAATGAAAAATTTAATGTTTTCCTGCCATTTCCTTTTTCGTTTTTGCTAAATAATATATACGCATTGCCATTTATGCATTGGTTAACTTTTATTTTGTCACACTTAAACTAATTACAGAACATTTTGTGAAAAGATTTTAAAAATTTACTATGGTATATGAGTACCACCATACAGGGTGTCCCAAAAGGTCGTTTACAAACTTTACGTACTGTTCTCTCAGACCATGACGAACAAGTTTTGCAAAGAAAGTTGTGTCAGAAAATCAATCTGTGTGATGCTAAAGCAACGTGATCGAAAAGCAAAGAAAGGGAGTAGAAAGCAGCGTTAACATGACTTTAATTATAAGAATTCAGTGATACAGACGAAGGAAGTAATGCAGGTTAATGGTTACAGGAAATATTCAAAATTCCTTCCAACCACCACAACGCATCTTCATAACTTCGTCTCATGGTTAACGGACTCGTTGAAATTGTCCAAGTATGTCATGGACACGTGCCGCCGCTTCCACTATACTGGCAACAAGATCGATGTTGGATGTCAGGGGTGTTTCGTATACCAGAGATTTTACGTATCCCCACAAGAAGGAATCCATGTAGGATAAGGGGGGAGAGAGAATTGCCCCCCTCAGTTTCCCACAGGAGAGCTTCTTCTATGGTAGATTCGCATGCCGTACATTGCCAATTTATGTGGCTGCCTGCTCGGAAAGTCTACCATCACTTAGTCTGTTATAAAATTGTTTAAATAATGGATGACTTATGTCTTTTTGGGAAGAGCTCACGGTATATGCATCTCGCAGCCTATCTATTTCCATCCACGGCTCCATAAATGTAATGCATCCTTCTCTTGTAACATCCTCGCCTGAAAGTATCCTGATTTCCACCCTCCAACATGCTTGCGAACATCGCCCTCTAGCGGCGGTTAGTCACGATTTCTGACACAGCTTCCAAAGTAAACCTTACTCTTCATGATCAGCCTCAGTTTTAATAGGAAAACTTCTATAACTTTTTCTCGTTGCCATTAATATGTAGAGATTTATATTTATTTTAATTAACCAATTTTTTTAATTTGTTATAAGCCTGCATTTTCCGTAATTGCCAGTGCCAGATTATTTTAAATTTGGTAGCGCACGTGAAGGAATGCAAATTCTACGTTGAAGAAAGATTTTAAAAACCAAGTTTCAGTAGGAATGATAGAGAGTTAGGCTATTTCCGTTACCTCTGCAGCTTAAGCGTTTGCTCGAAGAGATATTGCTGGTTCGCGGGTCTTAATTCCATTTCCTTGCTGTCACTAGTTTTCGACGGGGTTTAAGAAACAGTATTTAGCTGAGCCCTGTTGCGTAGTTTTGTTACTTATACATATCTTCAAATTTTTAGTTTTGTTATCTGAATTTCAGTTACTACCCAAGAAGTGAGGTAGTTTGTTAGCGTCGAGTTGAAGTAAATTTTAAGGAGTTAATAAAGGGTACTTTTAACCCTTCTCCTGTGCAGTTACTACTCTTCTAGTTTTCACACAAAAGTGAATCTAGTGAACTCTACAAATATAAAAACAAATAATTAGTAATAACTCACCAGACTGGTAAGATGTAACAGGAGTTATCCCAGGGACCGTCCTGGAAAGGGTACCATACATGTTTGGAACTGCGGGCAGAGACATTGTCTGTTGAATCTTCGCTTTATTCTCTTGATCTTTTGTTAATTTATTGTAAATGTATACTTTCCTCAGGTACATGCACAACATTACAATAGTAGCACAAATCAAGTTTGCCACAGAAATTGTGAGATCTCTGTAGCGATGTAAAATTTGTGTAGATACGACTGTCCAACCTATCCAGACGAATGCCATTAAGAAACAGCATGTAAATATCCACCTAAATAAATAAAAAAATATTAAAAAATATATTTGATTTATACAATTCGGTTTATTTTAATGAGATTAACAAAAGCGATTTATGGTGATCTGAGCAATTGGAAAAATGGGGAAATATAGTTGCAGGTTTAACTTGTTATCATTCATGAAGGAAATAATAACTGACAAAGGTGTAACTTCCTAGGTGTATAATATAGGCTAAATTTTCATCCGTAACTTATGGTCGTCTTACTATAACGTATGCACATAATTTTTTTAAAATACATAAATTCAGCCGTGTTAACTTTCGTCTTTGGATATATTCCTGGTGTTATTTCCTAGTAGCCTATAAATAGCCTGAAGCCATTTATGACTGCTGAATAAATCTATGTAAATTCGTATTTCAGTTTTAAATTTCTGTTAAGATTGTTAATTTAATCTGTAATCTATTTAAATAAACATAACTATGTTACTTGTTAAACAAAGATTTCATAGTTCTTTTGACTTACGATTCTTTAATGAAACTGAGCTAAACAGAGTGAATTCAGAATGTCTTATCTGTGTTAATAAACAACACATCAAGAACAAAATTTCGATTGATATGTATTAAAGTAATTATTTATTTGATAAGTATTAAAGTAATTAAGTCTTAAGAATATTAATGTTTTTCTTTTCGCTGTCTCCTTCCTTTATTCTTTTAAAAAATAAACTACAGAGAAATCAGAAATCAACAGCAGTATTTAATGTAGTATTTAACTATTAATGCGAAAGGCATTTAAATTTGAAGAGAGCATTAACTGTAGTGTGAAGGTGAATTTTGATTGAACGGATACGTCAGGAAAGCTAAACTTCCTCTTACATTTGAGAAAATATTTCAGAAAGAGACTCTGGAAGCGAAAATTTCTTCCTATTGTAATTAACGGAAAAGAGAGAAAACATTTCAATCAAATTTAAACAAATTTTAAAATGTGATCAGAATGATCACAGTAAAATTAATAGCACTTAATTTCCGTTTTAGAATGAAATGTCATATAAAAAGTAATCTTTCAAGTAGTAACGATTTCAAAATATTGTAGAAAACGGAGATATATACATTTATACTTATGACGTAATTGCAGAACGTTTAAATCCGAACGTGTTAAAACACATAGGTTTTATTGATAAATCTTTAAATGTTCACACGAGCTGGTGTCATCTACGTCAAAGTGATTGAGTGGAAGAAACCAGTCAGGGCCTCTCCTTCCAATTCCCTCATCTGTGAGGCATGCTAAGTTTTGAAAAACTTATCAATAAATGATAGTCATTTATTTTATACTGTAAATTGTATTTTTACTGCTTGAATTTCTTCAATGCGGGATTTTCCAGGACCTACCTACAATTCACCTTGCTTCTCGAAGCCCACGTGACAACTGGTCACACCCTTCACCTAAACCCAGCCCTTATAGGACTCATGTGAGATATTTTCACTGTGATGCGTCCTCAGCGACCCAACTTCAGAGAGCCGGAAAATCTCATGCATGCTGCATGGTATTAGCGGCATAAAAGTGGAACTAGAAAGGAGGTTTTGGAATTTAAAAATCATCTAGAGAAATATCCCAGAATAAAAATCGTTCCCGGATCAACATTGTTGGCTTTTCTTATTTATTAGACGTAGGCTTTAGTCAAGTCAATAATTTAGTATACAAAACAGGTTACGATCTGAAAATGTTTGAACCAGATGAATTAATATTTAATTAATCTTATGGTAATACTATAAACATTGGGTCAATACATCCAGGGCAGCCATTACATTGATTAAAATCAAACTTTTTTGCCATTAGAATCTGTTATTGTTTCTAAAAGATAGTTTCTATTTGTAAAAAGAAAAATGTTAATACAATAATAAAACCATTTTTAATTCAAAACGTTTATTCCTAATCTTAATCTGACTGAGATCTAAGTTACTTGTGTATAATTACTTGTGTTGTGATTATATTGTATGCTATATATAATACAGAGAAATGTGAGGGGGGTCGATGAAGAAAACAATTCGTTTGAAATGGGCTTTGCAAGAAAATGATTGAAAAGCCTTGGTCTAAAACCACGAATTATTTAACAGTAAAAAACATTTCCGTGAAAGCCCAGCTTAGATGTATTCACTTTTGAATTCAGGTTTTAGAAATTACATGCTATATCTTCCATTTGCGTTATAATAAAAATTCTTTGTGAAAAAATCATGTAGATGGAATGTGGGTAAAGTGCATGACATCATAAATATATATTACAGACCTGGATTCTTTGTTGTTATCCTTGCTACTCCAGGTAAGAACAGAGAATAGAATAGTAATCGCTAGCATCAGCATCACGTACACAAGGGAGATGACTAATTCGTCTTCAAACGTAGTTGCCGGATGGCACCTCCATTCACCACCATGGATACCCGTTGTTGGTGGAATTAGTATTAGCCATGCTGATGACAACAGAACCTGAAGTAATGGATTTTATTAATCCTGAATCCATTTTAAAATCACTAAATCGACATTTACTGGACAAAAGGATAACGTTATTTTAAACACGTTTTCATTACCATTAAAGATTCAGTTACAAATATTTATTTTCAGATATGAAAATATGTCTAATTCCGTAGCCTGTGAAGACCTACTGCAATATTGCACAATATCATAATAAATGAGCAAAAAGGCAAAGTTTTAGTAATTTGTCAGCATAAACGTTTAATGTAGGATAAAAACCTTACATTTTTCTTTATTCGAAAACTATACATTTTAATCACTTGAACATTAAACTTTCTATATAATGAAACACTTTATTACAGGAATAATAAATCCGTTACATTGTATTAATTATATAGAGAAGAAAGGGCTATAATATCGCAGATTATGATTCGCCGGGTAAACATCCTTCTTCCTTAAATTTCTAAAAAGCGCACATTATTTGTGATAAGTTGTTCTAAGCAGCAAAATACCTAAATTTGCCTCTTATTTATTTTACATTCTTCTCCTGCTAATTATAATCTAACACATAATAAACAGAAATGATTGAGTACTTTAGTATTTTACGTGTTTTCATCCCCTTCATTATATATATTGTAAAGGTAATAGATCTCAATAACAATAGATCTGCCAGATATAGATACAGTTCTGTCATGGTTAGAATATTTTGTCTAATTGTACTGGTGTAACGATTGCAATGCCACGTATTGTCAGTAGGAGCCCACCAGCGGCCGAGCGGTAAAGTCACTGAACACTGGTAGTTCGGTCCGAGGTTCGAATCCCGCGAACGGGATGGCTGCATGGGTGTTTTCGTGGTTTTCCCCATGTGTAACGTGCATACGAGCCAGTTTCCCTTAGAAAGTCCTCCACGAAGGCATCCCTGCTCTTAGGCAGATAGCCCTAGTGTGCTTTGCCATAATTAAATACACCACACCGTATTGTCAGTAGCAAGTATCCAGTACAAAGCACTAAGCGATACTCACGCATTCACCCCCACACGAAGTCACATTTCCTTTGCCCGTTTAACACATTGATGCCGGTCTGACTCACCAGTGAGTCATACATGTCTGTTCCGTGGGTCATACTTATCTGTTCGGTGGGGCGGCATGACCCACCGGTGGGTCATGCTTGATTGTTCCGCGGGTCGGCATATCTCCCCGATGGGTCACGCTTGTATATCAAAAATTACTAAAATACGCTTGCATATCAAAAAATACAATTATTATATTGTATTATAAAATATATAATTTTATAATAATAATTTTATTTTATTTTATAATTTTATGATTTTATAATTTATAATTTTTATTTTTTTAATTTTAAGATTTTAATTTTGTAATTTGGCGGTGCGCCGCGCCACGAAATGGACCGTTCATTCAAGCGCTGCCGAACGAAAAGAACAACGAATATCCGCACCGCCGTCAAAGTGTTAAAGAGCAAAATGTTAATAGCTTGTGTGGACTGCACATGATATTATAAAAGTCAAGTTGAAAAACTTAACAATATTCATTCTCTACAACACGTAATAATGCCGCTTAAATGGGCAAAAGAATGAGTAAGGATTAGAATTTAATTATAACAACCAGTGCCGCTTTGAACGGGTAGAGAGAAAATAACTGGGGCCGAGTGCGTGGTTGTTTCTCACCGATTAGCACGAGGTTCTTGCCGCAGGCACTGCATGGAGCTGCAGTCATTATACCAATAAAAACAGACAAAATATTCTAACTTGCCTATGTTTAAAAAACCTTTCACATCGCAAGAAACGACGAGAGAATTTTTCAGTAGCAATAGTTTGCATTATAGATAAAGGAGAAGAAAACCTTACTCGTGAAATGTTAGCTTCTCCAAAATATTTGATGAAAAGATAGACTGGAGGAGATTGTAAAAAGAGAACTTTTCTTCACTTTTCTTTTAGGGTAGAGTAGAAAGTTAATTTATGCCTTATGGCGCTCCTACAATTTTGTCAGAAATCCTTTGATTTCATACCTAATTTAAACGCATATTTATTTACAGCAATTAATAAATAATTTAATTCATTATTATAAACGCTTTTTATTACGAAAACAAATGTAAAATTATTTTTTACAGAATATACATTCTAAAATAAACCCAAAGAACTATTTTCTAAGAATCCATTTTTATTTATATGCTTCAATTAGTCAAATCTTTGAAGTTAAAACTTCCCTAGAGAAATCTTTTAAAATTTTTCAAAGTGTTGCATTATGTTACGCTGTTATGTACTTATCATTCACTTGTTTTGGCAAGTGTTTCACAAAGCGACGCTACACTCCCTATTCTGCTGACTGTAGAGTCTTAGGTCACGATTGACTATGGGATTGATAGTTACCATTGTCCTTAGGTTATGGTCAACGGTATTGTTAGGTTTAAATTCTTTAACAATCTACTTAAATTTCCAATCTAGTCCTCACCACTGACCTGTTTGTTGACCACCAGTACCTATAGATCATCGATGATCAATTATTTTCATGGCATTGATATGATTAAGTTTAATTTTATTTCAAACATTCATCGAAATTTTCACTGATACATTGTTGACCTGTAGATGAACTTTCAGTCACCACCAACCTATAGGTCATCAGTTATCAGAAAACCTTGATCAGCATTGATGTACTTCAATTTAGATTTCAAAATCTCTTAATTTATGTCATCGTTCCAGGCTGTTGATCTATGAGTTGAAACCCAGTGCCTAGTAGTAGTAGGTCACCACTAACCTAAAGTGTTAACAACAACCGATTTTCTATAATTTTGATTTTAATCTGAAAATTCTATCAAAAATTTGCTGCACCTCAGCGTACTCATAAGCCATTGATTGATCTCTAGTGACCATCAGCTTGTATGTTACCAGTAACCAACTATCTTGATAGGTAACGGCATATTTCAAGTTACCTTAATTTAAAAAAATTATTAAATAATTACAAATTTATTTAAATTTATTGCACTATTTATCATATTGATGACTGGTCACTAAAAGTAATTATGGTGAACACTCTTGATGATCATACCTTCGGTTTAAGATTATTTCAATAATCCATCTAACAACATATAATTTATAATACAGCTTAGCGATAATTTTTTAAGAACATATTCGACATTATTAATTAATGAAAGCTGTTTCTAATGCCATATATTACATGTCTGCTTTTAAATCTTTTAAGTACTATTTTATGATTTACTTAATAAAATATACATTATTCCTTGATAAAAATTTAAAAAGAAATTAAAAAATAAGTATCTTGAAATTCTTATCTTATTTTGAAACTGTATTGTAATTTGTAAATTTGTAAAAAAGTTATTGTTTATCCTGTAACCAAATCAATATGTTCTGAAATACATAATCGCAAGCAGATTACTTGTTCACAATTTTCGTCTCGTTAACATACCTGAATAATGACAAGTCCGACTGCGACGACTAATAACGCAGCTGGACTTGTTAAATGGTAAGATTCTCCCAGGAATTGGTTTCCTCTGTATCCCATCATTCTCCAAATGTTCATGACTTTCACAAGCATACCAGAGAAGATAATGGCATAAGCAAGACCCAGACCAAATCTCCTGACACCGCAAGTCCCTTCCGTGGGGGCGAGGATAAAAGCAAAGTTGACTGCGTAAAGCAGGAGCAATCCGAAAAGGATCATGTATCCAAGAACTGTAGTTCCAACTGTGACCTGCACATAAGGAATTTGGAGAAAATGTATGACTATACAGGTATTAAGTTTCACTTTCTATCATAAATTACTCACTTTTCAAAACGGAACATATAGTAAATCTTCAAAATTGAGTTGTAAAGGTATTGGTTACTTTTTAGGCACTTTTGTAAACATAAATTTTCATAGGAATGTATTTCAAAAGGATTTATAACAAATGTAATGATTGTAATTAATAGTCAGAGTTGTTGAAAACAATGGTCCATTTTATGTAGATGAAAATATTTCTGTAAATTACAGTACAGTTTAGGTATAAATAATACAAAAGTAGTTTATACTTTTCTAACTATTTGTATGTAAATTAATTATATATTAGTAAGTTCAATAGATTTATTTAGGCAAATGATATATGTGGTGCATTTTGGTGTTAAGAACATTTTTTGAGTCATCATCCCGTGACACCAGTTTGAAGCTAACTGGAGATGGTAGCTACGCGGCGATTAAAAAAAAAAGGTAAACATTTTCTCCAAACGAACGACGGATAACTTAATAGATAATGGTGTGTTATGTTTACTTTTCATATGTTATTGTTCGGAAAGTTTCTACGGTAGAAATTACGAATTGTAGCGCACGAGATGTATACGACTTTAAAGGTCCACTTTCATTATAAATGGAGGTTTCATATGTGTATTTACATATTGGTACCGAAATGTTTTGTACGCAATTTAGAAACCGATCTTCAGCATGCATTTTACAAAATATATAATACTCTTTTTATCATATCCGTAGACAATATGTAGAAACTGGGGAAAATACAGGTTTATATAACTATGATTTATTTGTAAAAATCTATCAATTTTTTGAAAGACAGAGCAGTGATTTTTTAAAATATACAGAGCCTCTTAAGTCAAAGGAAAGTAAAATTTCGTCTGATATTACAAAGATTGGCATGCAAACTCTAATAGGTAATTATATAATGAAATTAAGAATTCAACTAACTACTTTGAAATTCGTATTTACGAAAATCTATCTTGAACCAAAAATTCTTAATCGTTCCTATAACCATGAAGATAAATAGTTTTTTGGAGAGTTAAAACTTTGTTCATATGTCAGTTAGAAAGTTAACAAATCAAAATACATTAACATTTCCAAAACGACGGCATGACTTATGCTGTCCTTAAACATATTTCCCGATAAAAAGCTACAGTTTAATTAAAAATAAATTTTGACTTTTGAATGTTTCATTTTATTTCTTTACTAATACCTGACTTAAAGAAGTGCTCTTCAAGTTACAAAATCCCGCATATAATTTTAATACTATTTCTAACTTCGGAAAATATATGAATTACTTCATATTTTAAGTCTGAGGCTAAAACTGTCATATATACTTCAGGTATAGATTGAACTTAAAACACAATTTTCACAGTATTTAATTTAAAACGAAATAAGGTTTCAGAGATTTAATAACATTGCTATATTAAATGCGCAAAATTAAAACATAGATTTGCTAATTCAGAAGTCAAACAACAAAAATCAGCGTTATATTTTCAAAATTTTCAACAGATGGCGGCACTTGCTTATGCCTGTCCAGGCTTTCTTATTTTATCTAGTCATTATTTCCTATCTTGTTCATTTGCGGTTTTGCAGCTGAGGATGGTGGTTCGGTAAAAACCATCGAATCTAGTCCTGCGAAAAATTTTGAAAATATAACGCTGATTTTTGTTGTTTGACTTCTGAATTAGTATTTATTCGGCGTGTTATTGTGTCTTAATTATAGATTTGCTATTTAATATTTATAGGACCTTACTGAATAAAAGTCGAAATAATAGGTGATTTTTATTATATGAGCAGCTTTCGTCATTTGATATAACTTAGATAATTAATTAACGTTGTATAAATATATTTCACCGAATTTATTGTTAAAAACTAACTCCGGACTATCAGTTATAAGTTACACAGTAACAAAATCGCTGCCTTCGTTAAACCAATCAGAACTTTGTTTAACGTTAATAAAAGAACACTCTCCAAAAATCCGTTGAGTTAATATAAACCTACCTGGAAAGAAATGAGGAAGTATGCAGCGCATATGATGACTAGTAGGACACCAAGTATGGATAAAGCCGAGACGATGATACCCCACATGCTTCGGAAATTGGAATATATTCCTGGTTTCGGCAAACTCAATTCTTCTGGGTTAAGGGCTAGTTGATTTAAACACTTTTGGCACTGAGTTACACAAGCGGATTCCTTTTTAATGCCGGAAAGGAAAGAAACGTCTCCCATCTTCAAAGCCAGCTCATTATCTTTCCACAATCCAACCTGAAAGGCACGAAATTGAATAAACACTTGTAAAGAATGTTTCAGTTTCATAAATTTGGTACTTTTCATGGAATTTTTCTGATGAAGTTACATTAAGTTTGCCTGTTATAAAATTATCAAAGGAGCTGCTTTAAACTACGCTACAGAACAGTTAAAAATCTTAAGCTTGAAAATCGTTACGCTAACTCAAAATTCAAAATAGAATTTATGCAATTTATTTAATACGCTATGAGCATTTTATTTATTGCATTATGTTTACAACAAGGTTTTGAACTTTTTTCGACTTCAACTAGCAATTGGAAGATCCGCAGTTCGAATACCAGTGAGAACGAAGTTAATATTTTTCTTGTCTTAGCTTCATAAAACCAAGTAGTCTCAATCGCGATTAAGCTAAAAATGCGTTGGACTTTACTTGATTTGACAGAGTAGCTTCATTTACTCTTAATTAAAAGGAAGCACACTAAATCAAATTATATTATAGACTTTTCTACAAGCGTTTGAATTGCCATAACTGTCTGCTTATGGCTGAATTTTGTTGCTACTAATTCCTGTAGTTGCTACTAATTTCTTTGACGAGAAGTTGTTCTCTTGCTGTGAGCATCTTTATCAGCGGCAGTAATACATCACTGAATCTTACTGTACTGAATTATGGATTCTTATGAACTACTGATACCCTATTTAAAGTTTACAACAACTTTTCAATTTAATTTAAACTATTCGAACCTGACACACAAGGCTGATGTACCGCAACCGTGTAGAATATAGGTAAAATAACCCAAGTTATGCCTTTTACATCAAATTGATAAAATTACGTGAAGTACACATTGATTTCCAATAAGCATCAATATGCTCTGTGGAGCATTTACGTTAGTTTCTTTGAACTCCAATACTTTAACAACAGGTTTTTCTCAAATTAATGCGATCGATCAAATCAGAAATATAAATATGTAATATATTAGGTAATATGTTATCGAAGTATACAGCATTCACTTCAAGAACAACTTACTTGTTGGTACACATGATGAACTTTCTCTTTTTTCAATTGGAATATTTGGTAACCCATTGATATTTTCAGTGGACCGCAATCTCCATCAATGCAATTTACTGGTGGTCCTTTCACAAGTTTACGCATTTCTCTCCATAAGATTTGTCTTGCATCCCCTCCACAGTCTTCCAAGTTCGTAGCGGCGTCTCCGTGAGCACAGTATCGTCTCAAATAGTCATGAAGAGCTTCAGCGACTGTCGTGACAGCAAATACGGTGTGATACACAAAGGTGTCTTGACTTAGTGGCAAAGATGTCAAGCTTTCCGTGCCTCTGCAAGGATCAGGGAAAAGTTGCTTCAAAGGTACTGAACTTTGGGGTAAATGGCAACGAAAGTGATGCTGCCAAAACTCATCAAACCATACATCGGGAATAGGATAATGCTTATTTAAATTGAATCCAGAATAGTATTCACGAAATCCAGGTACTTCGTATGTTTCTGGACGTACGAGGAAGAAATCCACATCGGTTCCTGGAATTAAAAATATATATTAGTTAACTTTTGCAAGAATTTCTACCATCAAACAAATATTTACATTTGCAGATGATTGCCAAGGAGAGATCCCCCAGTGACAATGCAGAAAGAGAGTTGCAAAAGGCGATATTATACAATTCCACATCATTTGCCATTTTATGATTTCATACATCCATCCGGATTGTTCAAGGCTATGTAGATTGTATGTTCTGCTTGTACCTCAAGGTAAAAGCAATTGAAAAATTGTGTGTTGCAACAAATTCGTTGTTTTTCTGAGCAGTTGCACTACAGCTTTGTTATATTGGTTACATCCAAACTCCAGAATGTAGTCACTCCAAGAAATATTTACGGGGCAAGATATTTACTTCTAGCCTTGACCACATGAGTTGGCCAAAATGCGTCATGTACTGTAAATCACCAATGGAGTGTGTGGTGACCATTCTTATTTCTGTTTTTGGAAAATTTGTCACTATTTATTTAGAGGGCATCATTTTATTTTGTTATCCAATAACACTGCATAGTACGTACCTCTGGTCTGGTCATTTCCCTGAAACGAGATTTATACCATCTGATTTCAATAAATTTATCATAATACCCCCACTAGAAATTTTATATATCTTTCGTCTGGGAAGTCTCTACATTAGTTATGCGATAAAATGTTATTTTTCCTTAGCAGGTGCCAAGAAGAATAAAAATAAATAACTCACACTAGGGATGTTTTACTAAAATACTATTTTAAAAACAACTCATATTGCATTAGTTATTATGCAAAAAAAAAAGAACTGGAAAGCTCATTTTAAAAAATAAATATAATAATTAAATAGAAATCAGAATTCAACCATTTAAAAAATCTTGCTTTGTTTATCCTTGAAGCAAAGGTATGCAACTGTGTTAACCCATTTACTACGCAGGGTGGATAAGTAAAAAATGTTTAAGTTAATTTACATTATTATGAACTCGCTCACTGAACAAAGACTAAAATCACTAAGCACGTAACAAAACTCCACACTACAAATGGACAAAATGACTTCGGGATTTGCTGTCCTCCTTCTTAACTTCACCAGAAAGGATATAAAGACAAAAAATATTAATAGAATTATCCATGAAAATACTTTAAAAGGACTCTAGTCTGTAAGAAACTATTCCTTCAAACATATAAATGCTCATCAAATTTGATTTCCACATCAAAAACAAATAACAGTTTCTATCTTATTGTACCTTTAATTATAGTCCTGCTAGTTATACATTTTCAATAAGTATTTACACATCATGTCACAGAATGACTCAGCGTGTTCCCTCATGTTTATGCCTCACAGCAAGTCGTCATACCTTAAATGAGGTCACAGATTGTAATTTATGCCAACAAATTCTATGCTTTTATAAACGAAGATTTTAATGCCTAGAGAGTCCTAAGAGGATGCTGACTCTGCAGTGGCTTTTCAAATGTGTACCAAATATGCTGTATAAGATTTAGGTGTGCAAATTCGCTAACCATATAACTATATCATACGGAGAAAACAACTTTACCCGGAAAATCGTCGACAATTGAGCTCTGTGTGGCCATGCTTATCGTTCATAAAAACAAATCCCTCTCCAAGATCTTCCCGAAAAAGCCTCACAATGGGTTCAAGAACTTCCTATGTCACAGTAACTGAACTGAAGTTATGGAGTGGTATATACAACCGTCCTCATATAAGATGCCTCCATAATAAGATGCCTCCACATAATGCCTCCTCATATAAGAATTCCACTTACAGCAAAGTTGTTAATTTCCTTTATGATGAAGGGAAGACAGCGGATGCTAGGTTTTCTCCAAATGAAGACTGATCGAGATGTTACCACATTGCTGAGTGTAGTAAATTGTGACTGACTACTGAAGACAAATCTTGCTGTTTTCAAGAAAACATCGCATGGCTCCCCCAAACCATAAACTGTTTTCGACTATCTATTGAGAAGCGCTCGGGGCGTAAAGGCCATGCTATCGGCATCTACGCACACTTTGGCCAAACTTTGTCATTCCAGGCGCAGCAGTAAGCCCTGCCAAGCTCTCTAGTCATCATCTCTCTAAGTCATCGAGCATTTAATGCTACATATCGATCATCCGCAGGTGTCGTGGCTCTTGGATGGTCTTAGGTGAATTGCCTTGTGATGCTTCTTGTAGTGTGGAGTTGATGCTAACTCCAATACCATCATTCGAAACTCTAATGAATATCGAGCAAACTCCGTTTGAGATTAGACAGTCTCAGATCCACTGATAAACCTTTCGTTTCCGTCATCGTCTAAATGATTGGTAAACCTCATTTTAACTAAAATCAGTCAGTTTTGTGACACTTTTTACTGCAGGAAACGCAGTTCTAAAGATGTAATTCGCAGTTTCTAAAACCAGTTCTTTTCAGGTTTTCTCGAAACGCGGATCTTATTAAACTTTTAACAATTAATAGATGAATATATTACGTTAACCATCCCGACAATTCGATATGACATCAAGTTCTAAGGTAGGGGTTCCTAATGTGGTCATTATTGACAACTTGGAAATAAATAATGAAGGGGATTCCAATGATGATCATAGGAATGATATCCGAATATGCACCAGCAATGAATCGATATAAAAATTGATCCTATTGATCACAAAAATTGCGTTAATAAAAATGATAATTATTATTAATTGATAAGAAGCTGTATCATGTAGTAAGAAAGAAATTATATAAAATAAATATGTAGGCAATTTTATGTTAGTTAATCAGTTATTTATTATTCAGCTTTTACTATGACTTCTCCTTTTCGTATTCCTCACCAGAATGCAAATGAGTGTACAGTAGTTAAACTGAGGTTTTTGTATTTTAAGACAGAGTGCATCACTGTCATTGCGTGCGTGTTACTCTACCAGTTTCTGTTATCTCTGATAATTGTAATAATTATTCGGCTCTGCGTTCTCTTACTGCCGATACTTTACTTCTGATGCTCCTGTAGGATTAGCGAGTTGGCTTCTAGTGTAGCAATTAATGGTAGAGTTTTAACAGAGTCCACATTTAACTAAAATTTGACTGTTCATTTATTTTCACCACCACGAGGTGTGGTTATATTGTAGCACAAGAGTGCCTTTGTGGTCGAAACTCTGTTTAAATAAAAAAGGTTATTTTTAACCTTCCCACAACTTTCTTGTTGTGTAAAACATAGCAATGATTCACTCCACGTTTTTTAGGCTAATTGGACTACCTAGCATTACTAGATCAAGTGCAATCCCTCAAATACAAAGAAAAAATACACAGAAATTATTTAATGTACTTTAAAAATAAATAACAAATCAATATTCTTTAAGTACATTATATTTTATGCAGTAAGTGCAATAAAAAAGAAACGCATTTAAAAGAAGATTTCAGTGTTAGCTTCCAAAACATTCGAAATTTGAATGCGCTAGCATGGCTCATAAAACCGCTTAATTACGAGCTTGGTATTAAGATGCAAGAACTGAAGAAGATATTGAAGAAGGATGCTCACGCACAAGTCTTATTCAAAGCAGATGACGCTAAGTTTTGATTTAGTTTGGTTTAGTACTTGATTACGTCAAATGGTTATTTACGTTATTTGATTACGTCAATCAATAAATGGCTATTTTTCAAAGGGGAGGATTCCTTCGTGGAGGACTTTCAAGGGGAAACTTGCTCATGTACACGTTACACAGCGAGGAAACCATTAAAACGACCAAGCTGCCCATGCCAAGACAGTATTTTTACGAAATAAATAAAACATAAAACTTTATCCAGAAAATTTAATATACTTTTCACTTAACTCATTTATCCTGCGTGATATTTAAAATGATTTTCAGAAAATAGTTCTGGTAAGTTTCTCTTTTAACACCTGAGTGTGAACTGTTGTTTTCCCTTTTGTTCTCTCAATTGTGTCCCTGCGGGACTTTTAAGCTCCAATTTTAAATTTTAAAAAAGCAATGAAAAACTAATAACATTTTTGTAAGTTTAGTGTGAGATGTTTCTCATGCACAAAGAAATATAACAAAAAAAGTTACAAACTCTTTTCAAAAATTAGAGTAATTTCGGGCATAAATGGTTAAAGAGAATCTGCATTTGTATGTATACATAATACAGTTAAGTAAATTTGAATTTTTTTTAATTGAACTATAGTAATATCGTTCATCTTCGGACCACATTTCTTTTTACCGGACGGGAGTTAACGCATTTAAATTCTATTATTATCTATGTTAGAGGAATACAATAATTAGAAAAACTTTTATAAGACACAATGTTTACTGTAGAAATTTATTCCAGTCCTTCAGAAATTTTAATCTATATTTTTGTATTTCGATGATTTGAATGTTATTGCAGAATATCATGAAAGACAACAGAAATTTTTAGCATGTATATCGATTGATCGAGGATATTAAAATATTCGTTTAAGAAAAAACATTGATTTTGATAAAAAAAACCGTAAGCCAGTAATGTATCCTTCAGATGTGATTCTGCCATACGTTAAGAAATACAGTGTTTAGGGCAGTTAGGGAAGGAAGAAAGGACTTACCCTGTAAAGTTCGGGCAAGATTGAGACCACCTTTTTTAGTTTCGATTGAAATCCATACGAAATCTTCAATTACTGACGCCTGTTTGGCAGCTTCTAAAACATTGTGTAGTACATCAGAATCTTCCAGTAATACAACATTGACTCTGGACTCTTGATCGGGTCCCAATTCTTCGGTGAATAATGCCGCAAGATCGGAAACACTCATCTCGGGTTTGATCACCAGGGATTCAGAAATGCACACTTTTCTTTCCTTGGCTAAGTCTACGAAATTCCAGAAAATACTGCGATCATTCTCTGAGCCCGAATGAAGAAGGGTGACCAACCGCCAATCAAATCTAGAAGATAACAAATTATTTAATGCCTCTATATTCTGGAACTGTTAGATATAGTTCGACCGCCTTATCCGCGACCATGAGCGCAAACACGCATGCGCCATTCTGACCGAATTATTCTCAAAATAGGGTGGAAGGATGAGGTCTTTCTTTTCCTCCAGCAAAGCTCTTTCCGGAGAAGAGACCTTTCACGTCGCAGCAAGTAATACCGCCCCTTTTGGGCGAGTCTATATGTTTTGGCAGAATGCCAACCAGGGTTGCGCTTGAGACAGTCGAACTATATTTATTTTTACCTCATGATATATGCCGAAAAGATATCAACAACGAATATTCAGAATTTGCTACATGCCTTAACAATGAAAAATGTTCGAAAATCATATTTAACTACATATACTGCTTATAAAAATAATTAGTTAGGTAGATACATTTTGAAAATATAATGTTTTATACTGTTTATCACAGATATTGAAGAATAAAGAACATTGATAAAATATTTATAATAAATTAAGACAGTTGCTGAATTTGAATCTTTTATACTGTTTATCACAGATATTGAAGAATAAAGAACATTGATAAAATATTTATAATAAATTAAGGCAGTTACTGAATTTGAATTCTCATGTTTGATTAAGTATTTATGTTTTTAATACTTTTCCATATTTCTTTATTGCGCACGTCGACAGGCGATTTTAGGTAATACACATTACAGTAAAACACGAACACAGTGAATGAATAAGATGAAGGCCTTCTAAATATATATATTTAAATATTAAATTAATTTATTATTTATTCACATAGAGCAATGATACTAAAAAGATTAAAGCATTTATTATCTGTTTTATAATTTTAAGATTTTTCATATTTGCAGATACTGAAATATCGTTTGAAGTGCTGTATAATTCTTTTAACGAGGAAATATATGGTGGATATAATGCGGAATAAAAGAGTTAATAACAGTTTAAATCCTCAAAAATTAAATGAAATAAAGATATATTATTGTCATAAAAGATGTGTTTATAGCAAGAATAAGCGTAATTTACTTAAATTTGCAGGACTAGTTCCGAAAATTAAACAGAAACTTCTTCTTTGACTGCAGGAGTAAAAGCGATGATGGGGAAGCATGTACTCACGCGAGAAAAATTAACAAAGCATTCAGGAAAGTTTCATCTGAGGAAGAAGAAACAAAGCCGTTCGCATAAGCTATTGGCAAGAAAAAAAAGAGGAAAAGAACTATTAAATAAATTCTTTAAAATCTGAAGGTAAAGAAGATTAGAATTAGGGCCATTAGCTAGAACTGAAAGATTTTTATGAATATGAAACTCGAAAAAACATTTATAAGCATTTACAAAACATTTGTAGCTTTAATTAATGATCCTGATCCTAATCCAGTCTTCAGCTTTTCAGGAAAAGATTTCATAGTTGTTTTTACGTTTGTAAACAGAAGGCGCCAAACACGTTTCACCCCCTTTCCTTTGTTGGAAATTTTTCGAAATTTTCGTCAATTTTTTTTTTTTTTTTTTTTTTTTTTTTTTTTTTGGAACACATGTTTCTCCCTCCTCATTTTTACTCCTACGACTAAAAAAAGAAGATTCTATTTAACCTTTGAAATCAGGCTTGCAAATTTAAATATCTAATATTGATTCTTGTTGCTGATTCTTGTTGTTTTAACATTTGTTCTTTAGCTGTTATTTTAGTTACTATTTGTACTATTGCTTACATTGATTATTATGATTTAGTATCAGAATTTTTTACAGAATCAAAGAGCGTTTTATTCATTATTTCTCTATGCTCCACATTGTTTCAATACTGGCAATTTAAATTCTCAAGCGCACATATTACGAAAATTTGTATCCCGAAATGATGTTAACAGTAAGACTGTTAAAATAACTGTAAACAACAAAATATATCTCGGAATCGTTTCATCAAATCATGCTACAGAGCACTGCTTGTCAGATGTTTTTGACCCACGAGCCGGTAAAATTTACGAACACATTTCACGGACTATGTGTTCCTCCCCCAAAAAATATTAAAAACTTTACAAATTATTCAGGAATTACTACATAATTTAATTTTAACATTCTTATTATCATTTGCCTACACTAATATTTAAATGTAAAGATAAGTAAATATTGTAATTATTATATATAATTAAATAAATCTTTGAGACAAATCATAGAAAATTGTAAAAAAAATAATCACAAAAACCAATGCATTAAAAAACAGCGGACAAGTGACGGTACACTGGACCAGCGATTGAGAATCCTTGGCTTACCATACTGAGGCGCCGCCTGTCAAACTCTAACGTCGCTTTTCCTTTGCTCAAGTGGCAACAGCTGAAATAATCAGAATTCATAACAACAATTGAATTTTGTTAAAAAAACTTCGTTGTTATTTGCTTAACTTCTCTTTTCTTAATTCAGAAGTCAAACAACAAAAATCAGGGTTATATTTTCAAATTTTCACAGGACTAGTTTCGATGGTTTTGAAAATTTGAAAATATAACGCTGATTTTTGTTGTTTGACTTCTGAATTAGTATTGTTCGGCGTGTTATTGTGTCTTAATTCTGTTTTCTTGTTAATAAAATTAATTAAAGAAGTTCATTTTATTACACTAATAATACAGTTGCGATTATTCAACGGACTTCAAAGAATGATATGCATTTCTCCACTGAAAACTAACATGTATCATCTCATACGAGCATTCGCTACTCGCAAATACACGTTCGTGGCTCCACGTAGGTCTCCTAATTCTAATAAATGTAAATTAAGCAGACACACTTAGAAAGCTTGAGGTAATGCATTGCACAGTATACATGATAACATGCACAATTGCCAGATTTTAATATTTTTCTCTTGTAAAGAACGATAGTTATATTGTCATAATACTTCTGAATTTGGAAAGACTGGAGAATAGTGTTTGTGGACCTGGTGGTTGAGAAACACCGCTATAGAAGCATCGTGAGGGGGAAAAAATTACGTATTCTGTTAACAGACTATGGACTTTATCAATCCGTTGATCGCTTAAAACTATTAATAAATACGTGTAGTTAAACTGTTATTAATCTAGAATAAGCAGAAAAAGTAATAATTTAAAAGTTTCCAAGGTTCAGAAGAGTAAGAATTTAGACAGCTAGCTCTCGAGTAAATCTTCATATGTTCACCGGGATCAATGCAATTTGAGATTATTTTCATTAATTATTTATATAGTCATATTAAGTTAACAATTGATCAATAAACATTAAAATGATTGGGATTGCTTTTCTCTTTGAGAATATTCATAATAGCAGATTTTATGGTTCTAATTAATTTAAAAAATTCTGAATTTCCAACCTCTTCAGAAGATCCACAACCACTTGCACTTCGACGTTAACTTGTTTTCCTTCTTTGGGAGAGCTCCTTTTCTTTCTCTCGGGAGCAGCTGGGACGAGTCCAGTTGGAGTTGAGATTTGCGGAATGAGAACCGATTCAAACAGTGGTGAAAGATCATCGGCCACCACGGGATCATATGTTAGTGCCGCTACCATGGCTCGGGATCTAAGGCCAGCTTCACTATAGGGTAAAGATCCATCACTGGCAATGAAACTGAAGATCTGTTCTTCTGCCTTTTGCCTCCGACCACAGTGATCAAACACCAAAGCACCTGATTGTAAAAAGGAAAGAAACAACAAAATTACTTTGCATCAAAGTCCTTTATAGACGTTTGCTTTTGCACTAAATTAATTATTGCAAGGCCTACATGCTTAGGCTTCAGCCTAGTTTTGATGAAGAACACCACAGAAGATATAATCCAAAAAATCTCGGAATTTGTTTCTCCTAAACATCAATCTCTCGAGTAATTTTTGATTAAGAGAAGATTATGTTAAGGCAATCAAATGGCAAAATTGAAAGATAACACACCGATCTTTGCTGACTGTTAATTTGAAACTTGTGATAATTTGTTTCTGGATCAAAATTGAAAGAGATTAATATTTGATTTATGGATAAACAATACAATACAAGTTAAATTTTCATGTGCCTTAATTATCGTGAATTAAAGAAATTTCTTCATTCCTGGACATAACTCAGTATTTTTAATTAATAAAAAATAATGTCAAATAATTTTAAAGGAAAAGGAAATTATTATTATACATTTACTCGAAGGTTTCGTAACATAGTACTTCTAGAAAGTTAAATTATAAATACGAACACGGTAACCATTTAAGAATCGAGGTGATGTTAAAATTGCCTAAATTTCCTTTACTGGAATAGCTAATTTAAGTAATATCAAACGATTACTGGATACAGGACTGGAAAGCATTGATAAATATAACAGAAAATTACTATTACTTATGAACTCTCTTATTTATTTTTCATATCTCTAATAACATAGCCTAAACAGGAAGTTCTAAATAACAAGATTTACTAATTTCATTCACAAAAAGCGTTAAAGGCAAACAATATGAACATTTTCAAGAGTACAAAAAGCAGTTTAGTCGAAATACGCCGAATCGCAAATTTTATTCAGACACATTACCAGCTTAATACATATTGCAAAATTAATTTAAGCACTAATAATATCTTACTGTATATAATGTATGCGCATTTGTTTGGCATACAAAAATCAATAATTGGAAAAACTGTTTAATTATCCACAGAATCAGCAAGTGACATTAAAACTAACCATAAATGAAACACGAAAGCTCAGTGGTCACTGATAGCGAGTTTGCCATATCTTTTGACGTAATGAAGGATGAAGAATCTTCAAAAGTAGAGAGAGAAGCTGGTGTCATCACGAACTACTTTTCCGGCCTCAAGGCTTGGCTTGTATCCTTTACCGGCTTCAAGGTACCGTAATTTCCGGAAGAAAGGCCGCATCAGCGTAAACGCCGCACTCGAGAAAAATGGCGGGAAAAAAATTAAAATTACACAGAAACGCCGCATCAGCGTAAACGCCGCAATAGATTAAATTGCGCGTAACATCGTCGTGGGCGGTATAGATGCAAAACTCAACCTAAGTCCTGAATATATGACATACCAAGTTAAGAAAATGCATGAAATGAAACCATAACTCAAAAATAAATTAAAGGTAAGAAATGTATAGCTTCTGTGCCGTTTAGAGACATTTTCAAAAATTTTCCGCTCCCTAATTAAAAACTATCCAACAAGTACTTGTACCCAAACTGATGGGATCTGTATTTGGCAGAATGCCAAGAAAAATCCATTCACGCTGAAGGGGAAATACGTCAGAGTTCGTTATTTCGAAGCAGGTGGAGTCGTGTCCGCCTTTGAAAAAAATTGCAGAAAAGGCAGGTGGGGAGAAGATGGGTCCTGGAAGATTCATCGAATGGTAGAGGAGAGAGAGACTATTCAAACTGATGAGAATGTTGATTTGAAAGGGGAAAGAACGTTATTGTTCTGAGATCTCGTTTAGGGTGAATAAGGCATGTAGGTCCGTTCAAGGGAAAGAATGTAAACAAAATAACGTTCGCAAAAAGCAACTGAGTGGTCTTTTGTGTGGGAACAGCACCAGTCTATGCACAATGACAAGGCCATCCAAACTATGTACAATGACCATCATAGGAAATATTTTATTTTTAGTGCACCTAAACGCCGCATGGGTAGAAAACGCCGCACCCGCTGAAAATTTAAGTTTTAAACACTTAAACGCCGCGGCGTTTCTTCCGGAAATTACGGTAGTTTAAAATAATATAGGAACTGGTTTCAAGCCATCATTTCCGCTATATGCGACAGAACTTTCCATTGCCAGAGTATTCTTCCATCCGTGAAGACCATTTGTTACGCACCTGTTAAATTTCGAAATCTCAGACCTTATGAGACTCGACAATTTTCTCAACAGAACATTGGATGTCAGAAGTGTAATAGCAATATATGGTTATTATCGTTATTACTTATTCACATACTTTTTTGTGCTTATGAAAGCATACGAGCTTTGCCATATACGTTTTAGCCGATTGGCCATGCGACGGAGTTTGTGTTGGGTTGAGTTATTTGGATTATGCCAAAACTCACAAAACCTATCCGCTTTAGGGAAAGGATGACTTCTTGGAGACTTTCTAAGGGTAACTTGTTCATACTCATGCGAAACATCTGCACGAAGATAAAAAACATTAAAAAATGCTATGAAAACTCTCTTGTAGCTAGATCCCACCAGAGACAGAACGGCAAAGTCCCTGAACACTGCTAGTTCGATCCGAGTTTCAAATCCGTGAACGGGCTGGCTTCATGGGCGTTTTAGTGAACGAGTATACGAACCAATTTCCCTTTGAATCTCCTTCACAAAGACATCCCTCTTCTTAGGCAGACAGTCCTCGAGTGCTTTGCCATATTCAGATAAACCAAACCAATTCTTGCAGCTAGCTTGTCTGCCGATATCGGAGATGGTTCGAACTGCCAGTGTTCAACGGTCTTTTCGCTCTGCCGTTTTCATTACAGGAGAGCACATAGTTATCAACTGCAGCTGGTATTCATAAGGGCTATGTTATAAATTATTACTATTATAAAATACAAGCATAAATTTATATTTATTCATGCCTTTTTAAGAAGCTAAAATATGCATTGCTACTGATATCCTCTCCTTACGCCTTCTTCTCCTCTTTTTGAAGTTTTGTTAGAAAGAATGTTGGTTTCCTTCCTTAACATTTGAGACTTCTGTTCTTGCCTGTAATTCTAGTTCATCATACACATACATATTTGTATTTTTCTATTAAATAAATTTAAAATGTCTCATTTTGGACGTTTTCGTTTTTTTAAATGATCAATTTCTGCTATCATATTTACAAATCTATACATAATACCCGATAACGTCTTCGGGATCTTTATTTTTTGGCAGCACTGGGTTGCCACATTGACAATTACTTTTTCTAAATCTTTGAAAAAAATTAAGCATTATTCAAAAGAATTTGCGATGGTATTGTTTATATATGGAATTTAGCTACATTTCATTAGAGCCTCACACACATCATTATAACTTATAAAAGTTTATGAATCCATATCTTAAAGAACTTCACAATTAAAATGACTACGGCATAAACAACTGAAGAGCAGGCTACAGTGTAGTCCTTCTGGATAATATATATGCAAAAGATAATAATTTTATTTATAAATACAGAAATTCTATGAATTGCTTTGATCAGCTCTCTGTTAAACTGGCCTAGACTTCAACGCTCTTTTCATGACATCTGTGATCCCGAGATCTCACAATTCATGATTTCTTTCTTTAAAATGTTAAAAACTCTGTTTATGTGCCCTAGCTGCCGGAAAGTTTGGTTGAACTCAAGTATTCCATTGTTAATACCGCATATTATGACTTATATCGCGTGCTTTTAATATAAAATATGAGATCGAAATTTATGGGTGCGCGTTACATATAGGATATAAAAATGATAGATTTAAAAATAAGGGGAAAAGTGAAACTACAAAAATTATATTTATGCATATACTGAAATGCTGTTTGTTCAAAAGAAATAACGTTCTTCACGAACTTAAAAAATTTCCTTATCTGATAATATAAAAAGTGAGTCATATTGGTCTTCAGTTATATCTTCAAGCACATCTTCGAATTCTATTTCGCTTCACCACCCCTCTTTTTCTGATCCATAAATAAATAATCATCTTCCATTCCATCTAGATTGTTAGGTATCTTGCATTTTTAATGACTTTTGAATTAAATCGGGTTTAATTTCGTTCCATGCTTTTATTATCCCCTCACACATCATTTCTAGACTGGCAACACGCATTTGTCTCCCTTTTCCTTCTTTGCTCCTACCTTGCCTACGATGTTCACTTCAATATCACAGATTAAAATGACTGCAGAAAGGAAAAAGTGCCCTCTTATCTCAAATAATATGTCTTTTTCTCGAAACCCTAGAATAATATCCTTGTGCACACCTGCATTGAATTCAAAGCACCTTCTCTGCAGAATTATTTACTTTCTGAAGCATTTCCCTACACACATATTGCTCCCCTTCTCGCTTGTCAGTTCAGTACACCATTATTCAAAAGCCTGGAGAAATTCTTCGAATGAATATTTCAAAAGATAAGAGCATCGTCCATGTATCTTTCAGGTTTCTCCGTAAAAAAAGGGGTGCGCATTGTAAGGCGAATATATATAAAAACTAAAAAATATAATTTGAAATTATAGGTGTGCGTTATATGCCGGAATATACGGCACTTATGACGTTAGCAAGAAGATTCTAGAGTGAGGCTCTAGTGGCTCTATGAGTGTGAGGCTCTAATGGCTCTATGAGTGTGCGGCTCTAATGGCTCTATGAGTGTGAGGCTCTAATGGTCTCTCAAGTGTGGCTCGAAGTCGAATACCGCATAGAAGTAAGTGTATATATAAGTGAATACCGCATAGAAGTAACAGCAGGAAGCCGCACTGAAACTTTGTGATAACATGAATATAAAATTGTTTAACTGGCATTTATTTTGTGTCATTCATTGCTCATCATGGATAATATTTCTTGAAACATAGAATTTTAAGCTCGATGAATCATTTATAATCACCCTGTCTAATCACTCCGAAAACAAAATGGAATAAAAGCTAAAAATGTTTAAACCCTATCTTCTTTGGTACCAAAACCAATTAAAAATGCTAAAAATTTATTCTTTTTCCCATAAATATAATTTTTTGCTTACCAAGTTGTATCTGTGGTAAAATAGTGGAATTAGAATTAACTTTCTCCAAAGCGTAGCTGAGTGCAAGAAGGTTCTGGAAAGATTTCTTTTCCACTATTCGGCTGCATGTGAAAAAATTGTCTCCCGGTTTGTGGACTGGAATCATGACTCCAATAACGAACTCCTGATTGGCTGGTATCTTCATAAAAGGCAGAGATAAGAGTGCGGTATCAGGTTTATTTGCACAAATTTCACTGTCGTTGCAAAAGGACAGCACTTCTTCCAAAGGCACAGGCTCTTTTTGTTCATTGTAACCCCGCGTTAACGTAGCATTGATGAACAAGCCATGATCTTCATCGAATATACCTACCTGGAAATAAAATCAAACCATTGATATAAAATTTATTAGATAAATTTAAGTCACAAACGACATATTTGTAGGTAGGAAGGAAAACGTTTAGAGCAAAAACGTTTAACTCTTTCACAACCAATCCGGCCCACTTAGCCCTACATTGAAACAACCAGAAGCGTCCGAAAACGGCCGAGATTGTAATCTCATTTTCTTCCCTCCCTCTAAGATATGCAGTTCGGTATTTTGGGCGGTTTGGTATTTTGAGGATACAGGTTAGCGAAGGGTCTGGATTTCAAAGAGTTAAGAGATATTTGCTATGCATAGACTGATTTAGAAGAACTTGTTCATATTTACAATGTATATGAAATAATGTACGATTATAATAATCCAGCCATTAGAAAACAGTATAAACTAGAACGAAATCTATTAATATCTATTAATCGTGCGAACTGTTATTTATTTTACCGTAATATTTAATGTGATAAAAATTTTTTAACATTGTAAAGTATTTTTCCCGTCTTTCTAGCGTGCCTTCATGGTGTGATGGTTCTGCAAGCTGGGCCGGTATTCCAGAAGTCCGTGGTTCGATTCCCGGCGAAGGCTTTGTTAAGTTTTCCTCTTTGATGCTTCCAAAATATCCCAATGTCTCTCCAGTGGAGCCCGAACTAAAAGGGTTGTGGATGGTGACTCTCCACACCCAGGATTTGGCGATTGGGTCCCCTAAAAACCCCAGTCGCCCTTTAAAAGGGGGAGTATGTAAGGTATTTCTCCCGTCTTTCTAACGTGCCTTCGTGGTGTAGTGGTTCTACACGCTGGGGCGGTATTCCAGAGGTCCGTGGTTCGATTCCCGGCGAAGGCGTTAATTTTTTATCTTTCATGCTTCCAAAATACCTAATGTCTCTACAACATAACATTTTTACTTTATAAGAAGAATGCAATTTATTTTTTTCATAAATGAAAAATCTATTTAATTTTGTTCTACTAAAAACTGCTTAAAATAACACGCAAATTTGTTGCTAATCCACTTAGTCACTTAATAGAATACGAAAATCGTAGCATTCAAACGCAATGTTAAAAAAAGAGAGAGTTTTATTCTTAATAACGTTAACGTTTAAAAAATCCAAAGGAAATAAACTGTGCAACCCGCAAATAAACTGTGCAAATTTTACGATACTTAAATACAGATGCTTTCACAGTTTCACAAAGATCAAGGCGTCTACTTTTGTTAATAAACTAGACGTCTACCTGATCACTCTGATAACGCTTTACAAGTGCAAAGAATGATTAGAGCGATCCAACATGAAAAACGATCAAAATCATAGCATGAGTGATACGATTTCAACGATGTCAAAATCAGCATAGATTAGAAGAAAAAACATTGACAATCTGCCGTATGAAAAGGTCCCATGCAATCATTAATAAGACATCTTCTTGCCCTGTGAGTGTTAATTAACTGTCTTGTTGATAAAGTTCAACTTTTTTCATTCATGTGGTGACAGTATATACAAGTAAATCCTTCAAATGACCTATAGATGTCTGTCGTACCAGCAAAAGTAGACATTCTCGGCATTTTTCATATACGAAAAATATCTGATGAGTTTACTTCCACTTAAATGCAATAAAAATAGATATCGATTGCAAAGTTTATTTTCTATGAATTTTTAAAATGTTTCACGGTCTTCATAAATAACCTTGTAACTAATTAAACGCAAGGAACTATCACTTTCTTCTAATAAAAATACTTGTAAAGTTATTCTTTTAGCATCTCAGCCGCTTCCGTTGCCATCTGTCTAAAATAGCTATCATAAAAAACAAAAAAAAAACGTATAAAGCGTTTGACATGTCCAGTTAGTTATTTCATCCAATCCAGCTAGTGTAATCTCATAAAAATGTTTTATGATTTTAATAAAAACTAAAAATATGGCCATTTTTGCTTACAGTAATTTATTCAATTGTTGGAGTCTAAAGATTCTAAAAATTAGAGCAACAGAAATCGTACAACGAGTTGTACTAAATATAGCAGCTGATTGTATACTATTTCTCTAATATTACGATATTACAAAAAATACGTTAACATAAATAATATTTTAAATAAGTATAATGAATATATTTTTAAAAAATGTGAAAGCTTTTAATGAATTTTTTGAATTTATCTAATAGATTTTATATTAAGCTCAAAGGGACTTTTTTTTCATTTACATACATATACAAGTCTTGAGAGCCTTTCGGCTAATGTTCTTTGAGCTAAAAATAGGAATAGAAAGAAAAATAGAATTTCCGACAGACATTCTCGCACGCTAGAGATGAAAATGTTTTTTCCCATACAGTGTTGCCATTCCTCGCTTTGAAATCATTGAGTTTGTTAATCAAAAATTCGTTAAAGGCTTACAAAATATGAAATGCACATTAAAATAAATTCAAAATTCTGACTTCTAAGTGTCCATATTCGGGTGGAAGACTACCTCATTCAAAATTTGATGATTCTAGGTATCGTTGTTTTTTCACAATGCGAAAACCATGCATACATTCATGCAAACTTTTCATTATTTAATTTCTTTAAATATAATACACAGTCATAATATTTGGTGGCAACAATCTGAAAAGTGATTCAGACTTTTATAGTGATTCAACGCAAAATACCGTTTTGAGACTAATAGCCCTTCTGAGCAACGCTTTTTTGAGATAATAATAATTCACTTAAATATATAGAATATATAAATAATATTTTAATTATGCCCCGAAACAGAATGGAATGAAGAAAATGATTTCAAAGCATTTTATTTTTAATATACAAAAGCATTTTTCTGTTTAATAATTAAATACAGGTTCTAAAGTATTGATAAGTATGTCTTTCTCACTCAAACATATTTATATTTAATAAATGTACTGCTGTACTTTACAGTATATTTTGGTGATACTGATATTAGCTCAAATATCGGCTGTTTCATTTTATTTTGTTTTTATTGAAGATTTTCATTATAGGAGACACAACTGGTGCTCTGTAGCAATCATCATATATATATTATTCCTGAAGTAATATCTTTATTTTCCTTTTGCCTACACAACAAAGCCTGGAAAATCTCTCTTTCTCATAGTACTACGAAAATATTCATGAAAACAGTGTAAGGTAATATTATCACAAAATAAATGGCCAAACTAAACACAATTAATACTGAAACATTTCTGCGCAAATTATTAGAGCAAATACAGCTAGACAAGACAATTCAATGCATTTTTAGTATTTAAATCCACAACCATTTTTAAATAAAATATGTTCCTCGCATATATGGCGGGTATAGAGTAACCAAATTTTGCACACATATAGTCAGTGCTTCCCCCAAATATGTGCAGCTCGAAGCCTAAATTTTAAATTTCGAAATTGTTTTTTATTTCCTTTATCTTATGTGCGAACTCATATCTGATTAACAAGCTCAGCGATTTAAAAACAATCTGTTTCTATTTGGCAAAGCATAAGATATTATGTTTTAAATTTAATCACAGAAGCATGCGATTTAAAGGAAAGTAGTTTTTAAATAATTTCGAATTAAATTTGAAAAATAAATATCTGACATCTTTCCAAAAGTCAACATATATCGCGCGGAAGGTAAAAATACTTTGTTATGAGCAGTGGCAACGCACTGCTTCTAAATTATTAAACATGTTAACCAAGAATTTATTAACTTAGTACAAAATATAAAAATAAATCAAATCAAATAAAATGAATTCGAAAATCGAGTTGTAAAGTGCGTCTGCTCGGAAAGAAGGACTACACATGTGTGCAAAATTTGTTGGTTATAGGTTTTAAATATGGTGAATTTCTTTAAAATATAGCATGAAAAGGTTACTTATACTAAAATGTCGATATAATGCTTTACCAACATTTTATGTAGACGTTTATAAATACTGATGAAAAGTAATGAAAAGTTTCATAACTTAAAGTTCTATAATCGAATTGATTTATTCGGTAAAGCAGCTTTTATAACTGGAATCACTCGAAACCAATATAGTTTCTACACCCATAAAAACGAACCCAATAGCTGAATATTTGCCTAAATTTGTTTCTGACTTAGCCTAGCTTTCTTGTCAATCAAATTTAGCAAGTTATAAAATTTAGCAAATCATAAGCTGTCAATGTCTTTGTTGACAAAAGTGGAACATATATTGTAAATGATGGCAGGCAAATTAGACTTACGAATAAATAATTAGACTTACGTTTAAGAACGCTCTAACATCTCCAACTTCTCTAAAGTTAAAAAGGTCGATCTTTCCACTGACGTAATTTCTGCTGCCGAATTTAATAGGTGTCCCATCTAGTCCCGTAAAAGTAATCTTACGAGCATGTTCGAAAAGGTTTTCGCGAACCTTGAGTTTATTTTTCATTGCTGCGCACCAGCCGGTGTTCTCAGGGCATAAATGCTTCTGAAGACTGTCCAGTCCCAAAGCAAGTGTCAGAAAAGCATTCACAGTGTTTGGTACCGATCTGTCCTGTACGAAACCAACGTTTTTAAGATTTTCAGCCTGATTACGAGAGCAAGAGTTACCCCGGCAGTTGAAGACCTGGAAAAGGATTATCCATATAAGAACAAAATGCAAAACAAAATAGCATATATTGAGAAACGAAAACTATATTTATTAAAAATAAACATTTTAAATATTTAATAAAACAAAATAGGTAAATTTGTTAATGAGACTTACAAAAAAACGACACAAAAGCCGATTACCGGATTTCCACTCATATTTTCCACCTAGCAATGCATTGAAATTTTATTTGCATTTTTCCATTAGTATTGCATCGTTTTGACATTTATGATTTGAATGGTATTTTGCATAGATTCTTCATTAAGCTATACACAGATGTGGCAGGTATTCTCCCACTTAAGGAACTTTCCAAACATGTAATTTCACCTTACTTCTATTATTTGCGTTATTGTAGCTTTATCTACTGCTGACGTGTTCGGTCTTTCGAAATCCGTGTCTTCTAATCGCCCATTTCTCTTTCGTTGTCCCTCTTAGGAACTGAGGTCAAGACTGATTCATGTGAGGTGCCCTGGGGCATTATAAGGTATCTGAGTCAGAAACGTCGGGTTATATCAGTTATCTCCAGATACGCCTCACTATCAGTCAAATATTGTAATGTTAATATTCCTATATATTCTAATTGGAGTGTATGCGCCTTACATAAACATGGAAATTTTGAAAATAATAGCCAGGTATCATTTCTGCTGATAATTATTTTCAGATTTATTCATTATACTATAATTATTTTCAGCTGATAATTATTAGAACAATTATAACTAAATAATAAAGGTAAAAGTATGATAATTTTTCTAGATTTAAAAATCAAAGTTTGACAATCTACGAATCTTTTTTTAAAAGTGTAAAATAAAATTTTTATTAATTATTTTACATTCATTATTCGAATGGCATATATTTCTACAAGAATTCATTAATACTAATAAAATGAAGAATAATATTTATTAATATAAAGGCCAGAGTTTGCAGGTAACTCTGGACGTTTTCTCATTAATTTTGTTGAAAACATTAAAAGCTTTGCACAGTTATTTATATGTATTCAAAACTGGTTTTGCTCTTAGATGAAAATAGAATGTTTCTTAAAAGCATCAGCTTGCGGAAGCACCAGTTTCACTTTACACAAACAAAGAAAATTGTCCATTCTTTCCGGATTTGCATAATCAGCAAATATTATTATTTTAATAATAATTAAACGTTAACTAAATTGTATAATTAAAAATACAATGAAATCTTTCATGGCGACTACCTTCCTTAGACGATCACTACTGAAAGTACCTGATGTTTCTGAAAACATAAATAAGCATCGATATCCAAAAGCACCAACAGTCGTGACTTTTAAGATGACCAATTACACAGAAAACTAAACTCGTTTTTCGCCATGCTGTGTTTTTTTTTTTATCACTTAGTGAGTAATAAACAAAGATATTCACCTAAATTGTTTTTCCCTAACGCATTTTTGCTCGAGCATTTTGTGAGTTTTACAATGAAATTCAGAAAGAAAAAACTATTATGGAACAATTCGTAATTATTAAGATTTTGGAATCGAATTTTTAGCGTCATTACGTCACTCAAAACTGCTTCCTTATTTCTTATCTTATCCTATATTTTCGAAACAGTTTATGTAAGGATGACTGACATGCATAATATATTTATGTTATATTTGAAACTCAAAATAGTATGAAAAGAGAAGTATTCTAAGAAGTTTCCATTCTATATCTTTTAATTTCCCCTAGAATTGGAATATTTAAATTTAAAAGTTTGAAAGAGAGCTGTAGGAAATTATTGTCAGCCAAAGCTTTCAATAGTCTTTGGATGGAAGCATTTATTTACAAAATACACAACCTCGGCTCCCCGGTTTACATTATACACATAATTAAATCCTATCTTACAGATAGACACTTTGTCGTTCACATTTCAGACACTTACTCCACCCGTCGAGCTGTCTTAGCAGGTGTTCAAAAGGGGTCTTTATTAGGCCCTACATTATTTACGCGAACGACATTCCTCACATACTCAATACTACACTAGCAATGTATGCTGATGATGCAGTGATCCTTGCATCAAACATACTTGCATTCAACACCTTCAGAATCGCACACAATGTATGCTGATGGTACAGCGATCCTTGCACTAAACATACTTTGTAATCTTCCATTCAACACCTTCAGAATCGCACATACGCACTGGACACCCGGCTCAGAAAATGAAAAACACATATTAATGTACAGATAAGACCATTGCTATCCTATTCACACGGAAAAGATTAATATGAATTTTCAATGTTATGGTACAACCCTTCCGTAGGCTAAGCAAGTCGCTTATCTTTGGAAGATCCTCAAAAATTCTCTCACATGGTCCCCACATGTATATTCTATTATCCGGAAGCTTTAGGTGTTTTCGAAATGGTTTACAACTGAACACAAGAGTTCGTGAGTTCCTGTTCAAGTATTCGTGAAAGAACGGACAAAAAAGTAAAAATAATGGATGGTCCTCTGCAAGGCGAGCTTAAAAATGATGGAAAGATCTACACAAGAAATGTTGTGTACAAAGAGATCTTTGACATGTGAATTAACATTTTATTATTTAAATCACCTTTACTTATTCAGCTAGCGGTAGCTCTTAAGAAATGTACCGCCAGTGGTTTCCTTCATTGCACTCTACTTTAAGCAATTAAGCAAGTAGAAGGGGAAAACCCAGTGGGGCAGTAAGCAAAGAGGCGTCTTCGCAGCCTGCCCTGGGTAATTCAGCTTGAATTAGCAGACACCTTTGCACAAATCATTTTAATTAGATTTTATAATTTCTAAAACAGCGGTCATTTCGTACGACCGCCGGGCTTTCTAGTATGTATATATAATGTGACTTTTCCTTAAAGTGACCAAAATATGACCTTTTCCATAAATATATTTAAGAAATATATATAAATGAGACCTTTTCCATAAAGAAACGGTTACGCGTTTCGTCAGATACCAGAGCTCAATCCTAGATGAGTTTCTGAAGTAAAATTTCAAAGACATTTATTGTATATTACTTAATATGTAAAATAAAATATATTTTATTGACATGGTGTCAATATATGAACAAATTTATTTATTTGTTTTAGATTTATATGTATGAAGCTGAGTGATTGTTTATTATCTTGTCGATGAAATTGGGCAATCTATCATAGGCGATCGAAAGCTTAATTAATTAGAAATGAAATAACTCACCTGCTCCCAGTATTCTCTTAGCCAAGGATTACGACTATTGTTCTTAACATCCAAATTCATAAAATAATCTTTGAATTGTGGTATTTCTTCAGACCTCGATCTCAATACTAATGCTCCAGTAGACTGGTCCGGAAACATCTGGAAAGGCTCTAGTGCATCGTAGGCCACCCACACAAAGTCTCCAATATGAGATCGACCAAGATGTTGCAAACGTTTCACGGCGCTCAGTAATTGTGAAATTTGAGATGGTGGCAGCAAAAGTACAACAACTCTGTTGGATAAAAATACATTTATATGAGATGGATGACATCTTTTTTACTTCCTTGTACGCAGTAAAAAGGAAGTATTGTAATCGCGAAAAGTTTCAGGCAGCATATTTCAACGAAAATCCCATTTTGACCTCTTTCAAATGCAATTTAACGATGTATTTCCGTGATATATGTACGTAAGGACAGAATAAAACACTCGTTTCCTCCAAAAAAATTATAAAACTGCTTTAAAAGGAATTCTGAAGAGAATTTTTCGTGGCGTCTGTACGAACGTATGTACGTACGTAGTATCTCGCATAACTCAAAAACGAGTAGCCTCAGAACGTTGAAATTTTGTACATAGAACTGCTATAACATGCAGATAGGCACCTCGTGTTTTGGTTGCAATCGGCCGCACCAAACGTATATAAATATATTTATATATATATCCACTCTGTTACCCGGCTCAGTGATCTCAGTTTCGTTACTCTTATATGTTTGTAAATTGTACATTTTTTGCTTTAAAAATGATTGAATTATGTTGTTCTTATCTTCCAGTTAAGGTTTTTATGCCTTTAGTAAATCTGTATGCAATATTTTTAGAATTATCAACAATTTTAAAGTTGTTTAAGTGCCGCTAAACCTAATAATGTTTTTGATGGCGGCCATTGCTCTTGTTTACATTTGAAACAGCAGGATAGCGGATGTGTTGCCAATCTAGAGAAACTTAGCTTCGCAACAACAAAGATAACGCCCTCATTTATTATTTAAATCATGCTTAATCCTTTCTGGAATTTTTTCGAGGAAATAAGCGTTTAAGATTTACTTCGTAAATTTTAATACAGATATTTTGAGTTTTTATGTATTTTTGCCTTGTCGCGAAGTGAAAACTGAATTAATTGAAAGAGAAATACTCAATCGTCTGTAAAAAACTGTTTCTTTTTTGTTTTGTTTGCTTAATTTCTTTTATACATCGTTCTAGCTTTATTATAGTATTTGAATAGAACATGTGGCAACGATTAGATAATTCTTTAAATGATATAAATTTTGTGCATTCTGAGTTATAATATGAACGAAATATAATACTGTTAAGTGAACCTAGCGCCAGAGTGTCGCTATGGTAAACAAAGTGAATTTTAAAGAATGCATTTATTCTATTGTGGTTTATGCGGTGTCGTCGAAGTAGGTTTAATTCAATCTAATAAGTTTAAATTAAATGGAAGAAAAAATGCGTATATTTTAATATTCCGTACAAGGAAGTAATGTGGTGTACACATCAGATTTTTTTATTCTTCAGGTTCAGCATATGAACACAAGAAGCTTATTCAAGAGGTGCTATTCTAACATTAGCTTCACACAAAATTAATTATATGTAAAATGCATTTCATAACCATCGTATGATATGATATACTTCTTCCATTGATAGAACAAAGCAGTTTCACTTGTTACTGTTAATTTTGCAGTAACAAGCAAAACTACTTTGTTCTTGTCAATGGAATTATTCCCGAATTAATGAAAATCATAACATTTCGCATTTATAATACTGTACAACAAAAGTTTAAAAAAATATTAAAACCTAAAAGAGTTCAGATTTTAACGATTGCCCCTTTAAAATTTAATAGTTTATCAGTTGAGATTATCGACAGAGATGGCCCAGACATTTTAAACGATATGAATTCAGACTAACTTTTAAACGGGAGCGTTATCTATCTTTTCTATATTTAAAAAGGGAAAAAATATATAACATAGTTCTATAAAAAATTTAATTAGGTATGTTATGAATTAAATGAATTTTCATTCAAATAAATCATATTAAAATGTGGAAAGTAATATTAAGAATCATAGCTATTACTTTTATACAGTTGAGTTTGTTAATTAATAACAGGTAGAACAAATATGAGAAAATAATAACATATGTTTTTTCCAAATGGTAGTGAATTTAAAGTGAAACAAAGTAAAACTGCTTTTCGAAACTAATAGTCCTTTTGGGGGTAATAAACTATACTGGTCACCTAAAATCTGCAAAAATTACATTAAAAGCGTAAACACCAATCATGTACATATTTATCTTGATGGATATGAAAATGCTTTTACAGCATGTTTAAGAACAGACACTGTTAAGTGACACATAGTGATTGTAATTCATTTTGCGAGTAATAAAACAATTCGTTACTTTTCGACTAATTCGATCCAAACGTAATTGTTGGCGGGAAATCCAACTGCAGAAGAGAGTAGCAACTCTAGATATGTATCCAATTTCATGAAAGGAATAACTTTTTCATTAAATTCTAAATAAAGACAAAAAAAAAATCTGAAAACTTTCGGATTTTATATTATGCCCAAAGCAACTTTTTTTTTCATTTACACACACATACACGTTTCGACAGCCTTTGTGCTAAACGTATTTAAAAAACAGCATGGCTTTGGACATTGAGATAGACAGTCTTGCGTGCTGCAGATAAAAATGCTTTATTCTGTTCAGTGTTGCCACAGCTGGCTTTGAAATTGTTTAACTTTTTAATAAAACATTCTTTCACATTTTACAAAATATGAAACAGATAATGAAACAAATTCGAAACTTTACCCCCCAAGTGTTATATTCGGGTGGAGAACTTCGTTATTAAAAATTTGATGGCTCTAGCTACCGTTGTTTTTTTTATAATGCGAGAAACATACATACATGCAAGCAGACTCTTCATTATTTAATTTCTTTAAATATAATACAGGGCGATAATATGTGTGGCAACAACTTGAAAAATGATCTTAAGCTTTTAGGGATTCGCCTCAAAACGCCGTTTTGAGGATAAAAACTCTTTGGACTAAAAACAAAAGCATACATAATTTATAAGCTATATTAGTCTAAAATGTGTAATAATTCCACCAGAATCTTAAGCCGATGAAATCCGGTAATATAAAATCGGTTTGGAAGCTGCGCATTTTGGTCTTATAATACATTTGAATAACAAGTAACTTATTGCCTATAATCAGATTCAGAATTATGAATTACATTTTATTCTTGCGGCAATTAAATAAAATTAGCCTGAATTTTAATATGAAATAATATAAGTGAAATAGAATTTATTCCATTTTCAATGAAAAACAAGGATTAAATAAAAAAATTGTTTAGTTTTTACAGAACAATGTCTTGTCATTTTTTTTTCGATCTGTGTATAAAATATATCAATCTTTTAAAGAATTGTAAAGGATTTATACCTTGCTCCTGCATTTTGTTTAATCTTAAGTCGGTGTGCTATAATATCCATTGTCGGGGCCATATCTTCATCGATTCCTACTTTCTCAACTATAGCTATTTGAATATCATGTTCACTAGCTTGTTTCTCAAATTCCTGGAATCCTTCTAATCCCATAAGAGAGCTGTCGCTGACACCAGTGTATACAACAGAAACGTATTTCCAGTGAAAGTACCTGAAATATGTATAAAAGTATTGTATTAAACTGAAAAACGTAAGTATCATTTACTCATAAACAACATCAAGTTTATAAAAGATAAGTATTATTCACTTATAAAAACGCAAAATTATAAATGATGATTATCATTTTTTCATACGTTATTTATGAGCCTAAAAGTTACATGCCGTTTACTCCTATGTAACGACTATATTGCATTCAAGAATTTTTAATTTAATAATTAAGCAAATAAAATAATTAATAATTATACAAATAAAAGATATGTATGAAATATGCTAAACTAAACCTAATCGTTGGCTAAAAGTAATTAATTAATTTACTCCATTTCTTAATGCAAAGATATAAGTGCACTTTAACTGGTCAACGTCCGAGCGTAATTATTTTATTAAGAAGCTTCATAATGTTATTAAAAATAATATACTTCATAATGTTATTAAAATAATGTACTCATTCTATAAAACAGTTTTGAAAAGGAAATCTTTAAAGTTAGATTCGCCTGTGGATAGTTTGCGAACGGACGGATGGGTCTGTCGAATTTTTGTGATCATTAGTAGCGCAGAAACTAAATTGGAGCAGTACGTGAACGGAATACAAAACTCATGTAATGCATCAGAAACATTTAGTATCACATAGAATTTGATACATATTAAAAAATAATTTAGCGGTTTTAATTCTACGTTCGAACTGATAAATCAATCTATGGCAGCTGGAAACTTCTGTAATTTCTATTTAATCTTATGACAGTCACAGCTTACAAGACATTGTTACCTTCATAAAATTTCGTGAATTCGTAAAATTTGAGGACAGATATACGGTTTCCTTGCCGTTGAAAGAGCATGAAGGAGAAATACGAGATCATTTTTAGCTAGCATCAAAATTATTTGAGTCGCATTGACGCAGATTTGAGAAGACTTTCTTTCTTAGTGACTAATGTACCGTATTATAACTTTGAAAAATGACTCATAAGGTTGAGACATATACAACTAAATAACACATACCTGAGGGTATTGACGATGGAAGTGATGACAACTTTGCTTGGCATACTCATTCTTAACAAATGAGTGTATCTTGGTTCACCGAATTCTGGAGCTACTACAAATGGCGCAACAGTACTCATTCCCAAAGGCATAGTCAAATCTAACAGAGAGCTCACTTCATCCTTCGTTCCGTCAGCTATAAAACCTACTACGTTCCTTGGAGAAGGTAATGAATCTTTATCTTCTATGATTTCTGTGAGAAAATTCGACACATCCATAGCTACTTTTTCTCTGCTGTTGCAAGTATCGAACACTATCAGGCCAAGGTCAGCGCCTGGTAAGATATTGGGATTAGAATTGATTAGATCCACTGCCCATAGAAGTGATTCAAAGTTTTGGAATCCTCTTGAAGTTTTCAAAGGACCACATGCAAGAGGGTTGGATGTTGGCTCATGGATACCTAACGTCACAGCAATATACAAATCTTGGGATGAAGGAATTGTTACGTGATTTGTTGAAGAATACTGGCAGCGAATACAGTCTTCGATGCAAGTCGACATAACAGAATCCATTGAGATCTCACCTTGAGGCCTATAAGTGACCATACTGGCCAGTTTTGTGTATTGTCCGGAATAGGTTCCTACCTTTAAAAAGAAACTTTAATGAATAATACGTCCAATTCTTCACATAATATTGAATGCATTTAAACAGTAATCAAGACTTTAAAATACTAAAATTACATGTAACGAATACTAAGTCATCTTATGAGATTGTTAGTTTTACATATGATTATATAGTTAAGACATAACATATTAATTATGCATATAATTACCAAATTAAGACATGTGTTAAAATAATATAAGGTATCACGTATAATCTTCCATTCTATTGACAATATGGTCGTTTTTTTGCATAAATGAAAGCAAAGTTGTTTCTAAAAGATTATACTTGAAGAAATCAATGATAGTTGCTATTGTTACAAACCTTCTTGATTTGAACTTAAGTCACGATGAGATCCATAAATTTCCCCGTGACCAAAGAGCAAGGTATTGCTCTAAGTATTAGCCTAGGCTTAGACCAAATACGAGTACTCATTACGAGTTTATCTACGTCTTCTGAATTTTGATAGAGGGAAGGATCTGAAGATATCTTACTCTTCTTGTTCTGTTAAAAACATTCAGGGGAAGCTTTCAGTTCGACAGTATTCTAAGCACCCGTACGCCGCAAAAGCACTACGCGCTTACAAACATCCATGCCTTTTACGGGATTCAACCAGCCTGTTCTGCCGCCGTGGCAGTAAATTGGCTGTTATTAGTGACGCAAAAATAATGATGATATTAATACGGAAAGCTATTTCATCCGAACTTGGAACTTTTAATACATCAGATACTTACTGTGCTAAGCATTTTCACTTCAACAGACTATACACTTTAGGGCCTTTGACGTTAATTTTTAAATAAAGCCTAGCACAAAATCCTTTAGAAAAATTATTCTAAACTGGATACGAAAGAGAGCTTGTTATAGTGAACGCGAGTTTGTAGAAAATTTTAAAAGCTAAAAAAAAAGGAATTTTAGGCAAACGTTTCTTCTTTAGAATTTATTACCTGCAGCTTCCTTGGCTCTAGACGGATGCACTAGTCATAGCGTCCTTAATATAAGTATAATTTGATCTTATAATTAACGATTTTAGATTACAGACGATATAGGTAATGTTACGCCGTGACGTATCTTAGAGATGCAAATTTATGTTAGTAAATTTTTTTGTCACTAAGCAGCACTTGAAGTCGTAATGTGACATTAAAAAATTCTAGAAAACAGCCTAATTATTATTTTTTTTAATTTCAGTACTATGTTTTGATGTACATAGCTCTCGTTTCAAAACAAAACTAAGTATCGCTTTAACAGTCTGTGAAAAATTGGTTATAGGTGAAAACATCATGACAAATATCGTGATAGAAAACCGCGCGGAGAAAATAATGCAAGGTGAAAACAACGCAAGTGGTAGAAAACATCGTGCGATAAATGAAAGCAGCGAGAAAATATAGCAGTTCTAAAACGCTGTAGTAAAACAACATTGTCTTCGGAAATAAGGCGCTTCAAAAACTTCGTAATTCGAAAATATCGCGGTAAAAAATAAAGCACTTACAAAACCATCGCATGACGATAACATCGCAGACATACGTTCTTCAGGCTTTAAAAGCTGTAAATGCATGTTCGCATAATAAGAAGAAAGAAGAAAGGAAGAGTATTTTGCTTTTATTTTTCAAATTTTTGAATTCACTAGCAAAGTTTTGTTGAATAATTAAGAAGAAAATTTAAGCTTTCAAAAACTGAAAATGAAGCAGTTAATAAAATTTTAAACTTACAAAATTCACTAATTAAGTTCATTCATTAACTAATCTCTTTCATGAATTTTATAGGCAATTTTGCATGAAAAATATAATCTAAGGAAGATTAGAATAGGAGGATGAGTAACTGCATGAGGTTATTTTTTGTAAAATTCTTTAATTAATTATCAGATTGTAAAATTGTTTTCTTTGTTAATGTGATGTTCGTTTAATGAAAATTAAATCTTGTTATATTTCAGTTTATTCCTTTTGCTAAAGTGCTAACGTTGTCATGTACAGTTTGCATGTAATCATTTGGATGTCGATTGGTTATGATGAAACTTGTAAGCTGCATAATACTTCAGTAGGGGGATTTAAATTCAAATTCTGTTAACTGCTATAAGTAGCATTAATTTTCTACACATTTTTAAGTTTATCATCGTTTCTTACTTTTTCAGCAAAAATTAATAGTTAATTCAGGAATATTAAATATAAAAATGTAAATATTCCTCATTCCTTGTTCAGCTCACAAATCATTATGCAAATATATATTCACAAATTTCAAAGCTTGAAACACGCATTTTGAGATGTTATCGTCTTGCAACGATTTCTAAGAGCTCTACTTTTTATCAAATCTTCGACGATGATACTTCTGAACCGTCTTATTTTCGATTATGGTGTTTTGTAGTTTTAGAATTGTGATGTTTTCTCATTGCTTTCTTTTGTCCCATGATGTTTTAGAACTGTGATGTTTTCTTGCTTTCTTTCGTTCCATGATGTTTTGTACTATGACGTTTTTCCCATGCCTTTTTACTTTACAGCATTTTCGTTCACGATGCTTTTGTAGCAATATTTTCAGTGAACACCGCATATTTCAAGGAGTTACGAGGTCTAAATTTTACGATAAGGCTATTAAAACCACAAAATTAAAAAAAGATTGAAAAGAATCATCAGACCGAAAAAAAATTATTCAGTAGAAGAAATTTGAAAACTCAAAACAAACTTCATTTGAAAAATGAACTTTTGATTTATTTCATGGGTAAAGATTACAAATTAATGATAAGTATCTGGATTCTTAAGCAGAGTTGTACAGAAAAAATAAAAAAACTAGTTTCAGTATTAAATTTTAAAATATCTAAATTGAAGTTTGAAAAAGGAATAAAAGCTTCCGGAAACATCCTGCACACAACTTATCTAGAGTCCTTAAGCCATGTAAACAATGGTCACATCCTGCTGAAACAACAGATTGGTTCTATTTATGTGCCTTCTACAAAAGTCAGCGGCAAGGGTATTTTTAACATTGCAATGTCTTGTTTCCTATGTCTTTAATAAAAACAAAAGGTTAAATGAAGTTTTCCTGAGCTATCTCCGATGAAATGTTTAAAGACCATATTTCCGTAACATCTCTTCCACGAAAGCACCTCATTCCTTGGGTGTTACTTGTTTTGCATTTTTCCTTAATCAAATAATTCAAATCCACCTATCTTCGAACAAAATTCCTAACTTCGAATATCGCAAATTCACATATTTGCTTAACGAAGTTATGCGTTTTATTTCTATGTGAAATGGAAGGAATTCGTAATTCAAGCTTATGTGTTAAATAAGTTAAACTTCCTCCTTCCATTGCGTAATATGGAAAGGGTAATGCAATGCCGCTCATAAATTCTGTTACATTAACTGATCCTGAGTTTGATAAGGGGGAATAAATTGACATTATTATCTACAAAATTTACATTATAATTATTTCTTTTCTCTTTTGATGTATAGGCAGAATTCAAAATATCTTAACAGCTTAAAACTCCTATTTTGGATGGATTCTGCCAGGAAGTACTGAACATTATGTTTCTGATAATCAAGCGGGAGTTGCATTGCATACTTTTCGTGCTGAGGTACACACTAATGACACCTTGAAGCAAAGGTTACTAGGTTAACAGATGAAGAGGAATATTATGAAATACACTTTCAAGATTATTACCAGCTTAATTACGACGATAGATTCGTCGTCAAGCTTCCATTTCAAATTTCAATTAGAAAAAACTAGGGAACACAGGAGAGGCTGCAGTCGCACATTTATTTGCCATGGAATGCAAATTAAAGAAGAATCTTAGCTTGCAAAAGGGTTGTAAGGGATTTATAGCCGAATATGAACATTATAAATCTTAGAAGATTTTGCGAGCTTTCATTCGAATTGTTTTTTCGGAATTTAATTTTGCAGATCTTGCTTCTAGAGAAGAACCCTGAAGAACATATAATGAATCAACTGTGGTGGCAGGGTCCTAGTTGTCTGAAGCTCCTTTGGCTTGGTCGAGTTCTGTATCACTCAACATCACTGAGAATCAGGTTGTGTTGATTGAAGAAACGATTAATGTTATATTTTCATGTCATATTGATTTGCACAACAAAAATTTAGATACTCTTTTAAATGGCAAGTATTAGGTACCTTATTAAATGACATATCTTTCTTATCAAAAATTGTACGAATTCTAACCTATTGTAAAAGATTTATCAAAAATGTGAAAGTAAAAAATCGATCACCAAGTTGTAAGCCTTTGAGAAACATTTTGCCTATAATTACTTTAGAATACAAAGAAGCCTTAAGGCATTTAATATCATATTTATTTTAAAGACGACATACATTTACTGAATTCCAAAAAGCATTTGAAAAATAGTACATTGGTGGCATTGAGGTCTTCCTTTGAAGACGACCGGGTGGGATATCGCATTCAGCATTCTGTGTTTAATTATAAGCAACCATTAATTAGTCCATCATCTAATAGACTGAGTGAACGTTTGATTGAACAATATATTCCATACTTACATGCAGGTATTAAATCATATTTTTAAACAAAATTCCTGGAGCAAAGAAACTCATGAAAAGTTTTATAGCAAAATGTATCTAACACAAACATAGTTTATATTAGATACATAAGATATAAAGCGAACACTTCTACTCAAGTATTGAGAATCTTGCTAAAATCTATAGTACAATTAGAAAGACCATTTTGCAACTGTATTATTGACTATAGGGAATAAGCAAATAACTTTATAATTTGGCAAAGGACGTTGCGCAAGGACCACTAATGGTTATTTGGCATTATTCGTTTGCTTTACATCGAAACCTGCCCTCACGTAGAAGTTATATGAGATTTAACTACCGGTTCTTTTATTGCTGCAATGAAGAGGTTTCCTGCGTGTCAAAGTGTGCGTAGAAGAGTTTCAGTGATAATACGTATAATTTTGTTGGAGGGAGTAGAAAGTTGCGTGAGGTGGAAATAACTTTAACCCTTTCCGGCTCGCTAGCTTTTAAAATTGGAGTTTTGATAGGCAGTCTAATTAGGCCTAGAGGAGTACACAAGTAAAATTATGTGAAGATAGCACTTATCGTTTTAATTCTGTGGGATTGAATAGAGTTTCGAAAAGAGTGCTGAAACGAGCATTGTTGTCAATGAACTAACCGATGAGAGGCGGAGAAACAAAGAATGCAGACTCTCAGTTGTCCTAGATTATCGGTGAGCCCAGTCTGGGCACACCTAGGGTTCGACGTTTCATTTTAGGCAAGATTTCAGGGTAAATATTTAAAACTAATATAGAATAAGGAGATTAGCATACAGCCAAAAACAACAAAATAGAAATTTCTTTTCAAACAATTCTTTTTATACCCTAAAAAAATCTGGAATATATCTTTGACAAATGAGGGTCTTGAAAAATTAAACATGGCTAAAAATGGATTGGTTTGTGTTGAGCTGCCATCTACTATAAATAAAGAAGGTATAACCTATAGTAACCTATAAATCCTTTTTCATTCAATTTTTCTGTGCGTACAGAAGGAAATTTTTAGGTGTGTCCAGACATTGTGCCGCAAAGGGTTAAGGAATTTAAGTAAGTCAGAAGAATTTAATAAGTTTTGGTCAGACGCATACTGTTTTTCCTGCATCTCCACATTTCGACGGTATATGGGAAAGCGGAATCAAACCTATAAAATTTCATCTCAGAAGAGTGATAAAAGAGAATGTGTTCACATTTGAAGAGTGACTATTTTATTTGCAGAAATAGAAGCTTTTTAAATTCTAGTCTTTTTATTTCTATTATTTCAGATATGCCAAGTTTGGAACTCCTTCTCATTTCTTTATAGGGGAAACTAATGCAGGTGTTCCAGAATATGATTGTACCAGTCTTCAAGATCTTCGTTCCAGGTGGAATCTGCTGCTGAAAATAAAGCGAAGATTCTGGAAGAGACAGGGTTGTAAATATTTACATACCTTACAAAATAGATAAAAATGGACAAGATATCGGCCGAATCTGGAAGTTGGTGACATTTTTCTGTTAAAAGGTTTAACTTCTCCAGCTATGTTGCACATTGGGAAGAATATTGGAGGTATATACAGGACCAGATAAGTTTTCCCATGTGGCTAAATTTCGGACTTTTTACGTAGTGTTTCCGCGTTCCTTAAATGAGTTGATCGCCTAAGCATCAAGAAACCAATTCTTGAGGTTGGAAGTGATGGTGGAGCGCCACATGGGAGTTGTACCTGAGGGTTGAGTGCCGCTTGAGAGTAGTGTTTGGATTCTTCATTTAGCTCTCTTTATTCTCTGGCGACCTATTCCGTGCTAAATGGTTAAACAGCTTGCTGTTATTATAAATAGCCACGCTTTTGGAGCTATATTGATGTGGTTCTGAAAGCCTAGTACTGTCTTTACTGTGTGTTGTATGGCGCTGCTGACTACCACTCCTTTGTTTTCATTATTACGTTATGTTACATTGTTCTTAAGTTAAAATATTCTCTTTGTTGTTAGAGTCTCGTTCGCCGGATTAATTTATTTCTAAGTTTTAGCATACGACCTGGATTCCAGACAAATGCGAATACTATAAACGTTAATGTTATTTTTCTATTTGATAATTTGTACTTCTAAAAACTATTGTATTGTACCTCGATTTCCCATAATATGCAATACTATAATTAATTTTTCTTTCCAAATCCTCTCAAGCTCTAATAATCTTAAATCATTTTCTCATTTTACCCAACTTTTTATACTCTCGTGATGCTAAGACCGTCATTTCGATAAAAGCATAAATGAAACTGATTTATGCAAATCCAAAGGTGGTAATCTGACGGCAGATGCATTCGCTTCTTGAAAATACGCAGAAATGCAATTATTATTCTATGATAAAAATGAATGAAATTCTATGTTAAAAAGGACTTGAAATTTTTTAAGGAAAGCAATTTAATCAACTCCTTTTTTTTATTTTAAATTATGCCAAACATTGTTTGGTAGAACAATGAGGATTTATGTTTTCTGAGTTTAATAAAAATAGATCGGTAAAATGTATATGTTATTCAATTTTACTATCGATTTCATTGCGCAGGTACTTTCTACTTAAAAGAAAACGTGATCGTGAACACTTACCTTCAGATAGTTGAAAATCTTTCCTGAAATCTTTCGAAAGTTATAAACTTCTATTGGTAGTTCACCGTAACCTCTGTCAGTGAATTTAAATTTCTGTCCAGGTTGATCCAAACGAGGGGAAAAGCTTGAATAGATATGTTCTCCAACAAGTTGTTGTAGATGCGGATGTTGCGCCATTACAGGACACAGACCCATGTCAAGCTGAAAGATAAATGTTGCTATTAAATATGCAATATAAAAGTCATATACATAAAATATATGTCACAAAATGATAAGAACGGAACATACTTGGCATAATTCATTTCGTACTGATGCGATGCCGGCAGCAACAGCAATAATTGCCTGAATGGTATTTGTTGTTGACTGCAACGGCACGTATTCTACAAAGGGAACATCAGAGCTTGCATTTTCTTTGTCCATCTGTACTCTCATCTCTTCCTGCCTCCATAATTGTTCGTACCAGGGATTCCGAGGGTTAGACTCCGGTAAAAGTTGACTGTAATGAGTGGCAAAATCTGAGACTTCTCCTGAAATAGACTCATCAGTTTAGTTCCAGAAAACAAACCAAAGTCTACAATTTTTTATCAGCAAAATTTCAGATTTATTTTGCACTTCTTGGTTAAACGTAAACTATAAATTATTAGTCCAAAGGGATTTGAATCCCGAAGGACTATTAGTTTCGTTTTGGCATTTTCCGTCGGACTCATAAATGTCGGTTCACTTTTCAAACTGTTGCCACAAAATGTTAGAGTCCTGCATTATATTTGAAGAAATTAAATAATGAAAAATCTGCATAAATGTATGTATATTTCTCGTATTGTGATAAAACAACGGTACATAGAGTCATCGAATTTTGAATAACGTAATCCTCCAACGAATATGAGCATGTGGAAGACCAAATTTGAAATTTGAAATTTGTTTTATGATCGATTTCCTATTTTTTAAAACTTTGACGAATTTTTGATTAACAAACTCAAGGATTTCAAAGCGAGCAATGGCAACGTTGTGCAGAAAAAACATTTTTATCTCCAGCGCGTGAGTCTCTGTATCGGAAATTCTAAAGATATGCTCGTTTTAAAACTATTTTGCGATATTGCTGTTGCACTGGATCTTATGGTTTAAGTGCGAGGAACATGATATTTAATAAAGAAAGGTAACACACAAAATGTTAAAAAACGCCCCTTTGGACGTAATTTAAAATCTGAAACATTTCAGATTTTTTTTTTTTTTTTTTTTTTTTTTTTTTTTTTTTTTTTTTTTGTTATTTATTATGCTTGAGAATTTTATATTTAAATATACTCTCGGTTTCTTTCAATCTTTCCTTGAGGAATTGCTACAGATATTATCCTATAAAAAGTTTAACAAAGTAGTTGATTGTGAATTAATATGATTAATTATTCAACTATAAATATGTAAGCTTGTTGAGGCACTGATACAGAATCAGCATTTATATTACAATAAATTACTAAAATCTATTACAAGAAATTACTAGAAGAATTTTAAAGAACGAGCACACTGGTATTAATTTTTAAATATTTATTGCTTTTAACACGAATCTTTTATAAATGAATGCGATACGACACTCAAGGAAAATTATTTCGATCATATGAACAGCTTCATTCTACGTATTAATAATTTCATTTCTCTTTCCAAAATTCTGCACATTCAGATTTTTTATTTCAAAGTAATGAAAACTTTCTAATTTTGAAACGGGATCCCGTACTGTAGGCTTGTTAATTTTTTTCTAAAGATTTATAAAATAAGAAACAAAAAGGTCCCTTCGAAGAGGAAAAGTCTCTTCAAGGAAATATATAGAGTAAAACTTTCTAGAAAACAGCATTACGTTTATAATTAATAAATAATATACAGATATCTAATATCACATATTTAAATAGATAAATATATTAAGATAAACATATGTATTACGAACTGTAAATAAAAGGAAATAGACAGTTATTATAATCACCAAAGCATATTTATAAATATTATTTAGTGTTAAGATAAAAGTATTACTATGATTTTATGCTTTCAAAGCAAATTTTTAAAACATTTTTGATTAGACGTAATAATAGTAAATCTGAATTCCATTATTATGAACATTTGCGTTATTTTCAGAGTAAATTCCATTAACAACCGAGGCAACAACTACACGCAAGATCAATGCGGTGAAGCAAAGATAGTTTGTTCCAGAAATGCGAATCCGGATAGCCCATTACGAATACAAGAATTACATTAAGATATGAAGTGGATACTCCATGCGTTGAATATATATGTTTGTCGACATTATTCCTGAAATTATCTAGGGGCTTAAAGGTGGGAATTTCGAAGACCAAGGAAATTAAGTACCGCCAAGCATGTCTGACACTGACGGATTAGTAACTGCTGGACACGGTCAAAAATATCGGAAGTTTCTTTGACTGTAGCAACAGCACAGAAGAGTCTTGCCGCGAGATCCATTTCAGACTCCACAGGATCGTGATACAGATAGCTATTGATAGCGTTTCACAGAAAGAAATCAAGTATCGATAAAACAGGTGAAGGTAGGGACAGAAAATCGGTCCAGCACGCGGAAGCCATCGTAGCGGGAATAACCTGTTCAAATGCCTAGAAACAGCCAGTGCAAAACTTACAGGCGCTCTATGTCGGAATCACATGCTGTGGCTCACATTTGCCGGAAAAACGTCCAGTAATTTGTCAATAACCTACTCTAAAAATCCCCAATTATTCGCGGCGGTCATGCGGGTTGGTAAAAGGTACGGCCTGACTAAGCAGTCGTCGATCACTTGAGCCCACAAATCCCATTGTGCTAACTGAATACGTTATCTCTATTGAATGTGGCCTCATCTGTGAACAAGGTGGTAAATTCACATCTCGGACGCTTTTGTTGCAGATACCATTGTGTCAAACGTACACGTGCAAGATGATCATCGAGGAGCAGTAACTAAATCCCTTGGAGATGAAAAGCATGTAAGGACCCGGCGTTCAGAACAAGCTGTGCACTTGCAACGAGACGTCCTTAAGGCAGAAGCAACGGCTCGTATGCTCTTACTGCCAGTCATCTCTAGAATATCCAATACACTTTCTTCCGTAACGACCGAACGTGGCCTGATCTCAGTAGTCCTTCTACTTCTTAATGACCCATCTTAGCACACATTTCGATGCACACCTGCAAACACACTCTGGGGTATTGATGTCTATCTAAGAAGTGTTCTGCGGCTCGTCCATTGTCCTCAACTATTCTATACTCTAAGTATATTTCGTATATTTCTGCTAGCTGACCGTTCCTATACCGTTGAACGCTCTTAGTATGCTAGTAACCGATCGAATGAGGACATCCTCATTTCCCCCTTCAGCGCTCTCGTGCACAACTCCACCTAGCGGCGTACGATGACGTTTGCTGCCATGGGCTGCTGTGGAAATCTCTGTCCTTATGATGTTCCTACCTCCCCTAAAAGTAAGTCGCTACATTTTTTAGACATCTGTATATTATTCTATTACATCTAAGTTTAGAAATTTCCTAACATTCTAGTTACGAAAGTATATTTTCTCTGATTGCTAGAGAATAACAAATTGAAATAAATATCTACAGAATGTACATCACCTTGTTCAGGTCTTAAGATTAGAGAACCAAGAGCAACTTTCTCAAGTCCTTGAACAATATTTAATCTTTCACTCCATTCTCCTAATCCAACCATTACGAGATCACCAGAATGAAGAACTGATGCTTCTAAAAATCTTCCCAAACCAGTTATTATCCTTCTTGTTGAATCAGCACTGGTTAACAGGACAACTACACTAGAACCTTGTTTCTTTGCTTCAAGTAGTCTTTGAATCAGCTTATCCACTTTTTCATCAGATAAATCCTAATTAAAAGAAATTTTAAAGAAAATGTTATACTTAATGAGAATACATTTTATTATGCTATTAAAATGTTATTAAATTATAATGTTCTATAAAGATAAGGCTTTTGGGGCATCCAGTAAGTCAGTTTTAGAATTTGTAATGGATTTTTTTCTTTGGTACATGTTACCCCAAACGCACATTTTTGTGAAAATTTACGCAGGTTTTTCCGAATATCTTTAACAAGGTTAATATGAAGCTAATTATTTTCTTCCATTATAAGTTGCTTTTGGAGCAAAACTGACAGAACCATCATTATTAAAATAAATTTCAAGTTTCAGGTTAAATAGAATTGAAATAAGCGAGTCAGAGAGATTGATCACAATAATATTTTCAAACGTACCACATTAAAAGAATGTTAGCAAGTGTTGCTCTGCTTTCTTACAGCCACTTCAAAATTCCTTTTTATGCTGACTCTATGTCATACTTAGATATAACAAAGAAAGAAGGTTTAAATGACATAATTAAACAGAACTGCAACTTAGTTCTTGCAATTTGATGCAAAGCCATGCCATGTCTGGAGAGGGTGAATAAATTGCTTCAAATAAAACATGAAAGAAAGCGTAAAATTAAAAACTAATAAACTAAATAATGATGGAAAAATGAAGAAGACAGGATGGACCTCGGAAAAGTAACTTGCTTACAGCAACTGTATAACAAGATGAACTTTCAAGCGGGTTGTTTTCATTCAATTATCCACAAATTAAAGCTACAGTACGTCTGCAGTGTGTTAGTGGTTTTTTTTTTTTTTTTTTTTTGTTTTGTGTGTGTGTGTGTGTGTGTGTGTGTGGTATGCGAATTGTTGTGTACACTTTCTGAGTAAAGTATGCAAATAGATAAAATTCGTATGTGGACGAGTCAGGAAACTGTTTTTAATCGTAATTCGTTCCTTTATCATAATCCTTGTTCATTTCTCCATAAACAGCTCGTAAATCCGTAAATCTGTAAATCTGGGCCCACTCTTCATGCATCGGGCAACAAACGCCAGTTTTCTAGTTCGTGAGCAGTGTTTTGTGACCCAAGCTGGGATTTTATGAGGGCCAGTGTTTCCTCTTTCAAATATTTAAATGATCTGTTCACTGATACAAAACTAGTTACGCCCAGAAGTGCAGTAATGGTTTCAAATGTCCCTTAGAGATGGTAGTTAACAGCCCTGTACAGTATAGCAAAAGTACTACATATGAAGCGGCATCACATTGCCAAACAAACGGACAATAAACAGAAAAGTTCCGAGTTGAAATAAAATTGAAGAAACGATCATGTTTCTGCTGACAAACCTTCAAAATTCTGTCAATTTTCCAAAGAGAAAGCGTATTCTTTTTTAAAATCCATATTTTTAGCATATTTCATATTTTCACAATTAGCTAGAATTTGGCATCGTTTTCTACTGTGTCCTTGGTTTATTAATCATTTTGTCCATTGCAGTCTCTATTTACCCCTGAAGTCCTTTTTGAATCATAATTTAAGTAATTCATTCTAAAAAGTCAATTTTGTTTCTTATTAAAAAGTTAAAAATAAGGATAATTTCACATGAGGTTTCATGTTTCAGAATACTGAATTTAAGTTCTTATGACTTTTTGAAAGATAAGAGAAACGCGAATTGGAAATTTAAAAGTCATGAAATACCTCCATCACATTAGTCATCAAATAATCATAATACCATTACTACGGATAATAGTTAAGGAAACAAAATTGCTTTTGGATCTCTCCTCCCCAATATTTCTCAAACCTTCAATGCCTTACTTCTTCGTCAACTTTCAGTTGTTGTCCAACACATATTCCTTTCTGTTTCGCAGCTTTTTGGAATGAATGCAATCCGTGCATGGAAACTGGTGTATCCTCGTGAATAATGGTCACGAACCGCCATCCATTATAATCGAAAACTTCTAAGGCAGCCATCATGAGAGATTCTGCTGCTGCAGATACTTGCAAAAGATGATGATTGCGGCCGAGTTTAACTTCAGAATTCAAATGAGGTGTCAAGTCTGATGATGAAATGATGCTGATGTTAAGAGGCCTGTAAGGAGAAAAAAAATAATGTGAACAAAACTTTCCGAGGAAGTTATCTTAAAGTTGTCTGAAAATGGATTTTAGTTTAGTTAATATTAAACTGATAATTTTAATTATTGTGTCATATTATCTTCGCAATAAGATGATTTATCTTGGTTTCGAACTATTACGGATTAAAAACAATGAGTGGTATATATGCCCAGAATACTATTTACAAACACAAAAAGCTTAAGGGAGCTTAAGTGGCAAGCTTAAGGGAGGGAGTTGATGAACACGTAAATTAAAGGAATTTAGAATTCAGGACATAATTTATAAATGAAAAGATAAGGTTTTCACATCACGCAATGTGAAATGTGGCTGTGAAACCCTGCATTTTCGGATTTTATGCGCAAAAATACTCGTTATTCTATTTATGAAATGGAGTCAAAAGTTAAAATTTAATGATGGGCACCACAAGGGTTGGTTTGGTTTATTTGATAATGCCAAAGTACTCAAGAGATATCTGCCTAAAAGGAGGGATAACTTCGGGGAGGACTGACTAAGGGAAAATGTTTCGTATACACGCTTTACATGGAGAAAGCTCGAAGCGCCCTTGTAACCAGCCCGTTCAAGAGATTCAAACCTCGGAACGAACTGCCGCCCAGTCGGTGTAATGGTTAGAGAGGCCTGACTGCGATACCGAAGGGCCTGGATTTCGAATCCCGGAGAAGGCATGGTTGTAACTGTCCGTCCCTTCATAGGAGGCGATGGTGACCCACCTATTAGGTGCCTCCATAATAAACAGACCGCCACATCTGGCCTTGTATAGATTAATGGGCTCTGTTACACTGTAACTGTTCACAATCGGCCATTGGGGAAAAAAAACTCGAACCGAACTACCAGTGTTCAGCGACCTTACCGCTCGGCCGTTGGTGGGCGATGGGCACCACAAAATTAATTCATTTAGACGTCTTATCATCAAGAGCATTTTGGGGTATGTACTTCAGGAGGGAGTAGAACGATCTTGCACCCAGGGATTGGGGAAGATATACAGCTAAGAAATCCTTATCGGAATTTTAACCCACATATGCGGGGTTTCAGACTAGCAGTCAGCTTCCACTAATTACTATAGTATTCAAAACGGCAGAGGGAATAACCAAAATGGTGAAATAGCACAAGATTGGAGAAAAGGATTTTTTTTAATTTGTAAGGTTTACGATGGTTAATCAATTATTATAATTTGAATCTTTATTATACCTTCTTCTTTCTTACCAATTTGCATTCTAAGAATGTAAATTAGTTGTTAGAGTATTCAAGTCGATACCCAAATTTGATTTCAAGTTATTTTAAATACTCGAGAGTCGCGGAAGTTTTACTGTAAGTACAAGTGGTGCATTCTGTTTAATTTAAAGATTTAATTTTATAAAGGCTATTTTAACCTTCGTAGTACTTTGTCATCTAAATTTAGAGTGAAGCGTTAACTCACTCCTCAGTCTAGTAGACTCTAGAGGGCACTGGATTACGTTTCTGCTCAAATAGAATTCCATAAATTTTATAAAACTCATCAAAAAAGAGGGATTAGTTAGCAAAAAAAGGATGAAATGATTTCGACCATCAAACTGATTCGTTAAACTTCTCGTTACTTCTCGCCATCGAGATGACATCCGATTTTGTAATTTTTGGTGAGAAATTTAAAAATTTATCTTTGCGCATTTTTTCAGTTTACGCCAAGAATAATTTTAGCAAACTTCTTAATTTATAGCAACCTATTTTCTTTTTTTTTTTTTTTTTTTTTTTTTTTTTTTTCTCTGCACACAAGCGGAGAAAAGTCATCGTTCATAATTTCAAATACTTTTAACAAAGAGCGTAAACCACATTTGGCATTATTATCGCTTATGACAAATATTCCAAATTTCAAAATGCGCCAATATTAAAATTCCCGAATATCTTACGAAATATTGAATAAAAAACTCTAATTTCTTCCAAGTATTCTTAGAAATACATCTACTTTAAGATGATAGTAAAACTTTTATAGGTTATATTTCAAATTTTTTTGAAAACTTTATAAAAATTATTTAAAATTACAAATTAAAAAAATAAGTGATAAAAAATAAGGTGAGTGAATTTACAAAATTTGTTGTCAATTAGTAGCAGGAAAAATATTTGAAAACAATTGAAATGCAAGCTGACAATAAATCTGTTGCTAGAAGTATTTCTACAATATTTATGATTAATAACGAGATTGTAAAGCCTTGCTCAGTACATAACCAGATATACCGTATTTCTGTAATGCAATTACTTTCTACTGGGCATGCACATCAAAACTCCTTCCGCTCCAATACAAATATTTGATACAGTTAACGAACAGCTAAACAATACATATTATTATGCAGATAGATAACAAAGACTAACTGATAGGATAGATACATTTAATACTGTTATACGCAAATAAATAAAACATATTATTAAGCTAAAATTATAAATACTACTCGTAATTGGTACTAGACAGGTATACTAATTGGTACTATAATTTAGGGCTGCTACAAGTGAGTAATCAAGACTTGTTATCAATGTTACACTTAACTGAATGCATTTGTTATATAATTTCGGTTTTGAAGCTCCATATCACACATAATTGGCATATTTTTATTTAGGACAATTTTGAATTTTATACCATTAGCAATGTGAACAAACTTTTGCTAGATAATGTAACCAGTAACACAGAATTACTCAATTATGGGAATTCCAACAGACTCTGCGCGTTATATGGAGTTCCTTACATGGCTTTCTAAATATTTTGATTAAGTTATGTTTTCTGAATACGGAAAAGCATGCATAAGGAGGAAATGCCTTTGTGTGGGAGGAGCTGGAGTTTTCTAAGGCAGTTGGCACGTACTCAGGTTACATGTGAGGAAAGCCACGAAAACATCCATCCCTTTTTTCTGAGTTCGAACTCGGGTTCAACTACCAGTATTCAGGATCATCTTAACCCCTCGTCTACTGGTGGGACTATAAAATATTTTCATTAATACATAACGAGCACTTAACAAAACCAAAACACTCAACACAACAAACATAAAATCGACAAGAAACTCCATACAGCTAATTCCTTTCACTATATTGTAAAACAAAAAAGGAAAAACTTAACATTAAAAGTATATACCGTCTCGCCCCATATGTGCTTAAGAAGAAGAAATATTTCAATTACTGTTAAAAGAATACAGATGTTGCAAATAGAAAGTATTATATCGATAAGATTTTTAAATGTCATGTACATAAATACTACTCAGACATTAGTAATATAACACTAAAAATATAATTTTAAAAAATCAAAAATTTATTTTTGGATAGCATGAGTATGACAATGAGGTAAATTATTGCCGCCTTAAGGGAAAACTACGAAAACAATGTTTTTGATAAACTGTTTAGAGAAGTGGAAATTCTTACTTTAAAACAGAAGCTCCGGCCAATGTTTCATCCTCGGAAGTAGTCGAAACAAATGCTAAGCTAGACATTTGTTCGAGATGTGAATTGGTGACATAAGTGGCCAGCTTCTGAGTTGCCAAGAGGGCTGATGAGCAAGTGTCTATGACGGCAATGCCCAACCTTGCACCGGCTAATGATGCACGATCTTGGTTGATTCGATCTACAGTCCAAAGGGCGGCTTCCAAATTTTGTACAGCTTCAGAATTGATGACTGATCCACATTCCATCGGTGATAGTCCTGGTTCATGAAGTGGTACAAGAAGAGGAATTAGGATGTCTTCTTCACGACTTCCAATGTCCATAGATTCATGACTATCCAAATCTTGCAACGAATCTTCTAAGCGAGATTGCCTAGGTCTGCAACAGATATCCAGTGCGTATTAGCTTAATGACAGAAATTACGTTAATTTAGATATTGAGCATTTTTAAATGCTTTAATTTAACATTTGGAAAAATACCTTAATCGTTTAAAAAATAATTCTCCATATTTTTAAGTTGAACAAATAATTTACAAAGAACTTCAATAAACTTTATAAACTTAAGATATTCAAATAGAAGCACAAGTTATTTTGAGTACAGTGGGCGTTGCTTAATGTGATCGCGGTCATTCGAATATTGTTATCGAATTGTCGGAGTTCCACCCAGTGGTATACGAAAGCATGAAAAATGCATCGCTTATTAGGATTAACAAACTGGTTAATGTTATAAAAATATCATTATGAATTTCTTAAAATAATGCCACCAGATAAAATCGAAATGGAATACAGAAACTATCAAATGCTAGAGACATGCCGCAAATAAAGGATTAATTTGCCAAGAACCTTGATTTTGATTTAAGGCAATATTTAAGATTTAAAATCGCTTCTCAGAAACGACAGTAAAGAACTACTTTAAGCATGCCAAGCTTTTAATAAATGAAGAAATAAAGACAGATTAACGACTAGAAACGCCTCAAACTAACATGAGTTGCGAAGAATTTAATATTTTGGTAGATATTGACGAACATACTCAGGTTGCAGCATCCATGATAGAAGATATCTGCCTGTTCTTTTTGAAGCGACTCCGAGTACGTAATGTGATGAACTTCCTGGGAAAAAAGATGACAGTAAAGTTATTTCCGGAGATATTATGACTCTGAGCAATTGGTAAATGAACTTTTCCGTTAACAACTGCAGATAGCCGACTATTAATTGCTTTTTTTAATTAAAATGTACTGAAAATGCGGATTTAGATGTATCTGGTTTCATCTATATTAAATTAATTAAATTCTATTGTTATTTTGATGAATGTTTTTCTTATTGTTTAATATTATTAATCGGTTAATGTTGTTAAAATAGTTAAAGACAAACGTGATCTCATTAATCCGCGCCTACTATATACATCTTTCCATCAAATATGCAAAATGTTTTTCTCAAAAATATTTACAGCAAAAAAAATTAATTTTTCATGTAAAACGGATTTTAGGGTTTTAAAAAATAGATCAAATTTACATTTTTGATTGCTTCGCAGTCATAATAAGTTTCGTAACCGTTTTAAATGTCCTGTTTGGTAGATTAGTATCCGATATGCTTAAGTAGAATGTCATATTAGCAATTACTTTTATGTAAATATAAACTTTTAAAAGATTATTAATTCATTTGTCTTGCTTATAGACTTGAATATTTTCAGTCTAGAACTGGAACTGGAAAATGCTAATAGAGCAAGTCTAATAGGAATAGAAAGCTTATCAAAAATAAGGAGCTCATTAAATCATTTAAAAAATTTGTAAACAAATGTACTTAAATGATAATGAAAATATGCTATATTTTGATTTAAAATGTATGAAATGAGTTTTACCTATTTTCATGCAAATCTAATGCAATTTAAATTGAACTAAAATATGGACGATTTCACTTAGCTCTTAACTTCCGATTACACTGAAATAACACATCGTTACGCATATACTTGTGAAGTCAAATAAAATAAACCCACAACGTCTTCGCATATACGTGTTATCTTACTTGTTTGCATTTGTCTAAAGCTAGAATTTCATTCATACACGGTTCAAGTTCATTCATCAACACCGAATGCTTGCTTTCATCAGCTCCGGCCACAAATTACAACCTTTTTAAAGGATCATTATTCATTGAAATTGAAGCCAAAGAAATCGAATTGTTAAAAAAGACACAGGAACTGTCTAATTTTGCAATAGAGATCTACTCAAATAAAGAAAAGAAAAGAATACTTTATAAGATGCAACGAACAACTCTTCGCTTCTTTTCGCAAAGATTCTACTCGTAGAATTACCTAAACCACTGTCCCAAGCAAAATCACGACCTTTTATTAAAACAAAACCTGATGTGCACATCATATGACACGGAATATTAAATTATACGCCTTTTTTCTTGCAGTTCATTTAAATTTATTGGATTGAATTAAATCTATTTCGTTGGTAGCGCATAAACCACAATAGAATTAATGCACTCTTTTAAATTCACTAAATTTGTTTACCATAACGACACTCTGGCGCTAGCTTCACTTAACAGAGTTACATTTCGTCTATATTAAACTCAGAATGCACAAAATTTATATCATTTGAAGAATTTTCTAATCGTTGCCATATGTTCCATTCAAATACAATAATAAATCTAAAACGATATATAAAAGAAATTAAGGAAACAAAAAAAACGAAACATTTTTTCACAGACGATTCAGTATTTCTCATTCAATTATTTTTGTTCTCACTTCCCGACAAGACAGAAATACATATATCAAAATATCTATATTAAAAATTACGAAGTAAATCTGAAACAGTTATTTCCTCAAATAAATTCCAAAATGGATTAAGCATGATTTAATTCGCAATAATAAAAGAAGGCGTTATCTTTGTTAATGCGAAGCTCAATTTCTCTAGACTGGAAATAAATCCGCTATTTTGCCAGGTTTAAAATGTAAACAAACATGTCCGCTATCGCAAAATTCATTAGGCTTAGCTGCACTTAAACAGCTTTTAAATTGTTCGTAACTCCATAAATATTGCATGAAGATTTAAAGGTATAAAAACCTTAAACGGAAGATAAGAACAACATAATTCAATCACTTTTAAAACAAAAAATGAACAATTTATAAGCATATAACAATAAAGAAACTGAGCTCACTGAGACGAGTAACAGAAGGATATATATATATACATATATTTATATACTTTTGATGCGGTCGATGGCAACCAAAATACGAGGTGCACATCTACATGTTATAGCAGTCCTACATACAAAATTTCAACGTTCTGAGGCTACTCGTTTTTGAGTTATGCAAAATACGTACGTACGCACAGACACCACGAAAGGTTCTCTTCAAAATTCATTTTAAATCAATTTTATAATTTTTTGGGGAGGAAAAGAGTCTTTTTATTCTGTTCTTACTTGCGGATGTCACGCAAAAACATCATTAAATTGCATTGGATAGCGGTCAAAATCGATATTTTCGTTGAACTATGATACCCGAAATTTTTCGCAATTACTATACTTCCTCTTTACTTCGTACAAGGAAGTAATAACGTTATTGAGTACCTAATCCTTTCAACTAACATTTGTTTTATTTTTTCGGTTTAATTACAACAATGGTTAGGTTTATTTAAATCATACGTACTTTCTTAATCAGAAATATACCTACTTTTTGCCACAGAATGTTAAATCTGCGGATCGCGATTTTTGTCGTACACGCGAAATATTAATGACATAACCAGCGCGGTCGGCAACGGATTTATTGCACAACTACGAGCCGTTCACACTAAACTCGCAGACTACCATTTTGTTGCCCTCTTTATTGATAACGTATTTCTTTTAGTCTTTTTAACTTTATTATTGAGCATTATTTTGTTCGCACTTACGCAATATACAATTCAACAGCTAAATTGCACATTCCTGGTGGCCCACGTTCGGGTTACGTTATTCAACATTTGATGGTTCTAGGTACCTTCGTTCTTCAAAAATACGAGGCACATACAATAGATTCATGCATGCACAATTTTCATTATTTAATTTCTTTAAAAATAATGCAGGGCAGTAATATTTGGTGGCAACAATTTAAAAAGTGATATGCCGTTTTGTTTATTTCTTTCTCTATCCTGAAATACAATTAATCAGTCTGTTATGAATACGACCAAGCAAAGGAAATTTCTGTTATTTTCTCAGCTATTACTTTCATAATGGAGCTCTATTACTCTTCCTAAAACAGTAATAAAATTTTGTTTGGATTCATTAACTTTTTTCTGCATTACAAGCTCGAAACGATTTTTCTACGTTATTTCTACTATTGATAATAATAAGATATTGATATAAATTCAATATTATATTGATATATTAGCTCAATATTGTATGATTATATTGAGCTATTGATATAAATTCTGTTTTAGAAATGGTTAGGAGAAAAAATTATAAAAAATTCATAATTAGAGTTTTCACTTGATTTTTGTTTTATTCATTCAAGTAACATATCCAACGAAAAGGAAAAAAATAAATTCCAAATTAGAAAGATTGTTTTAGCACGGTTTCAAAATAATCGATGGTCATTATGTCGAAGTAATCGATGCTTATTATATTTCTAGAAATATCAGTAAGAGGTGGAGAACTAATGAAAAATTAAATTCATTACGGAAATTTACTACTGATTAGGCAAATATGCAGTTTTTGAGGGGGGCGACGAATACCATGGAACATGGAAAAATTACTTACCTTACACATCCACGACAGCCAGCAATTGAGCATTGAGAAGGTAGACTTACAAACTCGTGATCCAAAATTCGAGACCCTTGACTTTCATACACGATCACCTGGAGAAATGAAATCAGTAAAACCATTAAGATGCCTGACACTAATATATTAATCAATATTCAATAAATTGTAATATATATAGTAGGTATTACATATTACAATTTATTGAAAATTCTACAAAGGTTAATTGTTAACATTTTGCTTATTAAAAAAAATTTCTTTTTGCTATGTACTTCGGAAACAGAGATAGGTAGAGTCCAAATGTTCTTACGGCCTTTACTAGGTATTTTAATCATAACCTTTAAAATTCATTTAAAAATTAAGCAGCATTAGGTGCTAATTTTGAAATTGTTAGTTCTTTCGCATTTTTTATAAATTGAACTGAGTCTACATTTCTAATTTCTTAATATATATATATATACAGTACAAAGTCCGTAATCCGGACTCGTCGGGACTTCGGCGATTCTGGATGAAGGGTTTTTCCGGATTATAGATCATCAATTTAAATCTGGTAAGATGACATGCAGAATTTATGAAATAAAGAGCAATTATGATCTAAAGGGTATCAAAATTTACCAAAAAAAACTTCATATTTATTTGTTTACTTTATTAAACATTTCTTTCAATGTAATTTGTTTAAGTTGCTTCTTTTTTTTTTGTTTTGTTTTGTTTTGTTTTGTTTTTGTGCTAAACGCGCATGCGTAAACATTAGACGCGCATTTGCAAAAGCATACAAAAAAAGGGTTTGTGGCTTTGAGGTCCGGATTATAGATCATTCCGGATAATGGACGTCCGGATTACAGACTTTGTACTGTATTATAGTTGCACCTTAGTTTTAAGCTCAAAAAACTGTGTTGTCCATGGCCGTTCAAACGCAAGAATTCCCTGATTTGGTCCGATACTTTATCAGCATTTTTATTTTTATTTTTTTTTTTTCCGAAGTGAAGGAAGTCTTGTAATCGCGAAAACTATCGCATTTCAGATGTCAACAGACTTATCCATTTCGTTATATCTGTGTTTACGTATGTATCTCGCATAACTTGAACATTATTACCCATAGAATGTTAAAATTTTGTACATAGGGCTGATGTGACATTGAGTTGTTTACTTCGCTTTTATATTTCAATAGGCAGTGCCAAACGTAATACAAGGTGATTGTTGATAAAGTTGCGATTTCAAAACGCTTTAACTTTGAAGACCGATTTTTTTTTTACATATTTGAATTCTACGACTCAAATTGTGCCCAAATATTAAATTTCGTAAAATATGTCGAGAAACGTACCGAGAAATTTGAAAATTTATCTTGGCGCAATTTTTTCAGTTTTTGTCAAATGGCGAAATTCTTAATTTTATGGTAACCTATTTTTCTATTTCCCTTTCCACGAGTGGAAAAAAAAGATGCAACTTTCAATCTTTCAAATAATTTTAATAAAACGTGTAAAGCACATCTGACGTTATTATGGCTTACAAAAAATATGCCAAATTTCAAAACATACTGATTCAAACATACTGAAAAAGCTAAAATTTTTAGAGCTAACTTTTAAAAAAATACTCATGCGATTTTTACAAAACTTGGCATATTGGCTTAATTTGAGTCGTAAAATCGAAATATAGAAAAAAAATATGTACGTCATTTCAGAAAAAGCCCAAATTCGGGTCAGAATATCTATGTTAGAACAATGCTATATATAAATCTAATATAGTATATATCGTAAGTCGCACTTTCCAGACATGAAAAATGCAAGTTTAACTTCGTCAATCGGACTAGTAGAACGGAAGATATAGAAATGTCCCATTTTTGTTCAAGGTGTACAGCAGACGCCGCTTAATGTGATCACGGTTAATGTTATCATATGGATATTGTTACTGAACTGCCGAAGACATGTCCGTCTGTAATGGAAACATCAGAAATACCTCGCGTATCCTGATTGACAATTCGGTTAATATGATAAAAAAAATTACAGAATAGGTTTATAAATTATATTTAAATCCCCAAATAAAACATAAAATTGTGAGATAAAATCAAAATGCATTATAAAAATTACCATTTAACAGAGAAATTTCAACAAATATGGGATTATAATTCGCCAAACAGCTTGGTCTCAATTGCATTCAATTGTCAGTCACGATACGCGAGATCTTATTCATGTTTCCCATAAAGACGGACGCGACTACAGCAGTTCAATAATAATAAATATCCGAATGGATAACATTAACCGCGATCACATTAAGCGGCGTCTGTTAAACTTGTATTTTCAGGTCTCGAAAATGTGATTTAGGATATATATTAGATGTATATATAGCATTGATTTAATGTAGGTATTTCTTGAAATGACGTACCTATTGTTTTCCATATTTCGGTTCTGCAACTCAAGTTATGCCAAAATGCCAAGCTTTGTAAAACTCCCAAGAGTAGTTTTTAAAGAATTAGCTCTCAAAATTTTAATTTGTCAGTGTTAATTGAATTTGGTATATATTTTTTATAAGTTAAAATTAGAAAAAAAAGGAAAGGAAAAATCTGAAAGTTTCAGATTTTAAATTAGGTCCAAAGAGGCGTCTTTTTTAACTTTGTACAGTGTTGCCATTGCTCGCTCTGAAATCGTTGAGTTTGTTAACAAAAAATTCGTTGAAGTGTTACAAAATATGAAATCGATAATAAACCGAAAACCAATTTCAAACTTCCACATTCGCACATTCTATGGAAGATAACATTATTCAAATTTTGATGGCTCTAAATACCGTTGTTTTATCAAAATGCGAGAAACATGCACACATTCATGCAGATTCTTCATTATTTAATTTCTTTAAATATAATACAGGTCTGTAATATTTGGTAACAACAGTTTGAAAAATGATTCGTCTTTTATAGTTATCAACAGAAAATCCCAAAACGAAATGAATAATCCTACAGGGCAAATTATCCCTTTGGACTAATAAAAAACGGCACCTTAGTCTGATGCGGATTTTGAATAACTATCAATTGGAAGATGATTAGGCACATATTCCTCTTCTTCAGAGAAAAAAAAATCTGCATAATTTTTCCCTAAGGGGGAAAATACTCTGACAACATCAACAGCAAGCAAAGCATTTTTTCCCTAATTTTAAATTTTACATTGGCATGTTCTTTCCCAGTGAGAGAAGCTCTCCAAGAACTAAGTTTAGGGGTACTGCATTGGGCAAATAATTTCCAGGAATGTTATGAAGATTTCATAAAAGAACGTTTCGCCTTTTCTAAATTAAAATGTTGTGAAAAGTACTATTTTATTTACATGTTTCTAGTTACATTTACATTAAATTAGTCAAATTCCACTGCTATTTTGGAGGATACTTTTTCTCGCCATTTAGTATTATCCTTCGATTTTTATTATCCATGTAGCCGCGGACAAATATTATCCCATTAAGCTGCACCTACTGTTCTGTTTCAAGTGATTTGTAATCCCCTTTGTCATCTTCCATAAGCAATTCAAGATAGGTGGAATGACAATTTGAGTTTTATTTTCATTTTTTCCCATAAAATTATTGAAATAAAATGTCTTGACTTTTTGCAATAATAAATTTTAATAAATGGAAGAAATATTACCTGTCTGAAGTGTACTCCTCTCTGTTCATTGTACAAGTACTGTGTAAGAGACAATTTACTGCCTTCTAACTTCTCATCAGCTGACTGCCTTGGCGAGCGCCTACGAGTGTCTTCCACGCTGCCACTGTCTCTTCCTACCAGAAATTCCACCGGTTCCAAAAACTGGGAGACAAACTCTTTTCTGTTCATAGCTCTGAGCTCAGGACAGATGCCAGGTCTGTCTTGGCATTTGGACTCCCAGGCTTTATGGAAGGCAGTTGCTAAAGTGAATATTGATGTAAGTGCAGGAACAGCTCTCGACGTTCTAAGCAGAACTTCTAAACTACTTTCCCTCATAGTTCTATCAGTACAAAGAGGAAGTGCTCTGTAATCCGGATCCGTAATTCCAGCAAACTAACTCAAAACAAAAGAAGAAAAAATTATTTTGTGACTGATACAAAGAAAAATGAGTTTGAAAAGATAATATTGTTTTAAATTCATTAGAGTTCAACCTATCTAGTGCAAGTACACTTTATTTTAATGAACAGCTGATCGAAATTTTTGATAAGTCTCTCGTTACCAAACGTTAACTAAGAAGACTTTAAGATAGGTTTGATTGGGACCCATTTACGAAATCTTGAAAATTACCGTACAGTTAATATAATAAAGGCTTTTAAAGGCTATTTCAAATAATTGAGAATATAAATGCTGTACACTTACCTACAGTTACACTTAAATATTTTCACGCAATTTCATTAGCAAAGTAAAAAGTCTATATATTTTTTTCAATTTATTAAAAACTAATTTATGTCCTACTACATCATTTCATAAAGTTACATACTTTTTTGGCATCTCAACATTTTTGCAAATACGTGCAAAGTTTGGCTTCCTTTTTGGGACGTGATTGCTGCGTTTATATTTTTCTTTGCTAAAAATTTAACGTTCAGTATGATCAGGAAGACATTTTGAAATTATTATTAAATGAAAAGCTTGAAGTATTGTTATCGTCAGATGTTAGAGATGATTAACTGCTAGAAAGAACAGAATGTTTGTGCAATGTAAAGTATTTTGTCACGCTGTGTAATTATTCACTTAGTTAACCCTAGAATTTTTACCAATAAGGTTTTTAAAGGCATTTTCTGCTCCCAGAGAATCACATAGTATATTTCTGTCTAATGAATATAAATAATATGCTATAGTCTCTACAGCCAGGGTATCAGTGTTCGAGGATATTCTACAGGCTATCTACAATATCACCCTTACAAGTAAATGAACTTTTAACAAAAGGTACATGAGAAAATGTTAAAACAGACTTAAACAGTTTGTAAACGTTAACTAAGAAGGTTTAACGTTTAAAGTAAGAAGGTTTAACGTTTGTAAACTTTAGCTAAGAAGATTTAACGTTTTTAAACGTTAACTAAGAAGGTTTAACGTTTGTAAACGTTAACTAAGAAGGTTTAACGTTTAAACTAAGAAGGTTTAACGTTTGCAAACATTAACTAAGAAGGTTTAATGTTGTAAATGGTTGGAATTTTTGTTTTCCGTCTTCTTTCAGTCCAAAATTTACAATATCAGATTTTACTTCCTTGCACGAATTAAAAGACGTATTGTTATCTCAAAACATTCCGGGCATCATATTTCAACGAAAATATCCATTTTCACCGCTCTCGAATCCATTTGAACGATGCTTTTGAGTGACATCTGTACGGATGGACAGAATAAAGGACTCTTTTCTTTAGAAAACGGATTGTAAAATGAATTTAGGAGAGATTTCTTTCGTGACGTCTGTACCTACATGTTTCTTGAGAATTCAACAACGAGTAGCCTTAGAACGTTGAATTTTTGTTTATGGGACGGCTGTAATATGTAGCTGTGCACCACCCTTTTTCTTTGCAATCGGCCACAGCAAAAACGCAACATATATATATCTATAGTCCCACCTAGTTTCCTGGTTCGGTGAACTGAGAATTTTTAGTCTTATACATTGGTAAATTGTGCATTTTTGGCTTTAAAAGTGGTTTAAAAATATTGTTCTTAAGTTCAGTTTAAGGTTTATATGCTTAGTTAATCTGCATGCCATAATTGCAGAATTACAATGTAAATGTTAAATGGTGCTAAGCCTAACAAAGCTGCCGTTTATTTGCATTTAAAACTCTTAGTAGAAAAGTGAATTAAGTCAGTTCATTCACCAACTTCAGTGTTTTAAGAGACCAAATGCAAACTTTCAATTCTGTGCACGGAAATTTTGACTTCCTGCGCATTGACCGAATTGCTGGTTTTTGAGGAGGAACTCTAATTTTAGTTGTACAAATTTTTCTAAAGTTAGTAGTTTTCTTTAATATTTTATGTATATATATATATATATATCAATCACACACATATATGTATTTGATGTAAGATTTGTTTACCTTGCATCCTTTTAGTGACATTAGATATTCCAGAAACCAGTAATCATCAGGATTGGAGAAACTGGTTGTGCCTGGTAAATTCGACCAATACTCTTCAAACTGCAGAACTTTCTCTGGATATGGTGTTATAGAATAGAAATGACTTGTGCCGGATAATGTCCTTCCCATTTCAGATAGAAGAGATGGAGGAGGTATCCAAGAAAATAACCATTGGATTTTAGAAGTTAAATCCGGAAACTCGGCCATGACCTGCTCACGGTAAACATTTTCATAAACAAAATTATAAAAGGTAGTCTATTTTATTTTTGCTACGTATACAGCTGACGTTATTGAAATCAAAGGAAAATAAGAAACTTACTTGTAGTAACATAGCTGCTGGCTCTCCACCCTTTGTAATTACGATGACGGCAGCACCGTCGGCCAACCCAATTGTAGCTGCACGAAACGCCCTTCTGAAAGATCGTAAGTCCCGTCGATTCGACTTGGGTCCACTCAAAACTCGAGGCAGGGCATAGATATTGCTAATACAAGTAGCTCTTCCTGTTGCAGTAGCTTGTGTGAGTTGCTTTGTTACGCTTATGCTATATTCTTCATCTTCGTGAATAATTACAATATTGGACCAACGTAAATCTTTCGTGGCAGTGAGAAGTACCTGAAATTTTGCAATTAATCATGATGATGTATCTAAGTATTTGCAATAATGGGATATTTCTAGCTTTTAAAACAAAAAAAACTTTAGACGAAGAAACATTTTAAAAACAAAACTTAATTGATAAAGAACCCCATGAGGATAAATAATATCCTATGATATTTGATACCCTTATACATTATAAGGTAAGAGCATATTGTAGCTACCAATTTGGGTTGACAACAGAATGCAGTGCGCGTGTTTTGCATACCTGCATCCGTAGACAGCTAGCAGCCAAGCAATCAGTGTACACCGACTGTTCGAAAAGTTCAGACACGCATTTTCTTCCTAGCATATAATCATAACTGGAATAAAATTGCAAATGCAGTTCCCAGGTGTCATCGTTCGGTTGCGCAAGAGGCTTTAGCAGGTTTGTTCAGAACGATGAAAGAAGAATTTCTTCTCGCTGCAGGACAATTCGTCCGCTCAATACAAACTGACGTTGTGGTGCAGTTTCTGGCGGAAAATTATCTGCCAGTTCTTACACCTTCCATATTCACCTGATTTGGTTTCCAGTGACTTTTTTATTACTGAAAATCAAACTTCACATGAAAGGTCAATGCCATCACGTCGTAACCGACATTCAAGCCACAGTGACACGCAAGTTGAATAACATCCCAAACAAGGACATTTCTGATAGTGTCATATGTTTATTTGAACACTCTGCGCTTCGCAATCAAATGAAGAGGGATTACTATAGTGTGCAAATTAAGGAGGACAAATTTATTTTTGACAGAATTTTAAGTTGGTTGCCAGTTGGCACCACAGGTCCCTCGAGAAGCAGATTTATCTGCTTTAATGTCGTCTGGATGTCTGCCGTCCTTTACTTAGAGCTGGTTTACATAGTAAATTAGGACTATTGTAGCATATTTAAGCTTGTTTCTGTGAGAAGAAGAAATTACTTTTGAATATGTTTTAAATTCGTGTTGCGTTCTTTCATTTTAGTATACTAAAAATGGATATACTGCCTAGAAAGAGAGCAAAATATAATGTCGTCGAAATCCCAGGATGGAAAACTTTGAGGCAGATTATCCTTTTAGATTTATTTTAAAACTTAACAGGCAAAGTTCCAAGTTATAATGCGGTCTGAATGAGTGCACAAAACCAAAAGAAACGCGTTATTTTTATAGTAGACAAAGCTTCCCAGGTGCTTCTATACGCGCCTTATTTCAAAGGCACCTTTTAGACAACTCTCGTTCTTCTTTTGTTGCCAAACGAGTGTTGGATGCACCCAGCAGGGGTGAAACCCATATAAGCCTCCTTCAAGCACTTTCACTTGCCCCGCTTCGAGCTAGCCGGAAGGGAATAGAAAACTCACTAACTGCGAACACAAGTTATTTGTAACAAAAGATATCGCTGTTAACAATCATACCTCCATGACGTAAGAAATATTGCTTCCATGGTTGATGTTGGGAAATCAAGCGTTTCTCATATTCTGAGGAGACACTAAGAAACTGGATCATTTTCTCAAGAAATGAAGAGCAGATGTGAAAGGGAAACAACTGCCAAATCCGATCGATTTCGGCTCTGAAGTAGGTACAGGTACAGGTAAAGTATGGGGGACACCACCGATGTACCACGAGTCAACTGGTAGCGTCTTCTCATGCTAACTCTTAAAAAATAGAAAGAAAGAAAGTGTGAAAGAAAGAAAGAAAAATGCATCATGTTTATAAGGATTTACAAAGAAAGGTTGAGGAAATGAGCAACTGAAGCTTTTTAAATAATCTAGAGTTTACCTATTATAGCACATCGTGCACTCCTACGGAAGCCCCACATCCAGTATTTATTAAGAATCCAGAGATTACAATTTAGTCTCGATTCTGCTCTGAAACAACATTATTACTCCAACAATTAACAACCTTAAAAGCGATCTATTGTCTACTGGAATTGCTATTCGTTCGTCAAGTTTGCCACGCATACTTCTCAAAGCTGGTCAGAAGATCAGAAACCAATTAAAAAACAACTTTTGACACTTCAAATGAAGCAAAGTGATTCTTGTGACCAAAAAATACAAATCTTTTGGTCATAAATAATTGAAAAACGTTACTAAGACGAATCAAGGGTGAATTAATAAGATTTCAATATACCTAGGAAAACCATTTGCTTTAGTATTCTTTAACGGCAGATCGCAGTAGAAGTCACGTTCCTGTTGACGGAATGAGGAATTCATCGTAGTATATAAAATTTTAAAAGCGTAGGATTATGTCATCCTTGATAACCCTTGCAGGGCAATTACAGAATGCCATATAATTCGAAATCTGTCAGAAGGTTCGTGCTGAGAAATAAAATTATCGTGCTAGATTGAACTAGAAATACATCAGACTAAAATCCGATTGAAAACTTTTGGCACATTTCTAAGGAATATCTTAGCAAAATGGATTATACGACAAAAAAAATGCATCATTAAAAATGCTATAATAGTGTGGTTCTGTGACAAAGAAATGAAATGTATATATATGAATATAAGACTAGTAGAGTCAATGCATTAGCGCATTATAGTGGTCATTTCTACTAAAAGAGGATATATTTCATATTAATGTTACTATTATCACTGTATTTGAAGGTAGTTACATAAATTATCAAACAAAAATTCGATTTGTGAGTTTTCTCCAATTTTCGTTAATCCAGTCTCAAAACGTTTTGAATAGACGGTGTACAGCGGGCAATTTACCTGTAAAGTTATGTCGTGTGAAGTGGTGGAACGATTCAGTGAGGCCAGCTGTCTCATAGATGCTCAGAAGATATTGCGGCGGAACAACTTGAGGTAGATAAAATAGGATGCAGGACAACTGGAGAACACAATAAGGTTCAACAGGACTGCGCAATGAGAAGTACAGGCAAAGAATCTCTGGTATAGGTATATGGTTGTACTGCAACACTAATCCGCCGGGCATTTTTAAACCTGTCATGCAGGTTTAAGCGCATCGTCAGTATCCTTCTGCATTTAAGAAGGAGGAAACATTTTCCAGTTTCTCTGATATTTGCATTGTTCGATAAATGCCTATTTGTTTATTGTCATATCACAATCACATAATATTACTAATAGCACCACTGTCTTGAGATTGAAGGTTAACCTAACGTGAATTTTCACATATTTTGTAGCTTTTAAAATTTGTTTTTCTGTTACCGTTCTTCTCTAACTAAAATCTATCAGACTTTGAGAAATGCATTGCATTTTATTTAGCATACATACACAGAAATTCTTTCCATTATTTTAAGATGCCGTTAAAATTTCTAAATTTTATAAACTTCGCTTTGCATTATACACTCATGTCCATAAATTAAGGATAATTAGGAGTCACGCGGAAATCGAACTCTAAAATAAATATATCACCTGTAAAATCACTACACACATCTTCAAGAATCATATGCAAATTTCAGGAAGTAACCACATGAATCCGATGGTACGTCACAATGATGAGAGTGTAAGAGAGTGATATATAAGGAATACAGGCAAAGAAGTAAAATTGTTCGCAGGCGCTTTATAAGCATTTCAGTGCAATAACCGAATAGTTATGACACAAAGGACGCATTTGGATGATTTTTTACGTGGTAGAATTATCGGCCGTCTGGAATGTGGGCGTACCCAACTGGAAGTATCAGACGAACTTGGAATTGCCCAGTGTCATCTCCAGGCTTTGGCAACGATTCTAAGATGATGGTAATGTGAGTAAGCGTTACAGCACAGGTCGCTTCAAAGTTACAACACCGAATGAGGACCGGTATTTGGCAGTTACTGCCAAAAGAAACAGGCGGAGCACAGCCTCAGACCTGTCTCGTCAGCTCTCTTCAGCCACTGGTACGACAATTTCAAGGCAGACCGTGTACAGACGCTTAGGGTAGATTGGTCTATATGCTCGTAGACCTGCCAGATGCGTTCCACTTACTGCAACTCACTGTCGCCTGCGGTTAGCCTGGAGTAGAGAACATGCATTGTGGACACCATACAGTGGGCTTGTGTGATGTTTTCCGACGAGTCCAGGTTTAGCTTGCAGCCTGATTCTTGCCGGACTTTCATATGGAGAGCTCCAGGTACCCGTTACCACCAAGAAAACATCATTGAACGACACCGTTACGGTGGTGCAGGAGTGCACGTTTGGGGTGGAATTATTCTGGGTTCCAGAACTGACCTGTATGTTCAAACTGGAACCATGACAAGCCAAATCTATCGGGACGTCATTCTGGAACAATGTACGTTTGTTTCGGGGCGCCATGGGCGCACAATTTGTGTTTATGGATGACAACGCCCGTCCTCACCGTGCAAACATCGTAAGCGAATGCCTTCAATCAGAGGATATCACCCGTATGGACTGGCCAGCATTCTCACCGGACTTAAATCCAGTAGAGCAGGTGTGGGACCTGCTTGGCCGACGAGTTGCAGCCCGTCAACCTTCTTCTTCATGTCTACCGGAACTTCGGAGAGCATTGCTTTTTAAGTGGTGTAATATCCCCCAGGATCAGATCAATAATTTGATACTCAGCATGCCTAGGCGTTGTACGGACTGTATCGCATCGTGTATTGCATCGTCTGGGAGACATACAATACATTAAAAATCATACCAACCATGTAATATTGGTTTTTTGTAATTTGCTCCAGGGAGAAAAAATCGCTAATTTTTTTAATAATATCAAACATATAGCATCTTTTTTTGCTCTTTACCTTTTGTTTAATAAATAAGCTTTACAAATAAGTCGATTTTGTTTTGCTTCTAACTCTTCCTTTGCCTGATTTTGCATTATCCTTAATTTATGGACATGAGTGTAGAAAACAACAGAGTGTGACAACACATAGACACGATTTAAAAAATTTTAATTGTATTAGTTACTTTTCTAAAAAATTTAAATAAATCTAATTTTGCATAAGAATATTTCAATCAAAAATTCACGAATCGCTATATTTCTATATACCTCGTACAGACTAGAAGTTCCATTGCGAATTCATATTCATTATGAAGTTTTATGAAAAACTGAATAATTGTGTTAGTGCTGCCATCTGTTGACAAATATCAAATCTATCACTAAATAAGACTCTTTACTGAAGCAATTAGTAATATTTCATCAATCAAATACCAGACTTTTTACTGACTTTTACAAAGTTATTGCAATGATTTAATATTATGTGTATCTATTGAATAAGAAAGAATATACCTTTCTCTTCAATAACAATATTTATAAAGAATGTACTTATGATCAAATGTATCAATCACTGCGCAGAAGCACATATACCCATGGAATATACGAAATTTCTTTCAGACCGGAGACTTGTTAAGCCGCTGGCCGACAGGGGCCCCAAATTTCGAAGGGCCCCATGAACACATAGTGGTCTGGTAACACAAGCTTTCTTTAATTAATTTAAAAAATTATTAATTAGAGCTACCTCAGAAATATAATACATTAATTAATCCATTTTATTTAAAAGCAACAAATAGGAAATTGCTTCTATTTGCAAGCAATTTTGTGCTCCCAGAGGTGATCGCCATAAAGAAAATCACTGTCATTGATATGTTTAATCTCTTCGTTTTTTAAGAAATATTGGTCAGTTTCAGATATTACGGAAGTGGTATGTCTGAAACATCTTAACAGCGGATGAGCTATTTAGCAGTAACGACCTTCCTCATTTTTAAGTAAGTATGAAGACACTCTAATCAAAACTCATCTACGATTGTTACAAAGCATACCGCTGCCATATATATTTAACATTTTAAATAGCGTTCTCGCTCTTCAGTGTTCGGAACACATGTCTTAATATAAATGTGAGCGTGCGTCGAATACGGCTTTATTTTGTTTATTTTAATTACAATAGTTATTACAGGTTCGCATTTTTTAAACTGGTATTTACAGGATTTATATGATGTCTTTCGCGAAAAAGGCAAGCAGTTCAGTTTAAATTGTGAATATTAAATATAATTTCAAAATTATGATATTTCGTAATAAAATAAATATTTCTCCTTTCTTCAATTTAGCTTCGTTCATAATAGTCGAAAATTCTTCAGGTATTCATATTTTCATTTTTAAAAAAAATCCAATCCGGACAGGTATAAAAATAATATTTGTTTTTTAATAATAATTTTCAACAAGTTCATTAACAATTTATGTCATTAGCATAGCTAACAAATAATGTTTCGGAAGGGAGACATTGTGTACCTTTGCTACAAATTTCTCTTCCGAATGTACATTATCACATTTATCAAAAATATAAGGAAGATTGTAAGGATCTTAAGTTTTACTAACGTTTATTTTATTTTAAATCTTTACTATCACTTCTTATTTTCTACTTCCGGCCAGAATTAAAAGCTTTAACTTATTTATGCAAATTTGTTGACGAACGCCAAGTACTTAAGTTGTGGCTTTTTGCCAAGCGAGAGAGAGGAAGGAGTTAGGAGAAGCAGGCCGCTTGCCTTAGCAGTTTTTACTCGGTTGCTGGTTGCCTTCCAGGCCAGAGGTTTAATCCTCTTGATAATTTTAAACGTATTGTAGTGTTAACAGTTCTCTGTACTACATACGGCTTCCTGTTAATATACGGCCAATCTTCCACGTAGGCCCTTGTTTATTATTCCAAAGTTAAGTTATAGTTAATATTTTTATATTCTTACGTTCAGACCACAAGTGGTTGGTCTCTGCATTCCGAAGTCCGGAAATTATTGTAAAGAGTGAAAAATAAAGGGTTTCGTATACCCTTCCTGTGTATCTTGTCTACTTCCCACATTTATTGAATATAGCTTTAGTAAGCTCCCTGTTCTGAGTCAGGTTCTTGAATGTTCCCCAAGCAAGTAAGGAGAAACACTGAACCTGATAAGATAACGATAAAATTCTTTAACAACTGGACATTGTCTATATTAGTGATTCTCAATTAAATTTATTTATGAATCAGTTGGTAATTTGTAATCGATTTAGATTTGGCGATTGGGTCCCCTAATCCCCAGTCTCCCTTTAAAATGGGGAGTATATAAGGATATTTCTCCGTCTTCTTAGCATGCCTTCGTAGTGTAGTGGTCAGCACGCTGGATACGTATTCGAGAGTTCCGTGATTCAAGTTCCGGCGAAGACGTTGCTCATTTTTCATCTCTCCTGGTTTAAAAAAATACCTAATTTCTCTACAAAGGTCTTCCCTCTTTATCACCTACTCTGCTCCTATTTGCGAAATTTCATTTTAAAGTTCTCACATCTTGGGTTGGTTCTTATGGGCGATCACAGTTTTTGCTTCTGAAGAAAAGGGACCTGGATCAGTACTCCCTATTAAAAATCTACCTAAAAGTAGGTTTGCAGTTTTGCCTAATTCTAAATATTTTCAGCTTTCATTTTCAGTCAGCAGGAAAACCGGAAACTATTGTTTGGAAAACAAACATAAATTCATGCATTACTTGCTCATTTTAATTACTTAATCATTAACCGAATGAAAGTTATAAACCGACAAAAATTATCCTGTCTCAGTGCTACCCAAATTATATAACGAGGTTTAGATTTTAATTGGGAAAACTCCTTACCTGAGCCATTCTTTCTGGTGGCACCGTTGTAGTCATGGAAAGCTCGATGCTTGGTATTAGGTAGTCTCTGAAAGACTCTGCTACTTCAGGGGTGCTGCTAACACCACTCATATCCACAACACCTAAGGAAAGTAAAATAATATTTAATTTCAAATAAAAGTTACAGTAATGCCAATAAAAGCGAACGTAAAGTAATCCTCACTTTTTATAAAATTTCTAACATTATTGACAATTGAAGGAATATGTAACTTAATAATTCAAATCAGAAAAATTCATAAAATGTTTTCTCTACAAAAGCCCGAAGGGAATTAAAATTTATAAATAGCCAATGACAATGCCAATAAAAGCCAATAATAATGCCAATTTATAATAAATTTTATAAATAGCCGATAATAATGCCAATAAAAGTCAAAATAAAAATTTCAATTATAAAACAGTAATAATACCAATAAAAGCAAAAATAATGCCAACAAAAGTCAATAATAATGCCAGTAATAATTGATCACCACTTCTTATAAAACTTCTAACGTTATTGATAACTGAAGGGATATGTAACTTACTAATTCAAATTAGAAAACTTCACAAAATATTTTCTCTGAAAAAAACCTGAAGCGAATTGAAATTATAAATTTAGTACACGCTTTGAACCAGAACATACTAAAATAATAAAAATGGTGGAGGTTTCTAGTTCATGAGATACTAGCATTCTTTCGTGAATATTGTTATTAAATCATGAATATATAGAATGTTTTATTTAATCAAAGAGATCCTTAAAAATTCCATAAAGCTCTGGAAATATATGAAATCACTAAAGAATGAAATGTAGTTTTAGATTTTAAATTAAATATTACTTTTCTTAAAATATGTCGTCAAAGTATGAAAGTTAAAGAAGAAAATTTCACTTTAAGGAATCTTCAGAATCTGGCACGAAAAGAGATACAGCGCCATATATGGCTCTTTTAAGAGGGCCCACCAGCTGCCGAGCGGTAAAGTCGCTGAACACTGGTAGTTCGGTCCCAGGTTTGAATCCCGCGAACGGGCTGGCTGCATGGGTGTTTTCGTGGTTTTCCCCATGTGTAACGTGTATACGAGCCAGTTTCCCTTAGAAAGTCCTCCACGAAGGCATCCCTCCCCTTAGGCAGATAGCCCTAGTGTCCTTTGCCATGAATAAATACACCAATACGTTTAAGAGGATTAACTCAAGTTGAAGAAAATTCGCTGGTAAGGGAAACCCTGAGCATAAATTCAGTAAATCCATGGTTCGAGGAATCTTAAGTAATGGGCATTTGTAAACATGATTCTTTTTTCACACAATATATCTATATGCATATATATCGTAGCGAATGAATAGGATAATGAGGAATAGCATGCCTAATAGGATTATTAGATGTTCAGAAGATAGTGATATTGGTATTTTTAATACTTAAATTTTATACGTAGTTTTTATAATTGTATAATGAGTCTTGTATGTCATCATATATAGCCGATTACATCAGAAATTACTACACCCAAACAAGAAATTTATATCAAAATATACAAGGTCGATCGCATTACATGCAGTGTTGCATATTGCATTCACTCCATGAAGTCAACAATATATATGCGGTTTTTCTTTCCGTTGTTTCACTCACTGAACATTCCTTCTTGGTCCTCACAATAAGTTAATTATATTACCTGAGCATTGTGAGGTTCACATTGTTAAGTACGCTACAGTCCGCAAAGAGAGATTATCTGGCAAACCTGGAAAATATTTTAAATCCTTCAGTGTTGGGAAAAAAATCTGATGTAAATACCATACGACTTCTTTGAACAGCCTATTAAATTCTATACATTTCTGACGCATTTTATTTAAACTTATTTCCTCGAATTTCATTAAAGATATATTTTTCATTCACTTAATCCAGTTCTCACTTAGCGGCAAGGCAAAAATAAATAAAAACTCAGTATCTTCATTAAAAATTGAAGAATAGAGAAACATAAAACACCAAATGCAGTTAAAAAAATTAAAACAAATTTTACAATTAAAATTAGAACTTCTACGCAAAAGCAAGCAATTTGACTAGCGGGCTAGAAGGCAGATTTTTCGGTGCACAAAACTGAAAGTTTATTTTTGGTACTACTCGGCAAAAAAACGCTGAAGGTGCAAAAACTGACTTAATTCACTCTTCTGCTAAGTGTCAAATATAAACAAATATGGCTACTCCGTTAGGGTTAGTCGTTCTTAAATTGTCAATAATTCTACAACTGTTGCATGCAGATTAACTAAAAGCATAAAAACCAGAACATAAGAACAGGATAATTCGATCACTTTTAAAGCAAAAAATGCATAATTTACCGACATATAAAAATAAAAAAGAAACTGAGCTCACGGAATCGAGTAACATATGGGGTATATATATATCGTGTGTACGATTTATATATATATATATATATATATATATATGTATATGATATATATATATATATATATATGTATATGATTATATATATATATATATGTATATATATATACCCGATGTTGTGGCCGATTGGCAACCAAAAAGGGAGGTGCACAAATACAAGTTATGATAATCGTATATACCTCCGTTTTGTGGAAAAAGAACCCTTTATTCTGTCCTTAACTACAGATGTCGAGCAAAAACATCGTTAAATTGCATTCGATAGCAGTCAAAATGGATATTTTCGTTAAAATATCACACCCGAAATTTTTCGCGATTACAATACTTTCTTTATTTCATACAAGGGAGTAAAATTGTTACAAATGTGGCAATTCTTTGGCACCATGGATGAATTAAAAACGCAGATGGAAATTAAGATTGCAGATACTCTGATACGTGTTTGCTAGCGATATTGATACAGCTTTGGTGCATAGCCGTGGTTATAATCGGAACCTGAAAAACAACTCATTCAAAGACGCAAATCAGTTCGAGATGTATAGCAGCTTTCGAAAGTCTGATTGCAACATATTGTTGCTTTTTTTTTTTTTTTTTTTTTTTTTTTTTTTTTTTTTTTTTCTGATACCAGTTGTTACGTTATTTTCTTCCTTCACGTTCGTATGGATTTGGAGTGAATAATGACGACACTACTTGATGAAGTATCGAAACACACTTTATTAGCCAGTATTGTCAGGACAGCTCCAAAGTCACGTTTTACAGTCGTCGAAGATCTACTATACACTCGCTGGAACAATCAGCGCAGCGACACATCCTCCAGGTTATCAGGCTGTCACGGTGGAGACAGCTTCACGGCAAAGCACTAGAGTACAGCTCCCGACTCTGCTCGGCCGTTCTCGGAACTCCACGTACTCTCGAGACTCTCCACGTTACAACTCGCGATGCACTCGACGACACACAGAGCACAGCTGCAGACTCTTCGGTTAAGTCGTTCCCGGAGCTTAACTCCCTCTCTCTCTTGACGATGCACTAACGGCGATACACTAAGAGACTCCTTCGGTGAACTCGATGCCCACTCGGCACTCTCTGCCCGGCTGTCAATTCGATTGACTCAGCAGGGATTAACTCGCTAGACGAGACACCAACTCGATACTAGCTATCTCGCACTCTATGCGAGGGACACATACATTCGCCCTCTCGACTAGGCACACTCACTGACTGCGAAGCAGCAGGGTTTATATAGCTTTCGGCTTGTGTTCGAGAACATTCTGAGCTAAACTGGTAAGAATTCGTTCCAGAAGGTTCTCCATCCTTCCATGGCATATTGGGACAGTTACAGACAGTAGTTAGCTTGGCATATGCATTTGGTAAGTTTACTGTGAAAATTAACTCAAATTTAAACACAGATCATAAGGAATTCGCTGCTGAATATTAGTTATCTTGAAATAAGATTAATGTTGAAGTTTTGAAAAACCTAGTTACTTGTAACTTCGGACTACAATCATATGATTATTGCAGTTAATAATGTAGTTTGAGCTTGGAAAGTAATACTCTAAAAATATAACAAAATATTTTTTTACAAACTTTAAAAATTTTAATGTCATCAATTTAAACAGACATACCAATAGTAAGAGTTGAATTTTCGACCATTTTGTCACAGAATTTAGGTCCAGATCTCAGCACAGGGAAAAGAGAAGTTAAATGCTCCATAGCTAAGGCATTGTGTCCACAGCTGTCAAATACTTTCAAACCTGGAAACAAAGATATTTGTATGTAATAATTAATTAGTTATCTCAAACATATTATTACAGTTTACAAATATTTCCATGTAATTCATATTTAACTCTTGAAATATGGTATTTCAGGTTTAATGAGTAATATTGCAAGTGATGATGATGTCGTGTCTATGACAAAATGCAATTATATAGCTCAGAAGCTGTCAAAGACAGCTTTTGCAGCTTCGGCAGCTCTATCAGTATAAAATAGGTCCACTGGGTCTTCAATGCCGATGTTAAACAGTCTGGCCTGGATTTCTGGGCAGCTGAAGATGTGATGGCGAGACAGTGGTATGTCATCTGGGCAATGAGGACAAATGTTGGTGTAACTACGCTGTCCGTCTTCAGAAATCCTCATCCCTTTTAAGTGATTTGTCGTCCTAAGTCTGGTTATGATAGTCGATATTGCTCTGTCACAGTTCAATTCCGGGATGGTGTTTCCCTTAACTTGACCGATTAGTCTTTTTTGCTGGCAACTGCATTGGCATCAACGAGGGTTAGGCAGTTGGATGGCTGAAGAGAATCACGGGATGCCTTTGCAAGCTTTTTCTATGAATATTGCAAGTAAATGTCCGTTATGCATATCAAGTGCAAATTTATTTGACATCAACAGTGGAGAAAGTAAATTGTTAGACAAAAGTACGATAGACGTTGGTTGTTGAAAATTATACACTGACAGTCATACATGTTTTAGATGACAAGATGCAGAATGTGTTTTATAAATTATCATAATATGTATGAAGAAAGAAAGAATATTCAAATTCATTTCTTTTTTCAAGGAGTACTTATGCAAGTTATTCGGGTGACAAGAAAGTGATTTCAGTTCTCACAAGTCGATAGCGTAATGTTCTTTTTATAATTCTTCTGTCAATTTTATAATTATGTTTTCGTTGTTGATTTGGCAACTGGCACTTTTAGGTTGTTCTAGAAAAAAATTCGTTTATTTTTGTTTACAACTGTTAGTTTATGGTCACTTTTAACATGGGATGCAGAAATAAACATTTTCGACCTATTTCACTTTATTTATTTTCATAAAATCAAGAAATATTTTGAGGCTCGCAAAGAGGTATTGAGAATTTTATGGTGTTGATTGCTTAATAGAACCTACATGTCAGAATTGGTTTAACAAATTTTGTTTTGGAGATTTTTTTCCTTGAAACTGGCCAACCTTCTAAAATTGATGACGACAAAATTAAATCTCTAATTCCATGGAATCGTCATAAAACTCTACGATATATTTCACAAAGTTTAAATGTACCATACATAATAATTGAAAATCATATAAGATGTATTGGACTCGTTAAGAAGTTCGATATTAGGATTCCTTATGTGTTGAAAGAAATTTACTTAACACAACGAATCAATATTTGCGATGCATATTTAAAACGTAATGCAATCGACCTTTTTTTTGAAATGAATAATCACTGATGATGAAACATGGATCATCGACAATAATCTTAATCGAAAAAGATCATGGTCCAAGTATGATGGATCAGCACAAATAATATCGAAAGCTATATTATACCCATTAGATAAAAATACTGCTGTCAGTTTGGTGGGACTACAGAGGTGTGTATTTTGAGCTACTTTCGAGCAACCAGACGTACAACTCAAATGTTTACTGCGCAACAACTTTAAGAAGCTGGAGGAAGCAATCGAAGGAAAAGAAGGGCAGAATTGGCAAATCGCAAAGGAATCGTGTTCCACCACGACAACGCGAAGTCTCACACATCTTTAGCAACACGTGGGAACTTATTGGAGCTTAGTTGGGGAGTGATGGCGCATTCCTCATATAGCACCAGGCTTGCACCATCTGATAATTGTGTAATGAAACTTCTTAAATGGTAAAAATTACAGTAATAACTATGACCGAGAATCGTACTTGGTTGAGTTTTTTGCTGATAAAAATCAGATATTCTATGAAGTTACTAGAAAGATGGGATAAAATCATTAAACAGAATGCAAGATATTTGACTGGTTAAAGGTCATTTTTTGAAAACATTTAGTTTTATTTCATACTAAAATAACTAAATTACTTTCTTGCAAAACCCGATAAAGGTAATTAAAGACCAGAAAGGATTATGACTGGCGATTCTATTAACATCTATTACATTTTATTCCTCCTTATATGCCATATCACTAGCTATAGCAACGTTCATGGGCTTTTAGCTGTATGAATACGTGCTTGATGATCCAGAAAACACTTAAGGTCTCAAAGCTTAAGCACTCCCCAGCGGCCCAGCGTTAACATCACTGAACACTGGTAGTTTGATTGAGCATCGGTAGTTGGAGTTCCGATCTCAGAAAACGGGTTAGCTACAGACGATGTTTAGTTCTTTCCTTCATGCACATGTGTGATGTAAATAGAAGCCTTAAAAATTAAAAGCACGGCCGCCCACAGGGTATAGTGTTTAGGGAAGCCTGACTGCGATGCGGAAGGGCCCGGCTCGAATCCCGGAGAAGCCATGGATGTAAAATAGTCTGCTTCTTCATAGGAGGCAACGCTGACAACCTATTAGGTGCCTCCAGAATAAAATAGCCACCACCTCTGGCCTGGAGCAGCCATTGCCGTTATAAGGCAAGCGCCCGCCATTGGAAAACAAATTAAAAGCAAAATATTTTATTGAACCAGTTAATAAAAATTATATTTGAATTTTTTTCATTGTTGTTTTATCTGCGAAAATTTTATTAAGATCATTTGAGGTAAGTAAAGCTACTATTCAAAACGAAATTTTGTTTAGATTTAAATGAATACCACGGCCGTATACGAATTTTTATCAATAAGTTCAAAATAATATTACTTCTAATAATACACTTATTAGGTCCTGAAATTGTCTATTATCTAAATGGCAATTTCATTTTCTTGTGAATTTGTAGGAAAATAGGGTTAAAAACTTTCACTGATGAAACTTTAACCTATCATTTCAGACATAAACTGCCATACGTACCTTTCCAGCTCTTTGTGATAAGTTATACAGTATTTTCATTTCTATTGCATGTATAGTATTTATCATACACCTGAAATTCATTTTTGTGAAATATCCACCTTATTAGTTTACTATTGGTATAATTAACGGTTATTTCTGAAAATCGTATTTACCAATGCGAACTCCCGGTATGAGAGAACTACTGCTAAGTTCCCCTGATTCCGAAATGAGTCCGCTCTTATGATTGAGGACATCTACAGCCCATCTCATGGCTTCGAAGACTTGGACACCGTCGGGAGTGGGGTGTCCACATCCATAAACACCTTCACCAGGATGATGGATTGGTAACACTGCACCAAGCGTCACGTCGGCTTCAGGTTCCACCGTCACGTGATGAGGTGCCACGGAACACGATTCCATTCCGAAACTCTGAGCATCAGTTTGAAAGCACAGGTAGACAAGCAGCGATAACAAGCAAAGTACATGATGGCCTGTGGATTTAATGTCCAGTCTCTGCATTGATATCTGAAAGAATAAATATGTAATTATTATAATGACTGAATATCTAAAAAAATTATCTACAAAAAGAAGTGTTTGAAAACGAAACAAATAGCACTGCATTTATAAAGAAAATATAAAATTCATTTTCATCATTTAAACAGTTTCCACTTACGTAATTAAATTGCAAATGCATATTTGCCGTTAAAAGACGGGTTAATGGATATTTACCATTATATGTCTTTGTGGCAAAATAACTGTTTTTTATAAGCGAAACTAGCTTTTATTTGCTTTAAACATGGAAAAGACTCAAAATCTTCAATATAAGTAGTAATTCCATCACCAGAAGCCTGAATTCGTACATAATTATCATTGTTTAATGCTTTAATAAGTCGAATATTTAAACGGGTCAGTGGAATAAAAGAATAAGAGAATATTTAGATTCTTTAAATTTCAAAGATGTATGGGTTATAATATCTTAGACAGTATTTATATAATTAAAATTAGTATTAGCACAGAATTACACTCGAAACGACCTGCAATTTAAACATTAAAGAGACTTTTTCCTACGAAAATAACTGCCAAGGAAGACATGTCAAACTTGAATTCTTAATGCTTCTTAGAACAATAACGTGTATGAATCTTCAAATATAAAAATATAAAACGGTTAAAAAAGTCTGAATGGTTTTATATTTTAACGGTTACCCAAAAGGGTTTGTTAAGTTTTTACGCTCTCTCTAAGCTCATAGTCTACCAGTCTGCTCCTATACTCACTCCCTGCTAACCCATTTTTTGTTTATTTTCTTGTCTTTTTACCTTAAGTAGTGTTTTCTTCGCTTTTTAGCTTAAGTATTGTTTTCATCGCTTTTTAGCTTAAGTATTTTTTCATCGCTTTTTAGCTTAAGTATTGTTTTTATCACTTTTTAGCTTAAGTATTGTTTTCTTCGCTTTTTATCTTAAATATTGTTTTCTTCGCTTTTTAGCTTAAGTATTGTTTTCTTCGCTTTTTATTTTAAGTATTGTTTTCATCGCTTTTAGCTTAAGTATTGTTTTCTTCGCTTTTAATTTTAAGTATTGTTTTCTTCGTTTTTTTATCTTAATTATTGTTTTCTTCGCTTTTTATCTTAATTATTGCTTTCTTCGCTTTTTAGCTAAAGTATTGTTTTTTTCGCTTTTTAGCTCAAGTATTGTTTTCCTCGCTTTTTAGCTTAAGTATTGTCTTCTTATTAATATAATAAGAAGACAATACTTAAGCTACTTAATATAAGTACAGTTTTCTTTGAACTTACGCCATATATAATTCAGCAGCAAAATCACAAAAAGTTTAAAAGAAACATACCAGCATATGTTAGGAATTCCCGATACAGTGTAAGTGTTGGCATAACATTTGCTATAATTTTTCCAGTTTTTTCGCAATTCAGCATATGAATGTTAAAATTTCTTATCAAGATAACTTACAAAACTTTTTTTTGTCTTTCTGTTGTCAACATTTTGATAATATATAATAACTACATTATAATAACTACATGTATATATATACGCCATATATAATAACTACATTTATTAAATTCTTCGCTTTTTAGCTTAAGTATTGTTTTCATCGCTTTTTATCTTAAGTACTGAATTCTTCGCTTTTTATCTTTTGTTTTCTTCGCTTTTTATCTTTTGTTTTCTTCGCTTTTTATCTTAAGTATTGTTTTCTTCGCTTTTTATGTTAAGTATTGTTTTCTTCGCCTTTAACTTAAGTATTGTTTTCTTCGATTTTTAGCTTAAGTATTGTCTTCTTATTATATTAAGTACAGTTTTCTTCTCACTTACGCCATATATAATTCAGCAGCAAAATCACAAAAATTTTAAAAGCAACATACAAGCATATGTTAGGAATTCCCGATACAGTGTTAAGTGTTGGCATAACATTTGCTGTAATTTTTCCAGTTTTTTCTCAATTCAGCATATGAATATGAAAACTTCTTATCAAGATAGCTTACAAAACTTTTTTTGTCCTTCTGTTGTCAACATTTTGAGACTTAACTGCATTTATTAAATATCACGTTCTTCTCAACGATCTTTTCATTTATTTTAAACTGCTCAAATGTTTATCTTTCATTTCCCACTAAGAGCTTTCTATTTTAGTAAAAACAACTGTCTTGAAATAAAAGCAAGGAAAAACATAATGTGTCTTGAAATAAATAGCAAGGGATAATATAATGTGTCTTGTTTATCAATATATATATACACATTTCTTTCTAAATTGGCTTTGTTATGTAAATCGATATGCGAAAATTTACAGAGAGCTTCCACAATTAGAAGCACGAGACAAATGACGCTTATTTTAGCTGATGGGAATGAAGATATATTTATTGCTAATTCATATAACAATTATTGAATCCATTTATAATTTTTGTTTATAGCCTATTTCAAGACAAGGAAAGGGGAAATACTAAAATGATACAAATATGCTTAAATTTCCTCAAATCTGATAATAATTCCGAATCTAAGCTTCCTTTTTCGTTTTAAAAAATAAAAGTAACATCGTTTTACGAGGAAATAAAAGGGAGAATACAGCCACAGATAATTTAAATAACTCTACGTTTCTTCTGATGAGGTGGGAAAATGTTTAACAAGGTGAGGAAGAAAGAACATAATTGTCTTTAGCCCGAGCCCAAATGAAGAGGAAAGAAATGAGATAACTCCTACTACACAGACACATACTAATCATCCTTATTTTGAAATTCATTCACGAGTGACAAGAAAGGCCAAGAAAAAAATAAGGCTACGGTTGAAAACTGATTACTTTGATCCTAGAAAAATATCCTGTTTTATACTGTAAGAAATGAGGAAAGATTACACATTAAGTTCTTATATTAAAGATAAAGGGTGAAAAACATTCTCATCACATACACAACAAGGAAAGTTTTTTTTAAATTCTCGCCTTTCTTAAACGTTTTTGAGGTGAGGTTTTTTTTCATTTTTCTTTCAGTTTCGGTTGAGGAAGATTGCACATTTTTTTTTCTTTTAAAGATTAATTAAATAGGTGCATTGCACTTGTCTAAATAAATTCCACAAATTGTTAAGTAATAGTTTGTACGTCTTGCTTCATATAATTGAAGGAAAGTTAATATTTATTGGAAGATGATCGGGTTAAATATATGACATAAAAAGCGATTTTTTTTTCCATTTGCAGACACATAACGTATCGAGAGCATTTGGGTTAACGTCACACTAGGCTACAAATATTTAAAAACAGCATATCTTAAGAATTTCTTATAAACAGTCTCGCATGTTTGAAATAAAAATGTTTTATTCTCTGCAGCGTTGCCACTGCTCGCTTTGAAATTGTTAAGTTTGTTAATCAAAAATTCGTCAAAGTTTCATGAAATATGAAATAGACGATAACACAAATTCCAAATTCCAAATTCGAGCTTCGAGTTGCCCATGTTTGGGTGAAGGACTATGTTATTAAAAATCTGATGACTCTAGATACTTTGTTTATTTACAATCCGAGGAACATACATACATTCATGTAGATTCCTCATCATTTAGTTTCTTTAAATATAATGTATGAAGATAATATTTGGTAGCAACATTCGAAAAGTAATCCGTACATTTAAAGTGATTCGATGCAAAATGCCGTTTCGAGACTAATAGCTTTTCTGGGCCAAAAATATTTCATTCTTTTTCCTCACATTCTGTATTTGCACTTATTATTTTATACCAGAATAAAACAATACTCATATAGCATGAATTTGTTGCATTGTTTCTCTTATAACATAGCGTTTTTACTTCTATTAGACTAAACAAAACTTTCGTGATTAGCTTTGCCATGCTGAAAGTTTCATATAAAGCCAAAAGCAGAATATCAAAGAAAAATCTTAAATATACAGAGTGTTTATAAAGTCCCGGACAGTTACGTGAAGTTACGTGAAAGGCTCAGTTAACTTATAAAAGCTTCAGGGGCACCTCACATGAATAAGTCTTGGCCTTATATCCCTTTCCTAAAAGGGATACAAGAGGAAGGAAGAAGAAGGGGAACAAAAGACGCGGATTTTGAAAGACGGAACACATCAGCAGTAGATAAAGCTGCAATGAACTGGAACGTAAATAACAGAAGTAAGGTGAAATCGCATGTTTGGAAAGTTTCTTTAGTGGGAGAATACCTGCCTTGTCCAAGAAGCCTAACAAAGAATCTGCACCATACGTTTCAAATAATATATGGAAGGAAAAATAAAGCGAATGAAATACAAATACAAAAGTAATAAAAATTCTTTAAAAAATAAAAGGAATATAATTCAACAATAAAATAGCCCTCAGAGAGAAAAACTTATTTACAGCAGAGGAAGGAAAAATATTTTCGAATACTTTTTAAAATTTTGCAGCCTAGAGCTAAAATGCTTGGAGGGGGGAACACGCGAGGGACAAAAATACGAGAGGAAATACAGTACACTTCTTCAATATCAGGTCCTTTTTCTTTTTTATTTCCTGGTGTAAACACAACATAAGCCGTACCTGTTGACATATGTCTTTTAACGACAAGTCCTAACCAGTCACCTTCACAATTTAGCATTTTTTTAATTACAAATGGCAACAACAATACCAATGTCATCTTGCAGTTCAAATTTGTTGTTAAACCGGGTAAATTGATAAATGAATTGGTTTGGGTAGATAACAGACGTATTTAGAAACAATACTATCATTGTCATCTCAGAAAATAAACTCGCGTTTCAGACTGAAGATATTCTTTCTATCCTTTCAGATCATCTTAAAAACCTGTTTTACTTTTTTTCTGAGCATAGGGAAGAAATAGCTTTGAACATAAAAGCCTTGAGGGTGAACCCGCTATGCACCAAAAACCGTTCATTTCCCACTGTTTGGTTCATCCATTATTTTCCTTTCCCTAACATTTACTATTTTACAAATGGCTAACTTCAAGATGAGTTTTGATTTAAGCCAATAACTTTTATAATTGTCTTTTCTCAGGGTCTACCCGATCGAATGATTTAGACTGTAGTGTTTAAGGCGTTGGTCCC